CATCCACGAAACACAGTGCACTTTCTCTCTCTGTATGCACAGGGGGTGGGTTCCAGCATCCCACAGATGTCAAAACCCATAGGTGCTCAAGTCTCTAATAAAAATGGGGTAGTGTTTGTGAGGAATTTGCATAGAACTACACTAGACTTTCAATCATCTCTACATGATTAAAATGCTATGTAACTGTCATACTCTGTTGTTCAGGGAATAGTGACAAGAAAAAAGTCTGTGTTCACTGCCAACACAATTTTTCCATTTATACACACACACACACACACACACACACACACACACACATACATATACATCTATATCTGTCGATCTATCTATGTTTGGTGAGACTGGGGTTTGAACTCAGGGCTTTGCACTTGTGAGGCAGGTGTTCTACCACTTGAGACCTGCCTCCAGCCCGTTTTGCTCTGGTTGTTTTAGAGATAGTGTCTCACTTTTTTGCCCAGGCTGGTCTGGACCACAGTCCTCCTATTTTAAACTTCCAGCTGTAGCTGGGATGGCAGGGACATACCACAACACCCAGCTTTTTTCCATTGAGATGAGGGTCTCACAGACTTTCCCAGGCTGGCATGGAACCATTTTTCTCCCAGTCTCAGCTTTCTGTGTAACTTTGTTTTTTTTTTTTTGGGTTTATTTTCTGTTTATTGGTTTGTTTGTTTCTTTTTTTTTTTTTTCTTTATTTTTTTTTTTTTATTTATTTTTTTTTATTATTCATATGTGCATACAAGGCTTGGTTTATTTCTCCCCCCTGCCCCACCCCCTCCCTTACCACCCACTCCACCCCCTCTCCCCCCTCAATACCCAGCAGAAACTATTTTGCCCTTATCTCTAATTTTGTTGTAGAGAGAGTATAAGCAATAATAGGAAGGAACAAGGGTTTTTGCTGGTTGAGATAAGGATAGCTATACAGGGCATTGACTCACATTGATTTCCTGTGCGTGGGTGTTACCTTCTAGGTTAATTCTTTTTAATCTAACCTTTTCTCTAGTTCCTGGTCTCCTTTTCCTATTGGCCTCAGTTGCTTTAAGGTATCTGCTTTAGTTTCTCTGCATTAAGGGCAACAAATGCTAGCTAGTTTTTTAGGTGTCTTACTATCCTCACCCCTCCCTTGTGTGCTCTCGCTTTTATCATGTGCTCATAGTCCAATCCCCTTGTTGTGTTTGCCCTTGATCTAATGTCCACATATGAGGGAGAACATACGATTTTTGGTCTTTTGAGCCAGGCTAACCTCACTCAGAATGATGTTCTCCAATTCCATCCATTTACCAGCGAATGATAACATTTCGTTCTTCTTCATGGCTGCATAAAATTCCATTGTGTATAGATACCACATTTTCTTAATCCATTCATCAGTGCTGGGGCATCTTGGCTGTTTCCATAACTTGGCTATTGTGAATAGTGCCGCAATAAACATGGATGTGCAGGTGCCTCTGGAGTAACAGTCTTTTGGGTATATCCCCAAGAGTGGTATTGCTGGATCAAATGGTAGATCGATGTCCAGCTTTTTAAGTAGCCTCCAAATTTTTTTCCAGAGTGGTTGTACTAGTCTACATTCCCACCAACAGTGTAAGAGGGTTCCTTTTTCCCCGCATCCTCGCCAACACCTGTTGTTGGTGGTGTTGCTGATGATGGCTATTCTAACAGGGGTGAGGTGGAATCTTAGTGTGGTTTTAATTTGCATTTCCTTTATTGCTAGAGATGGTGAGCATTTTTTCATGTGTTTTCTGGCCATTTGAATTTCTTCTTTTGAGAAAGTTCTGTTTAGTTCACCTGCCCATTTCTTTATTGGTTCATTAGTTTTGGGAGAATTTAGTTTTTTAAGTTCCCTGTATATTCTGGTTATCAGTCCTTTGTCTGATGTATAGTTGGCAAATATTTTCTCCCACTCTGTGGGTGTTCTCTTCAGTTTAGAGACCATTTCTTTTGATGAACAGAAGCTTTTTAGTTTTATGAGGTCCCATTTATCTATGCTATCTCTTAGTTGCTGTGCTGCTGGGGTTTCATTGAGAAAGTTCTTACCTATACCTACTAACTCCAGAGTATTTCCTACTCTTTCTTGTATCAACTTAAGAGTTTGGGGTCTGATATTCAGATCCTTGATCCATTTTGAGTTAATCTTGGTATAGGGTGATATACATGGATCTAGTTTCAGTTTTTTGCAGACTGCTAACCAGTTTTCCCAGCAGTTTTTGTTGAAGAGGCTGCTATTTCTCCATCGTATATTTTTAGCTCCTTTGTCAAAGATAAGTTGCTCATAGTTGTGTGGCTTCATATCTGGATCCTCTATTCTGTTCCACTGGTCTTCATGTCTGTTTTTGTGCCAGTACCATGCTGTTTTATTATATTGCTTTGTAATATAGTTTGAAGTCAGGTATTGTGATACCTCCTGCATTGTTCTTTTGACTGAGTATTGCCTTGGCTATTCGTGGCCTCTTGTGTTTCCATATAAATTTAACAGTAGATTTTTCAATCTCTTTGATGAATGTCATTGGAATTTTGATGGGAATTGCATTAAACATGTAGATTACTTTTGGGAGTATAGACATTTTTACTATGTTGATTCTACCAATCCATGAGCATGGGAGATCTCTCCACTTTCTATAGTCTTCCTCAATCTCTTTCTTCAGAAGTGTATAGTTTTCCTTGTAGAGGTCTTTCACATCTTTTGTTAGGTTTACACCTAGGTATTTGATTTTGTTTGAGGCTATTGTAAATGGAATTGTTTTCATACATTTTTCTCCCAGTCTCAGCTTTCTGTGTAACTTTGGATGATGGAGTGGCATCACTGCACCAAGGTATTGGTTGAGCTTGTTGCCTGGGCTGACCTTGAACCATGATCGTCCCAATCTCAGCCTTCCAAGTCACTAGGATTACAGTGGTGAGCAACTGGCACCTGGCTTTCCAAATATTTTTGATCCATGGATGTGGAATTCACCACATGCAGGGCTGACTATGATAATTCCTGCCTCACAGAATTTTTGTGAGGATTAAATGGAATTGTATACTTGAAGACCACATGAATAAGGACTGTGATAAGAGGCCCAAGTACTGTAACTGAGCGTGTGTATTTTTTAGACTGCTAGCAAGTACCAGTTAGTTTATCTCAGCTACACTTTTACAGTGGACTGTTTGAGACATACTGTCTTTTCTGCAGTGATAGGGGTTGAACTCAGGGCCTCACACTTGCTTAAGCAAGTGCTCTACCACTTGAGCCAGGCTCCCAGCCCTTTTTGCTCCAGTTGTTTTGGAGCAAGGGTCTTCTTTTTGCCCCTGCTGGCCTGGACTTCAGTCCTCCTATTTGCATTTCCTGTGTAGCTGGGATGGCAGGCGCACAATACCACATGGAGCCATTGGTTGAGATGGTGTCTCACTGACTTTTTGCCCAGGCTGGCCTCTACAATCATCAAAGATCTCTGCCTCCTGAGTAGCTAGGATTACAGGCTTGAGCCACCGTGCCTGGCCTTGACTGTGCTGTCTTGACACATTCTTACTAGTCACCTGAACAATGAAATCCTCTATTTAGGGCATTCAAGAATCTTTGTAATACACCCTCTCCTGTAATACACCTGAGTCAGAGGTCTTAGTCCAGTTTGATTATTTATATTACTTACTGTCTCTGCCTTTATATCTTTGCTTGTTCTGTTTTCTGTGCCTGAGAGCTGTACCTAGCATTCTCCTCCTGCATATCTCAAGGTCTTCCCTTACTCAAATATTGGTTTTTTTTTTGTTTTTGCCGTGCTAGGGATATTGAACCTAGGGCCTTGAACATGCTAGGCAAGGCAAGAGCTTTCCAATGAGCTACACTCCAAGCCCCAAATACTGTTTTGTTTTGTTTTTTATGAACCTCATCTTATCTTCTCTCCAAATCAGAATGCCATGTCTTCCTCCTTTGAATCATATAATACAGTTTCATTGTATCTCCAGTACAATTCTCACAATTTTTCTCTATATTTCACTTGATCTCAGAGGTCCTTGATATAAAATGGTTGCTCTTTCTATACAAGAGTGAGTATAGAATTTTTAAATAACCATAAGAAGGGTACTAAGGTAGAAAGGAGAAAAATGGAGGGAATGAACTAATTTGGGATATAATACATATATACATGGAAATGTGATAATGAAACTTCCTGTATAGCTATCTTAAACAAACAAAAGTCTTTTTTTAAAAAATGGAGGACAAGAAGGGAAAACAGGTCCTGTCTGGGGTTTGGTACCTGTAGGAGGGGAGAGGATATGAGGAAAGAGTGTAGGAGGGAGAATGTGGTGGAAATATTACGTAGTCACATATGAAAATGGGAAAATGAGACGTGTTGACACTGTTCCAGGAGTGGGGGGAGGAGGGATAAAGGAGAAAAATGGAGAGGGTGAATTCAACTATGATATATTGTAAGAACTTTTGTAAATGTCACAGTGTACCCCCAGTACAACACTATGATAAAAAATTAAAAAAAAAAACTCAGAAAACATACTTTCAGTTAAACTGAGATATCATCAGTTGTAATACACATCCCAAACTAAGAGATTCTAAAATGTGAAATAAAGATGGATGCCCTAGATTAATGGCATAGAATTCTGAGGGACCGTGTCTAATTCATACTGGCTGATAACTTTCTGCAGGCAGGGAGGGACTCTACCCACTTATCTTGTACCTGTTGGTGCCTCACACTTGAGGCACTCAGTGAATCTTTGCATTGCTAGGGGTGTCTAGCCCTCATGGTATCATTGGAAGAGTTAGAGCCCTTGGCTGTTGACCCTCGGAATCATTTCTGACGTCTGACTTCTGGACAAGAAGCTGACTGCTGAGCAGATCATGATTGAATGGGCTGTCAAGGTGTGGTGGTTGAATGGAATGTGCAAACAAATGCAGTTCTTAGTCATCATTCCCCCCACCCCCACACACACAGTGGAAGTGAAGTTTGCTTTCTCGGCTATTAGCAGACCTCATCATTTTGGCTTCTAATTGTTTTTTTGTCTTGTCTCCTGTTTAGTATCTATGGCCTCGCATTTAAGCCCGATGGAACTCAACTGATTGTGGCTGCAGGAAACAAGTTACTGGTAGGATTTTGTCTGAGCTTCCTTTCTAAGTGCTTTTTTTCCCCCTCGCTCTTGTAAGTAGTCTGAAATTTGATGCTCCCCCCCGCCCTTTTTTTTTTGAGATAAAAAAGGCAAGGTAGGAAAACCCAGTCATTGCTTTTTAATAGGGAAGGAAATGGGGCTTAATATTTAAAATAGATAAGTAAACTGTCTATCAGATAGGAACTTGTGAACAGTACCTCCTTTGGAGTCATTCGTCTTTCTCTTTTTGCTTTGAGACACCCATGAAATAGTTGAAGACAATCAAATGCCTTTGAAAATGAGTGGGTGTCAGTTCATATTTTGTCCTGAAAAATTAAACGACAGGATTGAAGGCGATCCCTTCCTGAGAACGCAGGTAGCCTGACCCAGACTTTGAGGCACTGGCCACCTAAACAATTCCATACAGATGCTGTTCTGTTTTTCATATTTTCAAAGGCTATAAGCTCCCCCTGGAACCTATCCCAGTGTACAAAAGTAATCTTCATAGAACTCTCTGTTTGACCTAAAAACCTTTATGATTTCCCTTCCTCCTGCCCTCCGTAAGTCCACTTCCTGTTCTCTGTGTCTCCAGATATGAAGAATGACTGATGTCTGTTTTTTGTATGGTAACTGCATAGTCTTAAACCCCAGTTAAATTGTTCTGCAGACTTATTCTCTCCAGGGTAAACAATCCAAATCCTTTCAGATTTTGTTCATAGGTTTTCTTCTGCAATATTCTGTGTGGGAGAGTTTTGCCCTGATTTTTCAGATGGTGTGTTTTTCACATTTGCACATATTAATCCATGGTACACAGCTATAAAATATCCTAAACCCACATTGCAGCTGGCTTTTCTAACACACCTTCCTACTTGCAAACTCAGTGCTCAGGCCTGTGACTTTGAAAGTCTTGGTAGCAACAAGAAACACCTCTCTCTGATGTTGATGTTAGGGGCAGTGGTAATACGAACATTTGCATGTGTTGTAAGCTGGCCCTTTGTGTGCTGGCTTTGTTTAGGAAGGCTTGCCTTGATTGGCTTCTTATCCAAACCCACGTGAGAATGAATGAAATTTGTAGAGGATTTCCGTGAAGTGAATGTTGGAGCCTTTGTTTCTCGAGGATTGATGGCATGTTCCTGGTCACGTAGAGCATACATAGACTCAGGACTTTCACTTCCTGGTTACCCAGCCTTTAGTCATATTCTTTCTCGTTTTGTAGTGCAGTCTTTACTTGATACAAATTTAGCATATTGACAACTGTTTTGTTATATAAACAAAAATACCAATAGCAACCCTACAAGAATTCTGAATATTTTGTATCATTTAGATAATCTACACTTCTGCTCCTTTTTGCAGGTTTATGACGCCTCTGATGGATCCTTACTTCAGCCCCTTAAGGGACACAAAGACACGGTGTACTGTGTGGCATATGCAAAGGATGGTAAGAGACTGTTCTGGGTTTTGGTCTGTAATGGCCTCATAGCTGCTCATTTTTCTCCTTAGGCAGTCTGTCTGTCATTATTTAAAAATACAACCTTCAGGTTCAGAAGATAGGAACTTGCTTAGTCTTCACTTCAGTCATTGAAGTGAACAGTATTTATCACAACCACCCATGTCCAAGGTGCAGGCACTGTCCAAGGTGCTTGAGACACTTCAGAGAACAAAACAGACAAGGGTCTGTTGGAGTGGGGAGGAAGACATGAAGAGCATAGAAAATAGAGAACTAAGTTGTACGATGGTAGGTAGTAGATTGTATGGAAGAAGAAAGGTTGAAGCTAATGCGGGGGATTGAGTGCTGGCTGGGTGGGAGGTTGGGGGCAACGCCCAGTGGTAGCAAGGGTATAGCCATTCAGATGGGGACAGGTGAGAGAGTAAGCTTTGGCATGTGGGGAGGAGAGCTCCTTCTGAGAGCAGAGCCTCTGCTGAGACCCTGGGGTGGGAGTGTGCGATGTCTACTGGGAGCCAGGGCACAGAGAACTGAGGAGCAATGGGGAATGAGGGTAGAGAGGTAACAGGCATGGGATAGCGGGATCGTGTTGGCCATTGTAGGGACTTTGGCTTTGATTCTCAGTGAAGATGAGGATAGGTTCTGAGTGGAGGAGGGATCAGATCTGACTTATATTTTATATTTGTATTGGAAATAGCCTGTGAGAGCTGAGGGTTGGGGCAGGGAGACAAGTGAGGAGCTGCTTCTAGGTGAGGCTGACTGGGGGCTTAGGTGATCTGAGTCTGGATATATTTTGAGGGTGGAGCCAATGGGATTACCTGATGGATTGGAAATCAGGTCCTAAGACTGAAGAGGTGATGATGACTCCCAGACTTTTGACCTGAGCAGCTGAATGGATGCAGTTGCCTTCTACTGAGGTAGCAAGGCTGCAGGTAGAGAGGCTTGCAGTGGAAGATCAAGAGTTCAGTTGTGGACATTGGAATGTGAGAAAAGAGGAGAGGAGGGAGAGAGTGGGTAGAATGGAGGCTTTGAGTGGGCAAGAGGATGTGGGACCTAGTGCACAGTAGGGCATATGCTTCAGATGGGGGTGTGGGAGGACCTACCCTTGGGGCCATGGGATGGTAGGAATCCCATGATTTCTTCCATGTTTTTAGTGAAAAGAAAGCCACAGCAGCAGAGAGCTCAGATGGGGAGGGAGATGTTAGAGAGGTGAGGAGAAGGGAGAAGTAAAATCACTGCCCAGGAAAGTGGGAGAATGAATGGACCAGGAGGTCCAGTGAGGTCCCCAGTGATGAACAAGAAGGGCCACTTGCAGCCAGGGATCATGAATTGAAAGTGAGATGGATTGGAGTGGTTATGTCTTCTCTAGCCATTCATTCTAAAGTGTGCAGAGGCAGGAGCTTCTGAAAGAGGTGGATTTAGCCAGTGATGGTTTTGTAGGCATGGTGAAGATGAAAGCAGAAGGCAAGGAGGAGGCAGAGCATGTGTGCAAAGGAGGTATTATGTTAGTCAACCTCGAGATGGCAGTTGAATGATCGGGGGAGATGGGACTGTGGGGTTGAAGGACAGTGGGGAGGTAGTGGGTTCTGGTGGTGTTGGAGGATTGTTGCAGCTGAGATTAATATTCAAGGTGGGTTGGGAAGGAAGGGAGGTGGTGGTCAGAGAATGGATGTGTGAAATTGAGATCGGGAGTTAAAAATAAATTCAACATCACAACACAGCCCCTGCCCAGCCCAGAAGCTCTGTGAGTTTCAGCTGTCTTTTGAGCTCTCTGAGTCTCAACTTCCTGTGTCAAGTGGATAGCTAGCTAGCTGGCGATAATGGTCTGTGACCTCTGCTGGAGGTCAAAGAACGAAAATGTTACAGTGCATGATGAAACTTGGAGACCATCAGGTCCCAGGCTCTAACTTCTTTTGGATGGCAGACCTCTCGGAGAATCAGATGAAAGCTGTGGACTCCTCTAGAAAAGCACACACTTCAGTAGATGCAATATTTTGTGTACATGGTTTTGTCCTGACTTAGCCCAACCTTTTCACTATAGATCTAGAAAAGGAAAATGACTGGTTAAGGTCATGCAGCAAGTAGACTCAAAGACAAAATGAATGTCTTGCTTCATGGTCAGGTGAGCTATGCCATGGTGGCCACATTTTTTATGTGCATGTTTGAATTCAAGTCCAGAATGATGTTCTAGAGAAACAGTGGGAGGGAGCCTGTGAAGCTGAACTGTTTCTTCTCTGTCTAGAGGCCTTGGAGGAACATGAATCAGCCCAGGGCCTCATATGTGGCCCATAAGTACAGAAGGGCTGTTGGGCCTCCCAAGTTCATAAGCATAGAGGGCTCTTTGACCTGCAACACCATTATGGCACCAGAGGATGTCACAGTGTGACCTGGGAGCAATGGCATTTGTACAACACTTCGCAGAGTCCTGCCACACACCTTTTCTCATTTGATAGTCCAACAACCCTCTGAAGCAGGCAGCAGGGGTTCTCACTTCCTCTCACAGACAAGGAAACAGGCCTGAGCAATCGCAGGCAATGGAGGCAGAGCTGGGCCTGGCCCAGGTCTTCTGACTGCAGAGCATGCTGACTTTCAGCAACACTTTACAATGAGTAGGAGGACTTAATTCCCCCTTAGATCTCAGACCTGAGATACACTGAACCATAAACTGCTTGTTTATTATTTTTCCTGTAAGTCTGATAAGTAATTAATGAGTAACCATGGTACAAAGGGATGTAAGATACAGTTTCTTTGTTCAAGAAGGACAATATAAAACAATATGAAGAACGAGTGGTAATAATTGGTAATTTTTTAAGCATGATTCTGTTCCAGAATTGTTGTTACCACTTTATATGTCTATATGTGTGCGTGCATATGCTCATTTAGTCCATCAGCTTTGAGGTGAATACCATCAGGTATATGCTTTTCAGAGGAGAGGAAAGCTTGTTGCAGGTGTGCAGCTGGTTAGTGAAATCACTAGGAATTCTGACATGAGGCTCTGAGCCCAGAGCCCACACTTGTCACTTGCTGCCCCAGACAAGGGAGGAGTGACAGAAATCATAGCAAAGGAGAGCAGGTCCTGTTTGTTTAGAATTTGCAGTGTTGTTGCTTGGTTCACCCTTGCGTCAGTGTTGTCAAGTGTGGTTGACAGATACCATCATAGTTGACCTACAGAGAGCCTCTGAGGAACGTATTCTTCTGCCTCTGGGATTCAGACAAAGACGTTGAGCCTCAGAGAGCCCTGACTTGCCCAGGGTCATCTTTCACTTGCAGTAAGGATAAAGTCTAACCATCCATAACAAAATCTGGCTGGTGTTCATCTCATAACCATTGTCACACCAGAATAGGCAAAGGCTCCCTGGTGTCTGGGGCTCTGATACCCTGATCCTTCTCCAAGTGCTTGTAAGCTTGTAACAGTTGTAAGAATTTTAACAATTAAGAAGCAGTTATGTATTGTATGTTGCTTCTCACCAGTTTTCTTTCAAAAAGCCCAAGAAGTATGAAATGCATTTCTAATCAATTTCTTCTGTGTTTCAAGCCTTTCTCTTTTAAAGCCTTTCCATTGCTTTGGGACAAAGGGCAAAATCTCTACTGCAGCCCTGAAGACCCTAGAGCTCCTTCCCCCACCCATCTTACATCCCGCCCTCATTGTTCCATGATGGCTGCTCCTCAACCCCTCACACATCCCAGCCCTTTCCTTGCCTCAGGACCTTTGCACATCTGTTTTATCCATCAGGCTGTGTCTTTCTCCTTTCTTTGCACCTGGCAAGCTCTGCTTATCTTTTAGGTCTCTACTTAGGGGTCTCCTCTAAATTAGCATCAGGAGATGCTGACCCAGTGGTACAAAATTTCAGTCAGGCAGGAGAAATAGGTTTCTGGCATCTTTGGCACAGCACAGCCACCATAGGTAATAACAATGTGTATGTCAGAACAATATCTGAGGTAATGGACGCAATATGTTAGTTAGCTTGATAAAACCCTTGACAATGTATACATAAAGCGCCACACTGTACTCCATAAATACACACAATTGTTTGCCAACTAAAAACAATTTTTAATAAGTAAATTAGGTCCCCAGGTTTCTCTTTTCTAGGACCTACATGGTGTTTGTGTTGGATTAGTTTAACTTAATGAATGCCTACTTTTCCCACTGGACTCCACAAGGGTGAGGGCCATGTGTTTTCACTGAGGCTCAGTCCTTAGCATAAATGCAGTGGCCCTCAGTAAATCTGTGTTCACTCAGTGCCAGACAGCAGGTGTGGGTCCTAAACGTCCCTCTTCCAGGCTGCTGACTCCCAGCATGGAAGAGAAGTGGTAGAGAGGGTGGAAGTGCATCTCAGCTGTGGAGAGTGTGCTTGCCATGTGCAAGGCCCTCACACCCCCCAACATGTAGTAGAGGAGAAAGTGACAGTTGTTATCTTAAAGAACTAGTTTTTTAGGTAGGCTTGGTTATACACTCCTGTATTCCCAGGACTTGGGGCTGAGGCAGGAGGATGGTGAGTTCAAGTCCAGGCCTGACTATATAGCAAGACCCTGTCTCAAACAAAAGAAAACCAACCTATTTTCTAAGAAATATTCTGGGAGTGCTGATTTAAAATAAATTTGAGAATATTTTCCTTTTAAAACACTTAGGCAAGCGGTTTGCTTCTGGATCAGCTGACAAATGCGTTATCATTTGGACGTCAAAACTGGAAGGCATTCTGAAGTACACGTAAGTGACCCTTTGGGTATACAGTATTGTATCATTAGTTTGTTTCCTTTTTTATTTTCGAGACAAGGTTTTTCTGTGTACTCAGGTTGGCCTCAAATTCAAGATCCTCCTGCCTCAACCTCCCAAGTGCTGGGAATACAGGCATGCACCGTGCCTGGCTCTAGTTTGACTCTTACTAATTGTTGTGAAAGTCCTTCAAAAAAGATGTAAGGAAGAACTTTTTTCTCTAAAACAAATTTGAAAATAAGTTATGGGGGGTTTGGTTGGGTAATAAAAAAGCACTAATTAGCTTGGCCTTCACTGGAGTGGGCGTTTTCCTGTAATGCATTTTAATTCTTCTAACACCCCAGATTCCACCTCACCCCCAACCTGTCCTCTTCCAATGTTCCTGCCTCAAGGAATGGCCTTGCTCCCCCCCAGGGCCAAAAGCCAGAAATGAGGGCCAGGATCTGGGGGCATCTGCTCACATCCTCCCCAGTCCTCCACTGCCAGCCCCTCACCCTGCAGATCTCAGGCTCACATGTTGCTGTTTCCCCTCTAGACTCATGTGGCATTTCTCATAGCTCAGTCTCACACTTAACACTTAACACTTAACACTTGTTCTGGGGAGCAGACACTGCCCCTGTTTTTGCTCAGTCTTGTGTTCCTGGTGAGCGCCATGCCTGGGCCACAGTAAGTACCTAATAAGCAATTTTCTTTCTTTCTTTTTAGTTGTGGGAAAATACACAAAATGTGAAATGTATATCTTAACCATATTTTATTTATTTGTTTATTTAGGAGGTTTTTTTTTTTTTGGGTGGGGGGTTTGAACTCCTGGCCTTAGATTGACTAGGCAGGCATTCTACCACATGAGCCATTCTACCAGCCCTTTTTTGTGTTGGGTATTTTTGAGATAGGGTCTCAAGAACTGTTTGCCTGGGGCTGGCTTTGAACCATGATCCTCCTGATCTCTGCCTCCCAAGTAGCTAGGATTACAAGCATGAGCCACTGGTGCCCAGCCTGAACCATATTTTAAATATTCAGCTCAGTAGTGTTAAGCACTTTCACAATTTTCTGCAAAGGTAAAATCTCCCAAGCTCTTCATCTTGCAAGACCTAAAGTCTATACCAAACGACCTCCCTTCTGCCCTCCCCCCCCAGCACGTGACTCCCCCATTCTACTTTTTGTCTGTGTGAATTGGATTGTCCTAGGGACCTCATGTAAGTGGAGTCATATAGTGTTTGTCCTTCTATGTCGGGTTTCCTTACTTAGCATAACGTCCTCGTGCTCCATCTGTACAGCATGCGGCAGAATTTCCTTCCCTCTAAAGGATGGGTAATATTCCATTGTATGCATATACCACATTTTGTTTGTCAGTTATTCATCATTTGATAGATGCTTGGGTTGCTTCTACCTCTTAGCTATTGTGAATAATGCTGTATGAACATAGCTGTACAACTCAACAGCCAATTTGCAAATGAATGAGTGAGGTTGGAAGTAAAATGTTACCCAGAAGTGAAGAGTAAGACTGGGGCTGACATGCCACGTGTGGCCCGTGACTTCCTTGATTTTTCATTGCTAAGAAATTTGCGGTGTTTCCAGATGTTGGCCTGCAGTGTCCCCATTGCACCTCCATCCTCTATTTCCAGGCTACCACAAAAAATTTGGAGTAGCAGCCATAAATCAAGCATTTACTCTGCACCTGGCACTGGAGGTGCTGGACCTGGAAGTCCTGGGCAGGTTCTGGGTAGTAACAAAGGCGGTGGGTGAGCCAGTTCAGGAGAAGGAGTATTGCCCCTGGGCTTTTTATCTGTCACTCGCAGAGGGGCTTATGGCATGTAGAGTGGGGCTTGGAGCTCATGGTGAAAGCTCAGTTGTAGACACTGAGATATTGTGGCTTGCTGCTTAATAACCCATGCTATTTACCTTCCAGGCACTGCGACTCTGTACAGTGTGTCTCTTACAACCCTATCACCCACCAGTTGGCATCTTGTTCCTCCAACGAGTTCGGTAGGTTCTGACTACCAAAATCTAGTCCTGGAGTAACCGAAACTCTGGGCCCAAAATGCTGAAATCCCTGCAGAACTTGGGGATTTGTCCTGAGAGTTAGGGCCATGTCTTCCCCTTCAATGGCTCCAGGGAGGCTGGCGGTTATTCTTTAAATTGTGTAGACACCTAGACTGTGAGTGATGATGACCTTGAGTCTTGTAAGACAGAGGAGACAGACGATATGAGGGCCCCAAGGGAGTAAATGGTGAGAAGGATGGGAGAGCACATGTAGGTGCACCTTGCTGTTGCCACCTCTGGGAGGTCTTCCCTGACTTGTTCTGGCAAAGATAGGTCACTGTCCCTACTTTTATGTTCACCTACATTCACTGTGCATGGAATTCATTATTGTTTCACCTATCCTTCCAGGGCAGGGTTGTCATTGCTGGCCCAGAGACTGAGCTGTGCTCCGTGAGGGCTGTAGGCCTCAATCCTTCCTGGTGTCACATGGGCTACTGTGGTGCCAGCGTAGAGGAAGGTGTCAGGGATGTGTGTATGGAGGAGGAAGGCAGGCTTGTAGGTTACCTCCACTAAAGTCGATTCTGGTTTCCAGCTCCATGTGATGTGTCTCTTTTCCCAAGAGATAGTGAGAATAGGGGAGCAGTCACCCAGTGAGGGGTCTGTATTTCATCTTTCTTTTCCAAAAGAAGCAAGTTAACCCACCCTGTCTGTCTCATTGACAGAGTTCTGGTGTTACAAAGAGAGAATGTAACTGAAAGCTCATTGTTTAATTAAATTGGGAAGGGACCATAATTTGCTTAAGAAATTCAGCATTGTCTCCCTGAGAGGCACTGGCTTATGTGCTTACTGTGGGGGATTAAATTATCTCTGCCCCCAAGCTTTTGGTCTTGGAGGAAGGTAGGATTTGTAAAAATATCTTTCTTATTAAGTAAAAATAATAATGTGTGTGGAATGCTTGCAATGAACAATGAGTGAGGCCCTATGCTGAGGGTGAAAGGTGAATTCCCAGATGACCTCTGTGCCCCCCCCAAGGTCAGTTACCCCATTCCCACCCTGGGACTTAGTGAGGTTCAGGGATCATTGGAGATCACTTAGCCAGTAAATGGAGGAACCAAGCTTGAATCCAGGCCAGGCGACTGCATCCAGAACTTGCTCTAGGAAGCAGTGCCAAGGGAGGCCAAGAGAGAGGCTTCCCTGCAGCTGGAGGCCCAGGCAGGCTCAGTGAAGCATGGATAATGTGTGCACAGGTGGAGTGTTTGAGGGAGACCTCATGGACTAGGAAGAAAGGGGAGGAACAATGTGTTTGCACATGGCTGAATAAACTTTTTGCTCTAGGTTTCCCTTCTTGATCATGTTTCACATCCCAGGCAAAGAGTAGAATTTGCTTGTGTTGTTTGGATGCGTGTCTCTTGCTGGAGGCACTGAGGGAACAACCCTAAGGCGACCAGTGTGCCATGGACAGGGACTAGCTCAGATAGGGGCACATGCTCAGATAGAGGCCTGGGAGAGGAAACAACTCTCAGAAAGCACCACTGGTGACTGTAAATGCTCAGGTGGACTCCTTGCTCTACCCTAGTTATGAACAGTGAAGTCACCATTTCTTTGAGATTTAAATCTCAAGGTTGGCTAGACTTTACCATTCTATTTTTTTTCCTTTTTCTCTTAAAATAATTCTAGATTCCCAGTGAGTTGCAAAGGTAGTGCAAAGAAGTCTCAGATAGCCTTCATTCAGTGTCCTGCAGTGGATCCATCCTAGGTAGCTATTGTACAATACCCAGACCAGGACTCAGGGCCTGGAACAAAGTGTAGTTCTGACATCTCATCACACCTGTGTCTCCATCACCACATGGATACTTCTTACCATCACACCCACCCTCCTGACCTCCTGTTATCACAGTCCCAGTCACCACAAATCTGTCTTCAGTTCTGTAATTTTGTCGTTGAAAAGTTATATAGTGCTCGCTTCGGCAGCACATATACTAAAATTGGAACAATACAGAGATTAGCATGGCCCCTGCACAAGGATGACATGCAAATTTGTGAAGCGTTCAAAAAAAAAAAAGAGTTATATAAATGGAATCAGACAGCATGTGATTTTTCAAGGTAGGCTTTTTCCCCCCTCAGCATAGAACTCTGGAAGTCCTCCAAGTTGTTGTATGAATCAATAGTTTATTCCTTTTATTGCTGACTAGTATCCCGGCCATCTGTCTTTTCTCTTACTGTGCATTGAAGGGCTGTGGTCTCCTGAGCAGAAGTCTGTCTCCAAGAACAAACCCAGCAGCAAGATCACCTGCTGCAGGTAAATCAGGCCCCTCTGAAGTGAGGCTTTGTGCGCCTTCCTTTCCCAGATAGACCCCCACGGTCCACCGATTCACACAGCACAGAGGCCTGATGCTAACTAGTTGGTGTGGGCTTCTGTGTTTCCTGTTTTCTTCTTTTCTTATCTCTCTGATGGGAAAGACCTACACCTTTGATCATGGAGCAAAACCCACAAGTTGCCTTCGTGTAGGTAACTGGCAACAGGCTCCTCACTGAGTGGCTTTCCTAAATGGAGGCTCTGGAAACATGAGGCTGGCCTCATTCAGTAGCACGTGCAGGGGAGGAAATGCGGCTTTGAGGCTAGACACCAATCAGAATCTAGATTCTGTTGCTGACCAGCTCTGTGATCTCAGGAAAGTACCTAAATCTCTCTGAGATGTAGACTGGGTTCCTTTCTCATCTGGCAAATGGTGGTACAAACACTGAGTTGATGAGGTTGCTGTGAGATACACACAAACTAACGAGTGTAGGGCATGCAGCATAGCACCTGGCAAACAGCAGGCTCTTTATAAATGTATCTGTTTTTACAGTTCAGCTTCTGAACATCTGTCCAGTCCCTGTTCTAGGGCTGGGAATACACCGTGACTCAGGGTCTGGTCAGAGGGCAGTTTTGCATTGGGAGGGAGCTGGCCCAGAAATGCAGGCACAAGCTGTCATGTAGGTGGCCTGTGGGAGCTCAGAAGAAGACACCATTGTCTTCACATTTCACTGCCAACTCCTGAAAGAAGTGGGTTATAAGCTTGGTCCTCTAATAGTATGTGAGGAATAAGCCGGAATGATGAAACCATAGCCCGGCCACTGTGCCTCATCGCACCATATTTCAAAGCAGGGCATTATCCTCACTGGCTTTCTCTTCTATGTGTCCTTTCCCTCTCCCACGCCCTTGGCTGGTGTGTGCACAGCTGGACAAATGATGGCCAGTACCTGGCTCTGGGGATGTTCAATGGCGTTATCAGCATACGGAACAAAAATGGTGACGAGAAGGTGAAGATCGAGCGGCCTGGAGGCACCCTCTCCCCAATATGGTCCATCTGCTGGAACCCTTCAAGGTACCTTTAGAAGAAGGGCTTTCTTAGCAGGCTCAGTTATTTCTGTTCTCCTGACATCTCTGTGGTTTGGAAGTCTTCTCACCCCACTTCACTGGTCTTTTTTGGAACCTATTCCATTTAAATGGAGTTTTTAAAGACCCTATCTTGAGTTTTGGAATGAATCCCAGAGATTTAGCTAAACAGATGAATTATCTAGGCCAGCCCAAAGTGTATGTGTAAATGTTGTATGTGTGCATGTGCGTGTTTGTGTGTGAACAGCATAGGAGGGCCATTTCCTATGAACTCCCACCTGAGATCCTTGCTGCAGCATTTTCTATTCCAGTTCTTCCCTGCAAGCCTGGGCAACCTTGAGCTCTTTTATGAACCATTATAGCTGCCCTTGCCAAAAAAGTCAAAATTAAGTCTACAAATGTCCTAGACTACCAGTCTACAAATAAGTGGTATCTACCTTCTCAGCCCTCACACGCTTTCCTTTTATGCCCATGTAACTTTGAGGGTGGACTAATAGCTTTACAGGCTCTTTGTATAATCCTGTCATATTATTAAACTGTCAATATCCCCCACAGAGTCCCTTGAAAGTAAATTAAAGGACTTACTTGTTTACCAGCCCAATGTCATTTTACAGGTGGGTGTCTGCTTGATTTAGGAGGCCATTTAACTCCGTTGCCTTTCCTACACCGGGCTATTACGCTTCTTCCTGACTAATTCTGTCCAGCCCAGGCCATACCATGTGTATCATCTAATGCCATCAGAGGCTATTAGCCTACCCCAGAGTTCCTGCTATTTGATTTTGTGGCTACAGAAGACTTTGTGGCTGCAGGCCACCATTTTTAATTCATGAGAAGCAGGATGCCCAATGTACCTGGTGGCTGTCCTCTTCCGGGTAGGCTTTAGGGGCTCCTTGACAAGTTTTGAAATTATAGCTTTAGTGTAGTTCTAGGCAACATGACTGTGAACAACCACTTACTGTCTACAGCCGATGGGAGAATTTCTGGATGAACAGAGAGAACGAGGATGCTGAGGATGTCATTGTCACCAAGTATTTTCAGGAAGTCCCTTCCACTGTGAAGTCAACAGAGTACTGTAGTCAGGGTAGTGAGGCAGAGGAGGATCCAGAGGAAGAGGACGACAGTGCCAGGGACGGCAACTCGTGAGTGTGTCCCAAGGGGTGAGAACCTCCTTGGGAGGGCCCACACCCACATAGCCCTGCCAAGGAAGGAGCTGCTGTGAACTTCCTTGGCTGCAGGCAGCAGAGCAAAGCCTGGGGACTGTTGTGACCCCTGCCTCTCCCCTCACCAAGGGGAACACATGCCGAGAATTTGGGTAATCCTTTGAGAAACTAGGAAATGCTGGAAAGTGCAGAGGAGAAGGCTCAGCCTTTCTGTGGGACCCATCCTCAAAGCCCCCGTAGCACCTTAGTGTATTCCTGTCAGGCTTGGCGTGTTCCTTTAGTTATCTAAATCACGCCCCGCTTCTATCTCTTTAAGTGAACGTCATACAGCAAGCTCTTCCCAGTAACATTAGGAGTTCTGATGCCTGCATAGTATCCCTTGTGTGGACGCTCCATACTTCACTCAGCACTGCCTTCTTTACTGGACACTTTTCTTGGCCTGTTCCCACACCACACCTTACCTTGCATTGGATAGGACATGGCAGAGAGGCAGCCCTTTACTTGTCCCTGTCCTCACTCCCCTGGACAGTAGGCACTCTCTCCTCTGTTAGTTTCTGTGACCCAGAGGGAAAACACTGCAGTGGGAAAGCTGGGTAGTGGACTCTCTTCACCACATCCACGGTGCCTAAGGTTCTTTAGAAGAGTCTCAGCGTCATGGGGAAGAAAGGAAGAAAGGTGGACTTCAGGTCCCCTTCTGTGCTTTAGCCAGAGCAGCCCCTTGGATTGTTCAACATGAGTGTTTGTTTTGGTAAAGAGTCCCAGTGCTGGGGGCTGGGTGTTAAAAACCATCAAGCCAGCAGCTCCTAGGGGCTGAGCCCTGTGTGGCCTCCCCAAGACAATTCCTCCAGGCTGGGCTTCTGGCTTGTGCTGGACTTCAGTGTCAGTCACATAAGTTCACCTGCCAACCCCTTGCTGCTAACCTCCTTTTGACCCTTCCTTTTTGCCCTTAGTTCTGAATTACTGTCTGACATTTTCCTCTCTACCTTTCCTGGCTGAGTTTCACAAATGAGGCTGTACTAGTCCTGCCTGTATAGTGCTGGTGGTACTGCCTGATGACTACCAGGCCCTGAGTTCTGAAAAGCTGGAATTAACAAAGACGAGGCAACAGTGGGTAGTTTGAGACCCAGCCTTAGAGGTTGGGAACACCAGTCTCAAACTAGATTCCCGTGTGGCTTGCTTGGCCAAGGACTTTCTCCTGGGTGCTGATCCTAACCTTCTTTAAATTAGATCTGGTCAGAAGCCATTTTACCTGTGCAGGAACTCCTGGTTGGAAAAGAACCTGGCTTTAGTGTTCATTCTCTTCTTCTTCAGGAAGAACGAATACATTCCGCTCTGTGTATTAAAAATCAGACTAGTGCTGGGGATGGTGGCTACCCCTTTAATCCCAGCACTCAGGAGGCTGAAGCAGGAGGATTGCGAGTTCCAGGCCAGCCTGGGCTACATAGCAAGACCCTATCTTAGCCTCTCCCCAAGCCCTGCCTCCTCCTCAAACCAGACAGTTCACATCTCACTGTAAGAGCTGTGTTTTACAGTAATAAGAGAAAAGTGTTCTTGGGTCTGTACCGGAGCTCTTCCCAGGAAGCTCTGAAATGAGTGGTTCACCAGTGCAGCTGTGGCAGTGTCCCCACCCTCCAGTTCATGGCCAGGAGTCAGTGCAGCAGCAGATCCCAGGAGGGCCCGACCTCTAGCTTCAGCCCATCGGGCTGATTGATGGCTTGGGCCGATTCCAAACATTGGCCTCAATGAGGACGTATGACATTTGGCTCCCTGACAGCCTGGCCAGGGGCTGCTTTTCCTGTTTGCTAAAGCACTAGCCTGCACTCAGCAGCAGGCCATGCCCTCATAACCTCCTTTGTCTTCTGTTGATTAGAGAGGAACATAATGACATCCTGGCTGTAGCTGACTGGGGACAGAAACTTTCCTTCTACCAACTGAGTGGAAAGCAGGTATGTAGTGGTGTACAAACCCACTTACACTCGTACGCTTTAGTGCATTTTCACATTCACAGGTTGTGCTGCTATCAGTTAGGCATGACCGTTGTTAGTTCTGGTTGATGAACGTTTGCTCTGACACCAGGTACTCAGTGCTTTGCTTTGCTTACTTAATTCTCACCAAATCCCATGAAGTAGAGACTTTAATTATATACTCTTTTTGTGTGTGTGTTGTACTGGGCCTCACACTTGCTAGGCAGGTGCTCTACCACTTGAGCCACACTACCAGCTCTATTTTGTTTTGTTTTGTTTTGAGATGGGATCTTGCTTTATGCCTGGCAAGCCTGGACCGAGATCTTCCTGTTTGTGATGATAGTAGTGTGCTGCCATGCCCAGCCATTGGCTGAGGTAGTATCTTGCAAACTTTTTGCCTGACCTGGGACTGCCATCCTCTTGACCTGTGCCTTCTGAGTAGCTAGGATTACAGGCTTAAGCCACCACACCCGGCTAATTAGTCTTTAGAAATGAGTAAACCAAGACCAGAGTACTGAAATACTATGCCCAAGGTCCCACACAAAATAGTGGAGATGGATGGAGACCTGGATTGGTTCAACTTTAAAGGCTAACTCTTGGGGTTGGGTGTGTAGCTCCGTGGTAGGGTCCTAGCCCAGTGCACATTAGCCCCTGGGTTCATTCCCCAAGCCTTCAACACAGGAGCTTTTGTGGGGGCATTTAAGACCCAAATCTTACAGATGATAACTCCAACTTGTTTGGACAGTAAAGTGTTTTTCCTGGAGGATGAGTGGCTTTTCAACTCTGGGGAGATTTAAATGTAGGATGATGAAACAAATCAAAGCCAAACTTTTGTGTTATGCTTACACGAAATTTGTGTACTTTTGACATTTTAAGGGTTTGTAGTGTTTAAGAGGATCTGGATTAGTAATAGATAATAGCTAATATTTGTTGAGTTCTACACATCGCATATACTCTTTACAAAAATTAACTCTTTTAATCCTTATAACAACCCTATGAGGCGGGTCCTATTACCATCATCATTTTACATGTGCTTCAGGGCACATAGTTTGCCAGACTGGCACTAGAAATCCTTATTAGATTATCTACCAGATTAGTCTTGTGATGACTGTTTAAAAGCTATAATTAAATTGAAAACTGTAATTTTATACTTCCAATTTCAAATGGAAAGACATAGTATTTTTTATTAAGTGCCTAAGCAATAGTGGAATTTAAGAGATTCATTACCTTTTCTTACTTGGGGTTTACTGGATTTTTAAAGTCTATGTATTTATGTCTTTCACCACTGTTTCTTCAAGTATTTTTTCTTATCCATTCTCTCCTTTTCCTTGAGCAATTCCAGTTCCAATTATGTAAGTGTCTTTGAGTCCTCTGTAATCTCTGATGTTTCTGTGAAGCTCATCCAATGAATTTTTGTTTGAATTACTATAATTTTCAGTTCGAGAATTTCCATTGGTTCTCTTTTCCTGTTTGTGCATTCATTTGTAGGGATATTTTTCTTTATATCCTTCACCATAGTTACACCTGTTTCAAAATTCTCACCTGCTAATTCTAAAATTTGGGTCAGTCTTTGTTTGATTGTTTTTTTTCTTTTATGTGTCACATTTCCTTCCTTCCTTCCTTCCTTCCTTCCTCCCTCCTTCTTCTTTTTGGTAGTATTTGGGTTTGTACCAGGTTCACACTTGCTAGGCAGGCACTTGAGCCATGCCCTCAGCCTTCACATTTTCTTCCTTTTTGGAATTTTGGATTCTGTTCTGGATTTTGTGATTGCTGTGTCATAAAGACTCATTTCTATCATGTTTCTTTGAAGCCTTGTGTGTGTGTGCATGTGTTTAAGCAGGTAGCTTACTTTTCTGGATTTGGAGTTCAAGCTCTGTGTTCTCAGTGGTGGGCAGCAGCCCTTCATCCTTAGTGAGGCTGCTTGACCTCTGCATGACACGTGGATAGGTCAAGGTTTCCAGATATTTGACTAAGTTCATGCTTAGGGTTCATGCCCCTCTCCTCACCCCTCCCCGCCCCCCACTTCCCACTGTTCTCCTTTTCTAAGATTTTCCGTCTCACTTTCCAGCTACTGTGGTCCTCCCAAATTCTGTGCACACCCACAGCATGGTGCTGACAAGGTCTCTCCTCAGGCAAAAAAGGCAGTTAAGAAACCAAGAGGCTTGGTCAGGCATGGTAGTGTATAGCTGTAATCCCAGCACTTAGAAGGCTGAAGCAGGTCAGAACCCAGTAAGATCTCACTGGGCTACACAGTGAGTTTGAGGCCAGCCTGGAGTATTGAGATCCTATCTCAAAAAAATAAAACAAAATAAAAATCTAACCCAAGAAACTCACCTAATGCTGTTTCTGTCTTCCATTTGTGCACGTGCCCGCCTTCCATTTCCACTGGCTTTGGTTGCCCACCAGTTTCTTCAGGTGCTAGTTTTTGGTCCTGAGTTGATGGTTGTCATGAGCCCTGATGGGACCTGCCAGTCCTCCATGTCAGTCTTTTCGGTTTTCTCATTAGGTTTTCTAGCACTGCAAAATACTAGGGAAACTTTTGGTTGCTAGGCATTTGACATTCCTTAAAAGGAAAGGAAAAGTGAACATATAAAACTTATAATTATAGTTTAAATTAGTCTTAGGGAACTAAGTTGAAATTGGAGCTGACTATTTAAGGTATTTTATAATCTGTTCAAAATTACATTCATTAAACAGTTGTAGTCAAATGATTGTTCACTATGACCAGATGTATAAACGTTAAAATATTCGTAAGTTGTACTTAAAAACTTCAGGAGAAACCACATTTCTAGAGTTATTTTCTTAATAAATTGAATAAAGAATAAAGGACAGTCTTTTAAACCAGATAAACTCTTTTTAAAAGGAGAGAGAGAGATGGTAGGAGAAAGAAGCTGAGAGGGCTGTTGAGCCATAGCAAAGGCTGTGTGTGCGGGGGCACCTGTGGGAGAAAGACCATTCCTTCTCCCACAGGTGGGCTAAGGGGGAAGAGCTACTTTTGGACAATTAGGTGGCCCTGGGGAGACACCACTGACTCTAGGAGTTAAGCTTTGGCTGGGTGGAGGGAGAGGAGTAGGGAATCCAGAGGCAGAGAGGGAATAATGCAGGCAATTAGGCCAGCCAGCTAGCCCCCACCTTCGCATCAACCCATATTAAAGTGGGTGGGGAATGCCCTTAATGTTGTTGTGATTATTAATGCATTCAGAAATGGTTTTTCCCCTGGCATGTGTTCTCTCTCCTCAGATTGGGAAGGATCGGCCACTGAACTTTGATCCCTGCTGCATCAGCTACTTTACAAAGGGAGAGTACATTTTGCTGGGGGGGTCAGACAAACAAGTGTCCCTTTTCACCAAAGACGGAGTGCGTCTTGGGCCTGTTGGGGAGCAGAACTCCTCCTGGGTGTGGACGTGTAAAGTGAAACCTGATTCCAACTATGTGGTAAGAAGAGGAAGTTCATTCTTTTGGGCCACTTCTTGAGGAGGCATGGAGCACCAACTGTGGTTAGCCAGTGAGAGCACTGGTATTTGCTGCAGATAGGTGGAAGGGTAGATCTGTGTCTCCACAGAGATGGATTGACAGCCCTCTTCCCTGCAGGCAATAGGCTGCCAGGATGGCACCATTAGCCTCCACCAGCTGGTCTTCAACACAATCCATGGGCTTTACAAGGACCGTTATACCTATAGGGACAGCATGACTGATGTCATTGTGCAGCACCTGATTACCGAGCAGAAAGGTAAGAGGCAGGTCCTGCCTCTCTGCCCTGTGGAGAGACTGGAAAGAGGAGAGCTGGTGACAGGGCACATGTGATGACAGCAAATATTTCTCCATGGCTTTTTGAAAGCGTGTTAGACCACTTGGTCTTGCTGTTTTGAAGTAGGCAAGGAGATGTAGATCTTGTTGAGGATCTAATGAAAGCAATAACTCTCTAATAAAGTGTACCAGCTCACAAAATTATGCAAATAATTCCAAGGGGAACATAGATCACTGAGACAGGGAGGCTGACTTATATGTTGGACCCAGAGTGGTCTTTGCAGAAGTCTTTGTGGACCTTTTTCCTTCCTGGTCAGAGTTATTCTGGCATGCTTATCTCTCAGCTCAGCCTCTGTTTGTCTCTAGGTGGGTCCCTTCTGCCAGAGACAAGTAGGGACAGTGGGTGGGCCGAGGCTGGGTCAGAGGACCAGGGATCCAGGCCTTTCATAGTTGGTCCAGCTCTGACCATCTATCTCTCTTCTACTCACCCAAGAAGCCATGCTGGATAACAAGGTGTGTTGACATCCAGATGTGCTGGCCACAGCACACTGCCAGATGCCTTTGCGTAGGGACCCCTGTAGGGAGTCATCCTGCAGCTTCAGGCTCGCTTCCTTTGGTCCCCATTGGGGAGCACCTACATTTTGAAGAGACCAGCTGTGATGGTGGCAGTGCACCTGCTGGGGCAGCTCAGCAGTATCCCATCTGGGACATTTTCTCTGTCCCAGGTGAGGCAGAGCCTGGTGTGTCCCAGAAACTGTATGCAATTCCCTGTTGTCAGGGAGGTAGGAGGGGTGTGGCCAGTCATTAGGTGAATTCCAGATCATCAGGGGCCATTAGTGCTGTGCAGAGGGGTGGAGACTTGCTCAGCAAATGGTGATAGCATTCCCAATTCATTTTCCATCCTCAGTAGAACTCCTGCCTTGCAAGTGCAAGGCCCTGAGTCCACTCCCCAGTAACACCCAAAACTATTGTATGCAACTCTGGATCCCAGTGCTGAGCAGAGCTGACTATAAAGGGTTTTAAATGAGAGCATCTCACTTTAATTGCCAGGAGCATTAAGTAAATGATGGCTTTTAATTTCTCTGCCTTCCACCTTTTGCTGGAGCCTGATTTTTTTTTTTCCCCTCTGACAGTTCGGATTAAATGCAGAGAGCTTGTCAAGAAAATTGCCATCTACAAAAATCGATTAGCTATCCAACTTCCAGAGAAAATCCTCATCTATGAGTTGTATTCAGATGACTCGTCAGACATGCATTACCGGGTGAAGGAGAGAATGATCAGGAAGTTGGAGTGCAACCTCCTTGTGGTTTGTGCCAACCACATCGTCCTCTGCCAGGTGGGCAGCAGCCTGAGGAGGGGTCGGGCTGATCCCCTTCCTGCTCCCTCCAAGGATAGGTACCTACCTTATGGTTTTCAAAGTGGTCACTGGGAACTGCTTCCCCTCCCATTAAAACCGGTGGCTGTTTGTTGGCTTCCATTGTGTTGGCATCTAGAGGAATCAGACTCTACTAGAAAGCCATGGGCCATAAACCAGAGAATATATTTTTGTATTGCAGAGCATTCTGCAGTACTGGGATGAGATATATGTTAATAACTTAAAACGTAACTTTTGTCCCACAAAATGAACTTAAATTTTGTTTGATGAGCATATACACATTGAAATTTGTATCAACGCAGTAATCAAGGAAGTTTTACTTCCTGAGATTTTTTTTTTCACAGAAAAATGTTTTTCAATGGATTTCTAGAAAAGAGAAGTTTGGAAAGATTTTGTGCAAAGCCTAGTACATGTGGATGGGCCTGTTGGACGTGATCAAATGGAAGAAATCCTTTAGGAATCACCATAGTGTAACATACTAGCAAAGTCTGTGTGAATGTCTAGGTCCTCAAGCAATCTGGGAGCATCACAAATGACAGGGTCTGTGTGGCAAATCATGTGCCTTTGGATGATGCTATGAAGACTGCACTAAAGATGTGAGGCCGAGTTTGCTCCATGGGGAAGCCTTGTGTGAAGGACTAATGATGGCAGTGCTGGGGACAAGCTGGGGTTAGCTAACTGCTAAAGGTGCAGGTGTCTTCACCCAGTGTAGGAAAGCCCCTCTGGAGGGCTGGGAGCATCCATCTGTGAAGGTCGGGGCTGAGCCAGGTTTGCTTCAATAGGAGAAGCGGCTGCAGTGCCTGACCTTCAGTGGAGTGAAGGAGCGGGAATGGCAGATGGAATCTCTCATTCGATACATCAAGGTGATTGGTGGCCCTCCTGGAAGGGAAGGTCTGTTAGTGGGCCTGAAGAATGGACAGGTGAGTACTCCCTGGTATCTCCCATCAGACAGGTTATCTGCATGCAGATGCAGGCAACCCATCTGGCAATGACCCTGAGATGAGCAGTGGGCTGGAGCAGGAAAGGTTTGGTTTGTTGTAGCTGCTGGAGTTTACTTTTATGAGGACAGATTCAAGCCAAAGGCACAATGGTCCTCAAGCTCATAGCATGCTCACATTCTGTCAGAGTTGCTGCCCTGGCCACTGGGCTGCACGTACAGTGGATTATGGGCTTAAGGCCACCTGGAAGGTAGGTGATTTGTTAAGAGCTGCAGCTTTATTGGATTGCCAGAGAGGGAGGCAGAGATCATTAGCGAGGTCAGAGTTCTGTTAGGGCAGTGACTGGATTACCACTGCAAGTTCCAGCCTGGGTCCTCGATATGTTACAAGATGCTATGAGAAAAAGGGCCCCAAGGGAAATAGATGTGGGAAATCTATGTTATGTGAAGTTAAACTGGTGTGTGTGTGTGTGTGTGTGTGTGTGTTCTTTCCTCAAAATAAGAATAGTTCTTTGTGGGCTACATAGAAATTTGAAAGTGAAAATATAACTGCATTAGCCTGCGAGCCAAGCTGTGTAGCAGATGGCTTGTAGCTGAGGATTGTTAGGTCCTTACTGGGGACGGAAGTTACAGAGCATGAGATCAGTGGGAGCTATCGAACAGCAACACCGAAGTGGGGAAGAGCCGCTTCATCCTCACAGTCAGCTCTTAGATCTCATGAGAGGCAGACAGCATAGGCTTTGGGGTCAGGTCCACCTGGGATCATACTCTTACTTAGCTGCTGACTAGCCATGTGACCCTGGGCAGGTCACCTCACCTGTCTGAGGCTCAGGTTTTACAGCTAAGGATAACACTACACTTCTCACAGGGCTCTCAGAAACAGGGATGTCAATAAATGGTAGCTGCCATCATCTGTATCATCATTACTATTTTATACCAGCTGTACCATCAGTGTTATTGTAGCCTCTTCCTGTGTTAGTTTGTGACTCAGAGCTTTACTAAATGGTCCCCTAACCCTGCAGTTTGAGCAATGTCATTAAAAAGTCCAAGCAGACACTAGAGTGAGTCTGGCATGTCTCGGGCGGGCCTGTTATTACTTTGGTGACCTCCAGTGAACCACACTTCTGGTCTCTTAAGGATAAGTCCCTGCCCCCGCCACCCCTTCTTTCTTTTAATGAGTCCTTTCTCTGCACACAGCTCCTGGTAGAGTTGGTGGGAGTTGTTCTTGAAGAACACATGGGACTCCCAACAGCCTGGCAGTGGGCCAGGGTCTGGTTGCCATAGTGACTCACGCTTTTTCTCTGAAATTTTGCCAGATCCTGAAGATCTTTGTGGACAATCTCTTTCCCGTCGTCCTGCTGAAGCAGGCCACAGCTGTTCGCTGCTTGGACATAAGTGCCACCCGGAAAAAGCTTGCTGTGGTGGATGAAAACGACACGTGCCTGGTATATGACATCCATACCAAGGAGCTGCTTTTTCAGGTGAAGTCCCAAGACTTGAGACACAGTCCTTTGATTAGGGACCTTGCTCCATCTTACCAGTCCCTGCGGAGACACTCCTGCTCCTGGGAGTCGCAGTGAAGAGCAGGGACGAGCATAGGTGGAATCTGCCTCAGCCTCCCCCAGACCTGGCAGCAGCCGGGGCTAGGCCTGCCTCTTGCAACTTTGGTTTCTTTGTGGGTAAGGCTGGCCAGCAACACCTTTCTTACATTTACATGAGCAGTAAGTGAGATGATAATGAACATCCAAGTGGGTGGGTCAGTGTGGTAGAGAGGGTTCTCTGAAGAGGTCTTTGTCCTCTCCTGCAGTCTGCCTATTACTGTGAGTGAGTGATCTCAGGCTCAGTAAGGACACAGGATCAGCTTTGTCATCTGAAAGGAGGGGAATCCCACCTTGGTATTTATTTCACAAGAATGCTGTAGAGCCAACACAGTGGGAACTGTTTGGATCTTTGGGCTGGAAGCAGTATGTTACTGGGGAAGAAAGCCCCAAGGGTGTGTGCCCAGTGCCAGCTGGCTGGCTGCTGGGTCAGGGCTGTTCTTGGCTTTCTTGGACTTTGTAAGCTGTCAGGGCCAGTTTGCCTAAGATAAGTTCCCCATAGCTGGAACCTCTGTGGACTGGCTCCCACTGCTGGTTTCCCAATGTCATGGTAAATTCAGGTCCCCTTATGGGGTCCTTCTTGTCTTCAGCCACAGAACCAGTAGGGGGGAGGGGCGTCTGGAGTAGGTAGCTGCTTCAGTCACTTGGATGGGGTGACCTGGCTGCCACTAGCCCAGAGGTGACCCCCAGCTAAGTCTGACTCACATCACAGAGGAAGCTGAGTGGTTTAGCGGAAACAAAGCACAGCCATTGCTTTCAGACTGACCTGGGTTAGGGTCCTGCCTGCATCTCTTACCATGTGATCTTGAGCAAGTTAGTGAACCTCTCTAGGCCTCACTTCTGCTTATTGCTGAAAGGAAACTAGCCATTTTCCACTCATCGAATTGCTACAGAAATAAACAATATACCACTATCGCTAGCTCAGCGCAGGGCACAAAGTAGGTCTAAATGTTGCTTCCCGTCCTGCAGCTTCTCAGTGCTACTGCCTGCCGCTGCAGGTAGGTTAGTAAGCCCCAGTATGCGCCATGTCAGGTCTGAGTCTAGAACCACATGAGGGTGACGGTGTGTGGCTCCCCTCGCTCACTGCAGGCTTCATCGGAGGCTAAGGCTGGTGAGTTTCAGGCCAGGAGACATAGTGTTCCCAGTCTCTTGCCTGTTGACTCTCCTTTTCACTGCCTTCATCGCCTTCTTATTGAAAAAGTAACCCATGTTCATGGCAGGAGACTCTGACATTGAGAGATTCTGGGTAGAAAGGGATGAATCTGTTCTGGTCTTGGGGCTCTAGGGCCAAGCAGAACACTGAGTAGAGGGGCCCCTCTCAGGGTGATGGTAGTTTTAGTGTGTGAATTGTAAAGCAGATACAGTAGATTATTTCTCATTTAAAAAAGAACTCCCAATTCTTTTTCTTATTATAGAAAACAATAGATATTCGTGACAAAAAAGTTCAGGCAAACAAAAAATAAGAAAATAAAAAGCACTCTCTCAGAAACAATCATTGTTAATCCTTTGGGATATATCCTTCTCAGCCTTCTTTGTGTATGGGGATATGTATTTATTTCTTTTTTTGTCATATTATTGTTGTATTGGGGGTACATTGTGACATTTACAACAGTTCCTAGTTGAACTAACCCCTCCGTCATTCTCCTTTATTTGTTTATTTTTTATTTATTTTATTTTTGAGGTGCTGGGCCTTGGACTGTTCAGCAAACACTGTGACATTGAACTTCACCCCAGCCCTATTTATTCTTTAGTAGACTGGAATCCTACTTTGCTGATTCTCCACTTACGATGATGTGATTAAATATGGGGAAAATAATAATCTTTCTAAAAGTAACGCTTATTCAAAAACTCCAGCACTCTGCCAGGACATAGAGAGGATGGCCCCACCCTCTCTTTCTGGTCCCCCTTCCTTCTCTGCCATGTGTGCATTGTCAGCACTTGGGGTCTATAAGATGGGCCCATGACTGAACTGTGGGAGCAGCATCAGGGTGGTCCTCACAGGCACTTACATCTCTGCCCCTCAGGAACCAAATGCCAACAGTGTGGCCTGGAACACCCAGTGTGAGGACATGCTCTGTTTCTCTGGAGGAGGCTACCTCAACATCAAGGCCAGCAACTTCCCTGTGCACCAGCAGAAGCTGCAGGGCTTTGTGGTCGGCTACAATGGCTCCAAGATCTTCTGCCTCCATGTCTTCGCTATGTCTGCTGTGGAGGTGCCGCAGGTAACCCCGTTTGTCCTCTGTTGCAACAGGGCAGGTGGCCCAGGGAGGCTGGGCACCGGTACTGTGTGCAAGGGTGCCGAAGAGAGGGAAAAGGGAGAGTGACAGCTGTGATACCACGTGTGTGCCTCTAGCAACCTGCTCAGCCTCACTGAGTCTGTTTCATTCTGATCCTTTTCCTGGTAAGGACAAGAAGGGACACACGTTGTATCAGCAGGCAGTGCGTTTAACTGAGAGCCAGCAGAGCGAGGAGCACATGAGTGCTGCTGCTGGTGGTGATAGTGGGGTGTGTGTGAGAGAGAATATGAATGAGAATGAAAATAGCCAGGGTGGGATGTGGGGCCTGAGGTTTGTGAGGCAGAAAGAGAGCATGGGACCCTGCACAAGTTTCCTGAACTTAGAGGAAACCATCTAGGAATGGGGGCTGGAGATGGAGTCATGGAATGGTGGAGGGCAAAAATACACAGGAGAGCCCGGAATGACAGCCAGTTTGTAGCTGGCCTAGTCACAGATGCCCTGACTATCTGCTGCTCTCCCCCACTCCACAGTGAATGATGCTGGCTCTAGGATTGTCATAAATCAGAGACAAACATCTATCCTCAGGAGAGAACTATTCTTTTTAAAATTTATTTCTTTAGTTAGGTGAGGTCTTGCTATGTAGCCCAGGTTTTGAACTTGTGGTCCTTCTGTCTTAGTCTCCTGAGAGCTGGGATTGTAGGTCTGCGCCACCAAGCCAGACTATGAATTATTCTTAAACATTGTCTATACATGTATATAGTGTATGCATAATTATGAGCATGTGATTTTATGTAAGCATTTTTAAACAAATCATGCCATAAGGGTCATTTCTTGACTTTTATCCACATAAGGATTGTTACCTAAATATGAGCCCTCAGGTTTACTGTATTTACTTTACTGATGGTCCATAAACGAGAGATTGCGTGCTGACTTCTAATCTAACCTAATATCTGTGTACTGTGACCCATCCCCTTTTGTGTAGGAATCAGAGTTTTTTCACTTGGCAGTTCACTGAACACATGGCGTGTCAATGAAGGTACTTCTCCAGCGTTTTCAAACCTGAAGATGATTGCGTATCTACATGTATTTGTAGGAAATAATGCAAAGATCCCTTATACATTTTGCCCAGTTTCCCCAAGGGTAACAGTTTGCAAAATCTCAGCGCAATTGTTCATGTGCTCTGCCACCACAGTGCAGACTTGGGGCACTTACCCCAGTATCCCTGGTGGTGTACTGCCCTTTGACGACCAAGCCCCTTCCTCCGGCTCGCCCCCAGCTTGTGTAATGGCTGCCATAGGTCCTGTCACATGATGTTCCACTGTCCCCGAGCCTATCCCTCTATATTTAACCAGCACCCTATTGGGGGATATTTATACTGTTCACAGCTCTTTGCTCTTGTTAATAGTGGACATCTTTCACCTAAGTCTGTACATCTTACCCACTGAGCCCCTTGGTATAAATTCTGAGAAGTGAGGTCGCCTGACCAAAGGCTGTGTACATTTGAAAGACGATCAGATACATTCCCAGATTGGCTTTCATTCAGCTGTGTCAGTCCACGTGCCCTGCACACAGCTGGACTTTAGATGATCTGCTTCTTCCGCTGAGCCAATGAGACCCTTGTCACTTACTGCAGGAATTACTGGGACAGATATTCACCCAATGACAGTGATTTCTGATTTGACAACACTGAAGAAGAAAAAAAAGAAAACAAGGGAGACTGGAGTAGGGCAGGTTGTGTGTGCGTGTGGCAGAGTAGGGCAAGCAAAATGCAGTCCCCTGGACTGTCTCCTTGTCCTCATCTGCTCCCATCAACGTCCCATACCCAGACCCCACATCCACCAGGACCCCATTCTTCCTCAGCTGTGCCAAATAGACTGTGCTTTTTGAAAGGTTTTCTCCCAAGACTGCTCCCCTGACCTCAAAAACAAATGCAGTTTGTTGCTCCCTGACTTCAGCCAGCCAAGAGGAGCCGAAGGGGCCACAGGGCTTCCTCTGCCAGGACCTTAAAAGTAGGCAGAAAGCCTGATTTGGCTGCAGCAAGCATCCCTGCTGAGGCAGCAGGGCAGGCCTCCCTGCCAAGGGTTAGGAAAGGCGATCTCAAGACAAAGGCTGTTTATCTGTCGCCTCTGCCTCCAACCATCCTGTGGTTTGGGCCTCCAGAGCTGGGAGAAAGTCCCAGTCTTGCTCTCGGGATTTTTAGTTTCCTTTCGAAATTTACATCATCTTGTGCAAGAACTGGTCTGTCAGAGCTGCCAAGTAGGGCAGCAGGCCCCAGCCGGGCTTCTCTGGCGGCAGTGACTTCACATTTGGAACATAGCAGTGAGATAAGGGAGCACTTCGAGGGGACCCGTTCCAGAGTGCATTTGCCTTTTCTCATAGACTCCACCTTCCTGGCCAGCCCCATGTCAACCACTGCTGTATTGATGCTCCATTGTTCTGCTGCTCCTCCGTGCCTGTCCTTGTGCCTGTCCCCTGTCGTGGGGCAGGCAGCATGGCAAGAAGTCCTGCAGGGTAGGGAGGGAGCACTGGCTTTGAAACCTAGCTCCATCATCTAAACCAGTTGCGTCCTGAGCACCTCATTTCAATATTTAGGGTCTCATTTTCTTTTCTGTGAAATGTTTTTTTTTTTTGAGATGGGGTCTCACCATGTTGCCCTGCTGGTCTTGAAGAAGTTGTGGGCTTAAGTGATCCTCCCATTTCAGCCTCCCAAGTGGCTGGGAATACAGGCTGTGCCCTATGCCCAGCTTGAAATGGGGTTAATTATACCCATCTTCAGGTTTTGTCTGGCCCAGTTCCTATTATTATTTCTCCTTATTACGGATGGTCATAAAATAGCAAAAGCCACAAAGAGAACTAAATTGGAGAAGAGGGTACTCACTGAAGAAGTTTAGAATGGAAAGCTGGCCATATGTGAGGAGTTAGAGGATCTTCCAGGAGGTGCTGACTCCTAACCAGGGAGGTCTGGAAAGGCAGACAACAGTGGGTAGATTGGAGGTGAGGGTGGGCAAGTCTGGAGAGTTCCAGAGGGTGTGGAGCTGGCATGAGAAAAGACAGGAGGAAGGATTGGGCTTGCTTTGCGCCCAGTACTTTGTCGCTTTCAGAGTGCCTCTCTCATTTGCCCTTAGTAGCCTGAGCAGGGCAGGGAATCTAAACAGAAGGTAATGGATTTCTCCAGAAGGCACGGGCTAAGATGCAGCTGAGCCACACCTGGGTTCCATCTCAGCTGTTCCCAGCCTCCATGCTGCCTCCTTGAAGGGAGGAAGGGCAGGTGGCCTGGCGTGGTGGGAAAGACCAGCCCAGATGACTGCACTCTGATGCCTTGCTATCAGAGTGCAGACTGTCTAAAACTCTAAAGCTGAAAAAAAATGGGACCGGAAATTTTAAAGACAAAGGCCCCAAATGGAGAAAACAGCACTTTCAGCTGCACATTTGGGAACCATTAGCACAGAGGTACTGGTTGATTGATCTTCACTGTCTGGGAATCCATAAGGGGAGACAGGTCCATGCAGCACATCGACTGACCTAAAACAATGATCGAGCCTTTTGTTGTTACAGACACCTGGGCCTAGCTCAGACTCGCTCTGTGTGTACACACATGCACACACACACATGGACACACACAAGGCAAGAGGGAACACAGCACCTGGAGTCAGGCCATGTCTTGCTCCAGGCTCAGTTTGTCCATTTGCTAGGTAGATGTCCTCAGACAAGTCAGGTGTCCTATCTGAGTCTCAGCCTCCTGGCCATGAGGGGCTAAGAACACCTACTTACACTTTGTACCCTAAAAAGTCATTAGGAACTAATCACAGGTGTTCCCAGTAAAGCAGCCCAATCTTGGAGGGACCTGTTCCCCAGCGCCAGGGAACTAGGAGAGTTTTTCTAGGACCTTCCTGGGCACGTGGAACAAACCAGGCTTGGACCCTCTGAGGAGAGGCCATCCTGACCCCTCCCTCCCCGGAGTGCCATTCATTTCTCCAGTGCATGGACTGAGAGCCTGCTGGGATAGGCAAGTACCATCCATAGTGAGTGCAGGGCCTTGTCCAGGAAGTGGGCATAGAATTACAGCCGTACCTGAGATCTGAACAGAGTACAGAAGAATCGCAGACTCCTTCCTTTGGGGTAGAATAATGAGGAGCCAGGGAAGAGTTTCCAGAAGAGTAATATTTTAACAGGGCTTTGAAAGTCAAGTAGGTGTTTTCTACAGGGTGGGGAAGGGCAAAGCCTTTCCAGGGAGGGTGACATCTTGTGAAGCAGGGCTGGGATGGGAAGGGGGAGGATGGAAGAACTGTGACTCAGTTGTGGGGAGAGGCAGAATGGAAGGTGCAGGTGACTGGGGTGAAGCTGAGGAAGGGGCTGATTGACCATTGTGGTGTGGCAGGCATTTGTGATGAAGTCATGGCACACATCAGAAGCAGGCTTGGTTGTACTCTGACTCCACCGCTCTAAAAAGAATCCTCTTTTCTCCATTTGATGAAACCCTGCAGTCAGCTCCAATGTACCAGTACCTGGATAAGAAAATGTTCAGAGAAGCCTACCAGATTGCTTGCTTGGGTGTGACGGACACTGATTGGCGGGAGCTGGCCATGGAGGCTCTAGAAGGACTAGAGTTTGAAACTGCAAAGAAGGTAGGCACGTAATTTGATAAAGGGTCCCTTAAGGAAGCAGAAGGTGGCCCAGGGGCATGGAGGGGTAGAAGCTGACTGTAGGAGGCTCTGGAGTTAGACTGACCTGCGTTCTCAGCTCGGTCACTTCCTCGCTGTGAGCTTGAGCAGGCAATGTCCTTTCTAAGGAGGCTTCTCTCCAGGATTCTGAGGGTGCAGGCCCCATCCATCCTCACAAGGTTGTAAAGATCTAAATGGATAATGCTGGGAAAGCCAGACATAGGAAAAGCATCTGGTAGACTCTGGCTGTCAGTCAGTTTTTTGGTTTTTTTTTTTTTTGGCAGTACTTGGGTTTGAACTCAGGGTCTCACACTTGCTAGGCAGGTACACTACCACTTGAGCCACTCCATCAGCTCTTTTTTATATTGGATATTTTTAAGATAGGCTCTGGTCATGGTCTTGAACCATGACCCCCTGATCTCTAGCTCTTGAGTAGCTAGGATTACGGATGTGAGCCACCTGCACATGGCTGTAACTGTCAGTCTTACTAGCTATTATTTATTGTAAATCACCTAAAGAACAGCCTGGTACATGGTAGGCATTTAATAAATGGTAGCTTTTATGATTGGTGCAAGCAGTAGGCTGTTTATTACCCACTATTTTCAATACTCAGCAAGTGTGGCGGAGGAAATGGCAAGTTCCATTGAGACAGCAGTGTGGTTACTTCCCATCGTCCTTCATGACACTTGCTTCATTGTATCATTTTCTTATTTAGTCAATTAAAGCTAGAAATATGGCTGAAAACATTGGACCCCTTTCTAGACATTAGAAAAAGCCCACGTGTGTTTGCCTGAGGTAGGGAAAGGGATGGTATCCAGTTGCTCTCTGCTCTTTCTCTCCCCCTTCCCCCAGTCAAGTAGGAGCTGCTTCTTTTGCCCATAGCTACTAGTCTGGTATGGAAGGAGCTGCAGAGAGATATGTGGTACTCTCCTAGTATTAAAGTCAAGACTTCTAGGCATGAAAAAAGAGTAGACTGTACCAGAACAAGGGGTGGGGCATGGCTCAGTTGTAGAGCACGGTACAAGGCCCTGGGTTCCATCCCCAGCACAGAAAAGGAGAAAGATTGTTATATGTAATAATTATCTACACTATATTTTAAGATCTGCTAAGAGTCAGGAAAGTGGTAATGGCAGAGGGGAGTGGAGGCCTCTCCCTGGAGGGACCTCCTTCTCCTTCCCTGCCCAGAAATTCCAGGAGAGATGATGAGCAACAGAGGATTCCTGGGATCTGTCTTGTTTGTTGTAGCTGGGAATGGGATTAAATATCTTCCCTTTAGGTTTTCACTTTCTTAGGACACCTAGGAACCTACACCCAGCTCCTGTTAGTATCACCCCACCTCTGCCTACAGTGCTTTGCCGGGATTGCTAGTAAATGGGTGTTTGAATGGATGGAAATGAAACTAGAATATGACTCTGCATTCACTTCACACCCTGCCCTGTAATCTGAGAACACTCCCTGACACTAGAATTGCTTACCCGGAGCACAGTGTTTGTTCGCTTAGTTGACAAATAGATATTTTCTTTACATTTATTGTGAACAACATTACGTTTAGAGAAGTTGGTTAAGATTTAGATCAGGCTACAACTGGAACTTTATCCCACTCCTGAGTCCCCGGCCTTCCTTTCTCCAAGGAGCCAGTCACTCAGGACACAGGCTGTGCAGGGAGGTTCCCAGCCCAGAGGTATGTGTCCACTAGATGGCAGAGGAGAGCTGCTCAGTGTGGCCAGCACTGCCTCACGGCTGCTCTGCTGCCCACTCCCCTCTGTTGAGGTTACCCATGGGCCTCCTAACTGACCAGTTGACCAGCACTGGGCTCTATGGATATGGCAGGGCTGAAGAAATGCAGAGGCAGAGTTCTCATGGGGATTTCTCTAATCCCAGCACAACAGAACGAGGCCCCTTGGACAGGGTGTTACTAGCTTGCTAGAGTCCACAAAGAAGTCACTATAGCCCAGAAGAAGAGAGGAAGCAGGTTAGGGCCCTAGCTGGAAAGCCTCAGAGTGGACTGAGACCTCGAGTGCCCAGCATTGGCCATGGCATGGCCCCAGGAAGCTGTGATGTAGGAGGTGGCATGTGAGACAGCATGGCCCCTCAGGCCCTTGTTCATGTGGTGACTGCCTTGCCTTTCACAAATTCCTCCTCAAGAAAACCCACAAAGCTGAGCCCAGCAGTCAAGACCAGCCTGGGCAACACAATGAGACCCTGTCTCAGATATGAGAGAGACAGAGACAGAGAGAGAGAGAGAGACAGACACAGAGAGAGACAGAGACAGAGAGACACAGAGAGACAGAGACAGAGGGACTGAGACAGAGAGAGAAAGAGACAGACACAGACAGAGAGACACAGACAGAGGGACTGAGACAGAGAGGGAGAATGGGAGAGAACCCACTTGCCAGGTTCCTGCTGTCCTGCTGTGCATGCTTTACTTAATCCTGGCCTGCCACTGCCCATGCTCAGTCAGTGAATGTATTTTCTCAAGGGGACCTCCTTCCTACTTGTACAGCTCTGAGCTTAGGGAAATTTAGTGATCTGTTTAATCTGCTGAGCTCCTCTTTCCAAGTGTGGGCCCCTGAACTGAGCAGGGGTACAGAGGCCAAGTAGAATTCATCTCTGGGTCCCCAGCCTCTGACAAGAAGCTGGCCCTTTGGGATAAAATGATGAAGTCATGTTGTGGTCATCTGTGAGGTGGTCAGAGGCCGGATAACTTGCTCACTTTCTGAGTCTTCTTAGGAGGAGGGGATGCAGCTAACTAGAGGCTACAAGTGGCTAGGGTTCTGCACTTTAAATCCTGAAGGCCCCTGGAGCTGCTGCCTCCTCTAGGCACTCAGCCCCTTTCTGGACACAGTAAACAGCACCGCTGGGTGAAATGTTGACAGCAAAGCCATACAAAAGCCAGCTGACATGATGGTCATATTCCCCTTGACCCCTTGTAGAATCTGAACAGTTGGCGAGAAGCCTGGCTGGCCCCAGTCTGCCTTTCTCTAGAAACTCCTATCAGCCCATAGGTTAAAGTGCTGCCCTACTACAGATTCAGGCAAGGGCTATACTGTCATGATCTGCAGGAGAGTTTGTCTTCTGGAGACTTGGAGTGATTCATTCACTACCATCCCCCTCCTTTAGGAACTGTCCCCTTCCTCTCTCTCCAAGTCAGCCTGTGGAATCTGTGTGCCCTGTGTCCCTGTGTTCATGGCCTCATGGGTAAGCAGAGCTGTCTCCTGCTTTCCTGCCAAATCACCAGGATGTGCCAGCAGGCTCCTGTCAGTGCATCTCATTCACCCTGCTGAGGCCACTGCCTTGAAGTCAGACCCCCATCCTTCCCTAACCATGGAGCTTCTCCCACAGAGACCACGTCGCAGTATCAGAGTTTTGTTTCACCTAATCTCAAAATGATTGATGCAGTGGGGACTTCTTTGTTGTTCTTTGTATGGACTAATCCTTGGGATAAAGCAAGCCTCGCTGGGTGGCAAACCTCCCGAACACATGACGATTAATCTATGCTTGCTTCCCCTCCTTGCTGGCTCCCTTTCTGGAGATTGGCGTCCCACCCCAACCAGTTGCCCACTGTTGAAACTGAGAAGGCAGCTGATTGCATTTTTTCTTCTTCCCCATAGGCTTTCGCTAGAGTCCAAGACCTGCGGTACTTAGAGCTGATCAGCAGCATCGAGGTAAACTCTGAGGCCATCCCCTTCAGAAAGTGTGGGCACTCTGAGGACAGGGCACACAGCTAAGGGGACAGAGTGGCCATGTGGAAGACAGTACCCCTGGTGGGGGGGGGCGCAGTGTGTCACTTGGTAGCAGGTGAGGCGGGTGGTTCCCAGGCCGTCTGAGCTTTACTTTCTTGTGAAATGGGATCAGCTCTCCTCCACAGGATTGCTATGAGGTTCTTGGTGTGTGGTTTGCATCCCTGGAGTGGTGGTTAGCTGGTTCCTGGACTCCAGTGATCTGTCAGTATAGCAGGCATTTTCCCCGGGGCACCTGATCTGAGTTGAACACCCCAGTGCCTCAGCCCCACTGCTCCTGGCTGAGAACTGCCCTTGTTCGCCAAACCAGGAGGCTTGGGGGGTGGGCTAAAGAAGCTGTTCTAAGTGCACTATATATGGGTGACAGTAGACACTATTTTTAATTTCTGTGTATCACAGTGCTGTCTGACTGTCTGTAAAAAGGCGTACATATTTTTTTCTCCTGAACAGATTTATTGTGAGGCTAAGGGAATGTGAGACACATTTGAATTCCCAGATGGAAGCAGTGAGGAAACCAGCAAATGTCTTGTCCCTCTAATTCAGTTCAGCATAAGAAACACCTGTCATGGGCCCAGCCCTGTGCTGAACCTAGTGGGCAGAGAGCTGGGGAGAGAGGAGGCCTGCGGGGGCTCCTAGTCTGCCAAGCAGGACAGGAGCTGCCATTTGTAGAGCCTGCTCCATGCCCAGTTTTAACTAATATGTGTGTTGTTCTGAATCCAGACTTAGCCAGGTTCTGTTGTCATTATATTGCATTCAAAGGGTAAAGAAACAAGTTCAGTGAGGCTATGTCCCATCTCCAGGGGGCCACAGCCAAAAGCTCAGTAGGAATTCAAACCTGTTTCCCAAGCTCTGCCATTTTTACCTAGGTCATCCCCTATGGACCCCAGCAGGTCACAGGTCATTGGTGTCTTCGGTGGTTTACCTGCCTGTGTGGGAGCCATCTCCCCATGCTACCAGTGCAGTCCAGTCTCAGGAATGGGACTTGGGAATCAGCTGGCCTGGATTCTAGGGGCAGTCTTGATCCAAAGCCATGGAATGTAATTTTTCTCTACACAAAGTAGCTGGCCTCTGTGAAGATCATTGCTTGTCCTTTGTCATTTTCTACTTAGTTCAAAACATCTGCCTCTTCTGGTGTGCCATGAGCTGGGAAGTCAGTCAACTCACAGAGTTGTCTCTCGAGTAAAGCACAGTGCTCTCCGAGTAGCCCCTTTTTACTGCTCTGAGGCCTTAGCTGTTTGCTTCTGGCTGTTCAGCATTATTCCAGAGAGCTGCAGTTCCTGGTGGGTGGGAGTTCCTTTTGGTTAGGTGAGCTAGCGTGGCACTGATAACAAGAGGAGGGGAGAAACTGCCCATATTGTTATCTGCCTACTGAACATGGTAATCTTCTGTGACCTACAATGAATGTGGTTTCAACTCTATGCCTACTAAAACCTCCCCGCCCCCTTTTTTATTGATGGTATTGAAGTTCGAACTCAGAGCCTTGCACTTGCTAGGCAGGCGCTCTACCACTTAAGCCATGTCTCCAGCCTTTTTCTCTTTAGTTTGCTTCTATGCCCAGGCCAGCCTGGACACCAAGTCCTCCTATTTATGCTGGTATGACAGGTGCACACCACTACACCCAGCTTTTATTGGTTGAGATGAGGTTTCTCAGACTTTTTACTCTGGCTAGTTCTGAGCCACAATCCTCCCCATCTCTGCCTCCTGAGTAGTTAGGGTTGCAGATATGAGCCACTGCACCTGGCTCAAGACCTCCTTTTTTTATTTCACTATAAGACCTCAGTTCATTTCCAACTATTAGAAGTTAGTTTATTTGGCTGATGAGCACAAATAATTATTTTTGTCATTGGGGAAGCGTGTTGCCTCCAGCTGTTAAAACTTTCACCAGCTTGTCTGGGAGTTTGATTGCATGTCTCATCTTCCTCCAGTGTGATACACTTGCTAGGAAACAAGCACAAGGCAACTGCTGAGAACGAGGGACTGGGTGCTACTGAGTGTTTACAAATACTCAAGCTGTAGACTAATGAATGTTCCCCAACTCAGAACGAAGACATGTACTTCATCCTCTGCACTGCTGAGTACACACGCTTGCTCATGTGCTCACTCATATACATCCGCACACTTGGGCATGCAGGTGTGCGGTGGGGGACCATCACTCTCTTTAGGCAGAATTATGGGATGCAAAGAGCAGACCTGAGTCCAAATGCCAGCTCTATCTGACCTTGACCTGTACCTCACCTTGAACTCAGCTTCCTTCACTATGGTAGTTTGGCAGCATGAAGGTTGCTGACAGCATGAGTTTGTGTATGTATAAACTATGTCCCAGAACCTAGGAGTTGTTCAGTACATGTTATTTTTACCTTCTCTTTAGAAACAGGAGCATGGCAAGACCTGTTATCCTACCTTATGATCGCCATCTTGCCTAGATACCCTAAACCGTCTCCTTGTCTGTCAGCCTGGGTCACAACTCTCAGGACTGGGAGTTTGGGAGATGTTGGGAGTTTAGGGATCATCAGTGAGTCGGCAGTGCACATTGTCCAAACCATCCAGTAGTTACCTTGGAAGAACATACAGGAAAGCAGCCTTGAAGAATTTCCACCAAACACACAAAGGTTTGCATGGTTTTTGATCTTCACTGGTCTAGAAACAAAGTCTGCTTTTGTTGTCCAGTGTCCCAGCAGAAATGTAGGTGCAGCACAGGAGCCAAGTGTGGGCTCTGGGGGGAAGGCTCAGGGCTTAGGCTCAAAATAGCATCAGCTAGCCTTTGTACAGTCTGCTTCCTGCCACTGCTGCAGAGGCCATTTCCTGTGCTTCTGATTTTCCAGGAGAGGAAGAAGCGGGGCGAGAGCAACAATGACCTGTTTTTGGCAGATGTGTTTGCCTACCAAGGGAAGTTCCACGAAGCCGCCAAACTGTACAGGAGAAGCGGGCGTGAGAGCCTCGCACTTGACATGTACACCGACCTCTGCATGTTCGAGTACGCCAAGGTAATCCTCCACCTCCTGGGCCCGGGCTGCCACCAGGAGTCCCAGGGGTCTGACCTGCAGTGTTCACATCATGTCCCCCATGAAACGGTGCAGACAGAAAATAGGGATTTTCTCAGAAAGGGTACGGGTAAAGCAGTTAACAAAGGAACCTCAAGGGTGCTGGTTGACACTGAAAGCTGACCTTGAAGGCTGACGTCAAAGGAACAAAATAGGACAATTCAGTCAGCAACAGCTGCATTGGCGTAAGTACACCAGCATGGTGCTGTCACCAGGCACTGAGTGCTTACAGCTTTGGGGCTATCTGTTGCAAAGTCCCTCATACCTGTATCAGCAGCCACTAGGAATCAGTGTCCTCAGAGAGGAACTGGGCTAGCCAGCCATGCAGGAAGATGTGGCTCCCTGCAGCCAATGTTCCCTAGTGCCTGCCTGCTTTCTTGATTCTACTGACTGCCAAGAAGCCAAGACAGTCCCTACCCTCAAGTATTAGCGCAGTGTGGTTCATGAGCTTGGCAGGTGCAGTGGCTCCCACGTGGTGGGAGATGGTGGAGAGTCCCCTTTTGCATTTGGGTTGGGGGGGACGCTCTTCAAGTCTCTAAAAGATCTAGACCTTTGAAGGCACCTGAACCAGGCTCCTAATGACTTATATGAGAATGAATCCCACTAAGGAGCCCAGAGAAGCCCAGATATTTGTAGCTCAACTGTATGCATGTGGTGGGAATATGGTGGAGGGTAACAAAGATGAAGTGGAAAAGGCAGTAGGACCTGAAGCCTATAGATCTTAGATATGAGAGGAGGCACAAAGGTGGTGCCCAGGTACCTGCCCAGATACGGACAAGCAGGAACTCCTGGCCATATCACAGGGAGCTGAATACAACCTGCAGCTCAGCTTACCAAGGTTAAGAGAGCCTCGATGCCTGCAGCAGGAGGTGTCTTCGTTCATCTGCCTTTCCTATAGTGGCAGAAGAAGCTTTCAGAGTCTTCGGAAGTGAGTCATCAGCACAGTCAGTTAGTGACTGTTACCAGTAATCGCCTATGTCACAAGTTCAAGATGGAAAATCTTCCCCATTTTTTTCTGCTTGTGTGTTCCTAAAAATGGCCAGGTTCTTTTACTGCCATTGTTATTGGGACTACAGGTTGTAATTCCTGTGATACGGCCTGAAGTTACTGCTCATCCATATCTGGACAGGCACCAGGGCCCCCACCTTGGTGCTTCCTTCCCTTCTACCTCAGATCTGGGGACTGACTTCAGGTCCCTCTGCCTTTCCTCTTCATCCTCCTTACCCTCTGCTATATTCCCACCACATGCATATAGGATTTCATAAAACGTTCACAATGAGCACAGCAAAATCAGTGTATCTCCTCTTCCTGGGATAACAAAACTTTACCCAGGGACAAAACCTTAAACTAAAGGGGTGAATCCCAGAGATAGAACTTAGGCATCAGGAACATCCAGGCCTTTAGTCCTTTGGGACTGATGCCCTTCCCAGAGCCACCATAGCCTCCCCAAGATGGCAGCTATTGTACAGCCACAAATGCCTTCCTTGGCATCTGGAGTGCAACATGCTTGAATGTGGGCTGGGGTGAAGGCTTTTCCGTAGCTGAGGCTCTCTGTCCTCAGAGAGCCACAGAGCCACAACCCAGTGTGCTTCAGAGAGTTGCCACGAATCATCTACAAAGCCCTTACAAATGCCAACCTGTAGAAAGATTAGGAAAGCAAGAGGGCTGAGTGTGCCCATGGGGTGGGTGTCCTGTAGCCCTCTCCCTGGCTGGCCCCTTCTGCCCCTGCTCTGGAACCCACTTTGTGTTTCACTTCCTGCACCCAGAATCTCTCACCTAGCAGTGCAGCCCATCTACACATGCCATCTGCTCTTTCTTTGAAGGTAAATACTTGGGGCTTGTTTTTTCTTTTAGTTTTTGATCACAATTCCAAGTAGGTTGGTTCCATTTCAAGCTGCCCCTCCTCCGGTAGTCTGCATTTGAGCAAATGTGTACACACACATTATGTTGGGGGTGGGGAGATACACTGCTTATTAACATGGCATGTTTTTGTTTACTTGAAAATTGCTTCCCAAGATTCAATCTGGTTTTCAGAAAATTTTTAAATTACATTCCCACGTACAAATAAATTGTATGCTTTCCGGATAAGTGACATGTTTATATGGTGATAAAGGGAATTATAATGCTCTTAACTCTTATGTAGTATGTCCTTATCAAAATCACCAAGCATGAGAACACTGTTTAGTCTCATTCATCACTCAGCACAGCCTCTTTCTGTCCACTTCAGGACAAAGTCTTTGCTGTGGCCCCCAGATAACGTGTAAATTAGCTTCATGGAAGCAAAGAGCCTTTGAAAACCCACTTTGTTGAGCCTCGAAGGAACCATTTAAACTCAGCTTCAATTAAGTCACAGCCCTTGAGCTGGACGCCTAGGCTGGAGGAAGTGCACCTCCCATCAGAGGAGACTCCCAAGTCCTGAGCTATGGCCTGCATAGTCCCCTCGGGAAGATGCACCAAGCTTAGGGCCTCCCCTTAGCCTCTGACCCTTCTTCCCTTGGTCACCCCACAACCACTGGGCACTCCGTGAAGTCCCTTTGAGGGACCCTCCTATTCCCTTAAATGCCTGTCTCCCCCTCTGCTAACCTTATTTATCCAGCCAGGTGGGCAGTTTCCAGCTTGGTGAGGCATAGAGTCGACGTTGTTGCAGCTGTAATGAGTGGAGAGTGTGTCTGTAATGTCCCAGGTCAGACTCAGTCCATGGCTGCTTTCCCAGCTCTCTGCCCCTCTGTGAGGGAACCAAAGGCCATCTGAAGAGCCCCTGTCTTTTATTGGGTGCATCAGGGTAAATGATGCCCTTCCTCCCTTTCCTAAAACACTCTGTTGTCTTAGGCCAACCTAATGTATGATTTTAGGGGCTACATAATTACCCTGAAAGCAAATGGAAAAAGAAACGAGCTGATTGTTCAAGTGGGTTTTTAGCATATATTGACTGTACTCTCCTGACAAATGAGTGTTAATCACAGGGAAAGGAGTGCTTTTTTTATACCGTGTGAGGTTGACACAGCACACTCTTGGTAGGGTACATTCTTCCAGAGACAAACTACTTCTCACTAGTAATGCAGATCTGTGATGAAACCTCTCAATTTCCCTTTTTGAAAAGCCCCACCTTTAAGAATGTCAGCACCAGGGTTGCTTCAGCTGTGGTATCTCCATCCTGATGAGTGGCAGTTTTCTGAGGCTGTTTGTATGTATTCTAGGGCCAACTAGGGAAGCTCTGTTGAGGTGGAAGGAATCCAGACCCTGCAGCCCAATCCCTGAGCCTCCAGGACCACAGGCCTCTCTTCTTCACTTCAGGTCACCTGTGACCTCCCTACTCCAGGAGTCCCCACTCCTGCAGACCTGACCTCAGGAGGTGACCTGACACCATTCAATTGAGAAGGAATGAATCAAAGAGGGTTTTGCTTATTAACTGTGCTGGGCAGATGGGCAAAGCCAATGTGATGATTTCTTGAATTTAGGCAACAGAATGTTTTAGCAAACAGATGTGAATAGCACTTTTAGTGTGGTGAAGGCCAAGGAAGGGCCCAGCCTGAGGCTGTAGTGTCATCTTATATGAATGAAGATTATAGAACTGAATATTTGAAATTGTGCAGCCAGGTGGTCCAAGAATAACCAAACTGTACAGTGCATGAGTAACCTGTTCACAGTCCCCCCACCTTATACCATTTGTGTGTGGCACTCCCAAGAGTCTGGAAGGTGGTATTTAACTGAAAAGCAAGTGTGAATTAGTGTGAAGGGAAGGAAGCCCTGAGGGCTACAGTCCTTGACATTGTCCCAGGCCCCCCAGGAACACCTGTGGATGATCCATGAACTCCCCTCCCAGACACCTGGGACTGCCCTCCACTCAGCCACGCAGGGCTGGGCTCCTGCCTGCATCCTGATTGCCTGCACAGCCAAATGGAGCCCTTCCCTGCTCTGGCTTTCAGGAGCTGACGTAATGCTGGCACAGGAAGTCCTAATCCGGAGTGTTTTTGTTTGTTGTGCTTCCTCAGGATTTCCTTGGATCTGGAGACCCCAAAGAAACAAAGATGCTAATCACTAAGCAGGCTGACTGGGCCAGAAATATCCATGAGCCTAAAGCCGCTGTGGAGATGTACGTCTCAGCGGGGGAGCATGTCAAGGCCATCGAGCTCAGCGGCGACCATGGCTGGGTTGACATGTAGGTTTCAGCCTCTACCCCAAGGAGCACTTGGCAGCTTGTCACATCATAGCAGCTCTGGGTTTTGACTGACAAGGGAAAAAACGGTGTTTCTCTAAGTGTCTGAATCAAATGTGAGAGTGACTGGGCTCTCTGGGAGACACATTGAACAAGGCAGTCATTCCTTTGAGGAACATATTAGAGCTCTTAGAGAAAGGGTGGCAGGGACTGGAAGGGGACACACCCAGGCTCAGGCTGCCACTGGCTGTGCAGGCTCTACATCCCAGGCACTGGGGTGACCTTGCAGGACTTTTTTTCTCCCCCATACTTCCACACCCATCTTGCAGATGAGGAATTTTCAGACTCATAGGACACATGAGTTTGCAAAAGACTGAACAGCTGGGGAGTCTTGGGGTGAGCTTCAGACTCTGATTTGGAATGTCTCAGTGCCCACAGTTCATGCAATGAGAGGAACCAAAAAGAACCAGGAAAGTTCTTCGGTCTACCAGAACAGCAGGTTCCTCCCAGGAGGGGCCATGGCTGCTGCTTTTAGGAGGAGTCTTTGTATGAAGAAGCCTTGGTGAACTTTATGGGTAGAGATGGTCAGAAAGGGAAGGAGCACAGGCAGGCGGAGCAGCAGAAACCATGAGTGGGTCCTGGCTGGAATTAAAGGTGCGTGGGAGCCAGAGGAGGAAGGATGGTCACTGCCAGCGGCCAGCAGAGGAATGGGCTGGCCACTGGGGGCCTCGAGTACCAAACTGAGGCATTTAGATCTGTTAGGTAGTGAGGACCCTTGGTCAGGACCATGCTTTCAGAAGCCCCCTGGGGGATGGAGGGAAAACTAGAGGAAAGGAGATCAGGGGACTGGTCAGTGCTGTAGACTGGGAGGGACTGTGGTGGCTGATAGCACAAGAGAATGGAGGAGCTGGAATTTGGCCACCTGGGGTGGTGGGGCAACAACTCTGAGCTCTGCCTTAGTGGTTGCCAATGTCAGGCACCAAGGCAGAGAACAGAGGAGGAGTGGGCTAGGGCTGCATAGGCATAGGATGGGCTCAGTGTTAGGCCTTGGTGTGCCAGATCTCCAGTGGTCCTCTTAGGACAGTGGGCTTCACACTCCCATGCATGTGTGCATGTGTGCGCTATGACAGCTAGTGAAAGAGATTGACCGCGTCTGAGCACTAGAGGCCCACAAAGAGATGTTGGTAGTTAACGTACCACCCTACCCTTCTCTTGTCCAAGAATAATGTCTTGATATTTGTCCCCCAAATCTTTCTTCCACCTCCTGCCCCGCCACATGTCATTTTCACATGTCATTTTAATTTGCAAGCACTGTGTTTTGGGTTACCCTGGGGACATTTAACCAGTTCAAGAAAGAGAGGCTAAGCATGTTCTGTCCCTTTTCCAGGTCTGGCTGTAGAAGGAGCCTGTCCTCCAGGGACTTTGAGTTTGATGGGTGGAGGGCTCTAAGGCTCTTAGGGGCTGCCTGTGCCACCTTTCCCTAAAAACATATCCTTTCTCTGCTGAGTGTGTTATTTTTAGAGGCCATTACTATTCTCGGTGCAGATTGACAGGCCTCCTGAGCTTGCCTGTCTGAGACATGATCTGCTATGCCACTTTCCATTCCTTTCCACACAGAGCAGGCTTGGTAGAGCCCTTGCCCTGAGAGAGCTGCTTTTACTCCAAACCCCAGGCTGACCAGAGCCAGGAAGCACGTTCCATCCAGCCCCATGTCCCCACGAGCAGCAGGAAAGGCTGGTTACCACTGAGAAGATGTGGTGAACATCTGGGCCCTGCAGCCCCTCCCTGTGGCCAGTACCTTGGCCAGGAAGAGGACACTGCCAGTATTTGTGTAGCCTTCCTCCTGCCCAGGACAGGCCCCCCTTCTTCCCGCAGAGCACTGGGCACCGAGCAGTTCTCACGCCCCAGCCTCTGCCTTCCTGTAAGAATTCCTGACAGACACAGTGGTGGAAAGAGCACTCTGCCACTTCCTGGCTGTGGAGTCTTGGGCAGGGTGCTTCACTCTCCACCTTAGACTTAGGTCTTCTCATCTGCAAAGTGGAAATAATAGTAGCCATGCCTTAGGGTGGTAGAGATTCAGTTGAGCTCACACATGGGAAAGCTCTTGGCATCGTCTTTGTTCCTGGTAGTGGGTTGGCAGATTTCATTTTTATCCCCAAGTCCTGTTGGGTAGATTTGGTACAGACTGTGTCTTCAGAAGTGACCTCTCCTGGTCCCTGGCAATGCTTCATGAGTGTGTATTCAATCATTTAATAACCGCCCACCAAGCACCTTCCCGGGTCCATGGCACTGTTAGCATGGGGCACAGGGGAATGAACAGACACGGAGCCTGCCCCTGAGAAGACCAGAATCCTTTGCTACTTCCTTCCATCCAGCCCCTCACAGGGGTCCCTTCCCTCTTCAGGTTGATCGACATCGCCCGTAAACTGGACAAGGCTGAGCGTGAGCCCCTGCTAATGTGTGCTGGCTACTTCAAGAAGCTGAACCACCCAAGCTACGCTGCTGAGACCTACTTGAAGATTGGTGACCTGAGGTCCTTGGTGCAACTGCATGTGGAGACCCAGCGCTGGGACGAGGTAAGGGAGAGCCGCCTCGTGGGTCGGGCCTCCTGAGCCTGGGCAGCAGGCAGGTGGGTGATGGGCACCTTTGAGTTGGGGATAGAATGAAACTGCCCTCATGACAGAGGAGCTTTAGTCTGGCAGTCAGGAGACGTAGCCTCTAATTCTCTGAGCCAGAGCATCTTGGAGGGCCTTTCCACAATAGCTTTTTTTGTTCGTTCATTCTTTCATTTGTTCATTCATTCAGAACATCTGTAATGGCTGTAGCTCTGTAGGCCTGTGCCCTAGAAAGAATGCCATCTCCATGAGGGTCAGAGGCACCACCCAACTTGGCAACATGGCAGCCTGTTTTATAGAGCCATAGCAAGGCCCTTTCTGGGTAAGAGCAGTCTGGCTCTTATCTGCTCTGAGGAGAGGCTCCTTTTGGTGAGATGACGAGGGCATGGATGAGAAAAAGGTTGGGCCAGAAACAGAGGCAATAATAGCTTATCAAGATAAATTGACCAGGAAATTTCCTAGGCAGCATGAGGTAGAGCATCTTAGAACCACCAGGTCCTGGCTGCACCTCAGGCAAATGTCCCCTGGGCTTGTGTCTTGTTCTCCAGGCCTGGCAGGTGGCCTGGAGCTTGGGAAGCAGTCACTGAGTCCCATGCAGCACCACGTCCCCAGTCATCTTTGACAGCTCATAAGCAGTGATGACGATAATGTCAATCCTGTTTCCTTAGGTGTCGCCTGCAATTAAAAGAAATCTGTTTGCAGCACTACAGGAGCCCACGCAAATCCTCAAAATAAAATGTTTCCGATTTTGTGCCGCTTCTGTGGTCCAGAAACAGACTGTGTTGTTATTGAATCCAGTCAGTTGCATATTGCTGTTAATTGCCTTTTGTTTTCAAAGAGCTGGTTTGTTTTTGTGTTGCTGGGGGTGGTTGTGGGGGAGGCACTCTCCCCCTCAGAGTTGTCAGCCTGGCAAAATGTGACATCCCTGATGGATTCAGCCAAGAGCCACGTCTTGGTGGGGCTGTGGGGTGGCTTCATTACGAGTGCTTCTGCTCTTCTCTCCAGGCCTTTGCTCTGGGCGAGAAGCATCCCGAGTTCAAGGATGACATCTACGTGCCCTATGCTCAGTGGCTAGCAGAGAACGATCGCTTTGAGGAGGCCCAGAAAGGTAGGCCACACAGACTGCCATTCAGAAGACAGCGCCAAGACACAGCTTCCTGGCCTTCTTGTCTGTAGGTCCCGCGTTGCGTGACTTCATCGTGGGATGTGAGGTGTTTGCTAGTGGAAGACTTTGCAGCAGTGGACAGGACATGGGCCTTGGAGTCATGTCTACCTGGGCCCATCACTCACCTTTGGCAGGTCCTGTCTCATCCCTGAGCAAAGCACTGTGCATGACAGGGCCTCTTCCCCTTTAATCTCACTATGCCCCATGGTGTGGGTACCACTGTTATTCCCATTTTGCAGTCGAGAAAACTGAGGTTGAAGGAGGTAAAGGAAACTGCCTGAAGTCCCGTGATTAGGAAATAGCTGAGAGATCTTGGGAGCCAGGGTGCAGTGAGGACAAAACAAAGAGTACCACCTGAATGGCCGCATCGCCTCACCTCCACTTTCCTCTACTGAGGATAGAAACTAGGGTTGTGCTTCTAGTATGAATAAAGGCGGCCTCTGCTGCTCAGCTTTTCCATTGGTGAAACGGGCTGCACACAAGGTATGGAGGCATCTGAAATAGGAGCCAAATCAAGTACAGAGCTTTGACTGGTAGCATTAATCATAATTTAAAAACCTGAGTGCCTTCCCTGTGGCAGGTGCTGGCTGGGTGCTTAACCTACGTAACCTTGAATCTTGCCAGCAGCCCTGCACAGAGACATGGGCTAAACGTGCTGTGCAAAGACGTCAAGCTAGCAAGCGGCAAGCCAGAATTGGACCACGATCTGTCCAACTGGGGAGCCTTATTCTTCTGGCTGTTTTGCTGCCTATCTAGGACGTCTCCTAATTGAGTTGGGTGTGTCACATTCCATAGCGTCTCATTTACACTTGTACGTGGTAGCAGTTGCCACCTCCGGACACATTGCTGAGCAAATGTCTCCCTGCCGGAGCTCCTCAGTTAAAGCCCCATTGCAGGACAGTGTGTTCCCTCCCCCGTCAGCACTTTCAGAGCACCCAGTTGCTGAAGTATCTGCTTGTTTGGGCAAAACACATCAACCTATCCATCTGTCTGCGTCACTCTTCCAAGAATCCATCGCCATAGTAACTTGGTACTCAGACACGAGAGAGAGATGGGAGGGAACAAAGCTAGACCCTTTCCTTCCTTACAAGTGGAGAACAGAGACCATCTGAGTGCCCACAGGTGGGCAGGTGTCACGGCTGCGAGCGCTTCCCCAGCTGCCCCACCATCCTGAGGGGTCAGGGGTGGGTGCTCAGGAAGTTTCTGATAAATAGATGTAACAGTGATTAAGAAATTTGTTGCTTGTTTCCACAAGTGTCTGGTTTCGAGAACAGGCCAGATCTTTCACGGTTGACACAAGAAAGCACTCTGTGGAGACAGCCGAGTACTTGAGCTCAGCTCCATTCTTTGACCTTGGGCGTGACATTCTATCGGTATCTGACAAATCCCATTTCATTGCCCATTAAAAAGGGGGCTAATTTTCCCTTCTCCGAAGTCTGCTGATGTAGTGAGGTAAATTAGCAATGAAAGTGTTTTGAAAACCACCAAGCTCTATAGAGTGGCAGGTCTTCTCAGTGTCACCTGGAGTCACAAAGCTTTGCCCTGGAATGGAGGAGGGCAGATGGTCACTCCCCTTGGGCTGTGCCCTGGGCTTTGCTTCCTCATGTTCATGTCTTTGCTATGCCTTGATAAACTAGGTTGCCATTTCCCAGCCCAAAAGTAGTGTGTCTCACTGTGCTTTTTCAGGATGCAGTCCTGGATATTTATAGCCTGCGGCCTGAGAGGCAGCATCCCAGCAACCAGGCACTGGAGATGCTCTGTGAGCATCCCACTTCCAAAGCCCCCCCTTGCAAGCCCCACATGGTTCCCTGCCTCCTTGTCTGGCTCCTCAGATGACATGTGCTTTCCTGGCCTCCAGCATTCCACAAGGCTGGGCGGCAGAGAGAAGCAGTCAGGGTGCTGGAGCAGCTCACACACAACGCAGTGGTGGAGAGCAGGTTCAGTGACGCTGCCTATTACTACTGGATGCTGTCTATGCAGTGCCTTGATATCGCTCAAGGTAAGTAAACATAGCCAGCCGCCTTTCCCCAGCCTCGCGCTGGCACCAGATAAAATGAGAAGAGTTGGAACATTTCATTAAAGCCCGGGCTGGGTTATTGGATGTATTGTCCGTGAGCCTGTGGCACAATCTGGTGTGTCATCTCTTTCTAGTTTGCCCAGAAGTAGGATAGTCTGAGGGCTGGGTAGGGGTTACAAATGGCAACCTGCTGCCCTGCACTGCTAACTCAGAACATCTCTCTCTCTCTCTCTCCTGTTACCTGGGATCCCATAGCTGGGCCTAGTGAGCACTGGCGTAAAAAATTTAATTATGTGAAAAGAGGAAGAAGAGGTCACTTTGCAATAACAAACTCCAGATGCTTTCATCCCCATCCTGGCAGAAAACAGTTTCAGTGTTATTTTCATAAGATTTCCCATGATGCACTGAGGAAGCTCTGGAATGGAGGGGACAGGGATAGATGTTCTTTCCCGCTGGTCTGAGGCCACATGCAGGAGGGGAAAGCACTGGACATGAAGGCTGCAGGGTGACTTGGAGCAAGTCCAGCTCCTTCCCATGCTCCATGTGCCCATCTGTACCTGGTGGTGGCCCTGTCCCCTTTCAAGGCCACTGTGAGCTTCACAGCACCATACTTACAAGTCCAGGGGTGAGATAGCATTTTTTGGTTCTGGTCAGTGTCATGCACTTCTGACGCAGCTGCACCAACAGCAGAGGCACATAGCCAGTGAAGCTGTATCTTCCCACCTCATCCCTCCAGGTTCCTTCTGGGTGTCTGGTTCTTGCCCAACAGAACAAGCTGGGAGGGGCCAGTGTGTGACCTGGGAGAGACATATCTTCAGGTACTTCCTGGCCAGGAGCCCTGCCCAGCTGAGATGCCACCATCCAGGATGGACTACTCCCAGGAGGGCATCTGTCCTCTAGGCCCCTCTCCTTATTGTAGGCAGGTGATACAGAAGAACCAGTGGCTGTCAACTGTGCTACAGCCTGGCCCTTCCTCCGGTGGCCAGTTGGCAGCTCCAGTGTTTGACACATCTTCTCCCCCCTGCTGCACACAGCAGATCCTGACCAGAAGGACACAATGCTTGACAAGTTCCACCATTTCCAGCACCTGGCTGAGCTGTACCACGGCTACCATGCCATTCAGCGGTACACGGTAAGGTGGCCAGGAGGTTGGGAGAAGGTGCTTGTAGTCCCCGCCCGCTCACATCTTAGAGAGCAGTAGGCTCTGAATGGGAAACTAGACCACAGGGCTCAATGAACTGCTGAGAAATGTTGTCTCCTCAGGGAGGAGAGTTTGGTCACCCTTCTCCTGCTATTTGTTTGTCATGCAGCAAATTCTGGGCTTCTGACTTACAATCCAGAACCAGAACAGGCCTTTCTCATTGCTAGTTCAGGCTTTATGAGCCAGGCAAATGCTGATTCAGCCAGAAAAGGACTGCCTCTCCACAGCGATGGAGTGGGCGTCCACTGGCCTCTCCTCTAGATGAGTGAAGGCTTGCACTCCCTCCCGGATCCACCTGCCACAGATTGCTGTATGTCCTCAAGTGATTCACTTTCCCTCTCTGGCCCTCAGTTTCCTTCTCTATAAAAAAAGAGGGCTGGCCTGCTCTCCAGTGGACCATAGTTCTTTGTAGGCATTCCCTGATTCCTTTGATGAAGCCATGTCACATAAACCTCGCGGCAATGGGTGACAGGCTGTGATCAGCTTCCTCATGCTGAGCATCTTCTCAGTCCTTCCACAAATGCTAGCTAAGCTTATACAGTGTGAGCTTATCCTATGGCAGTGAGCTAGATGGTCCCAGTGGCCAGTCTGTTGTGAGCACCTGCTGTGTGCTGAGCAGTGTGCTCAGGTCTCCACCACATCAACTCACTTCTTCCTTCAGCCACACTGAATAGGTACTGTTACCCCTTCTGTGGATAAGGACACTGAGAACACTTGACTCTCAGCTGGCTCTGGTCTGGGCTCACTACCTGTCTGGTAGAGGAAGAGCGTCTACCTCTCTCTCCTCCAACTTAGAGACGGGCTGCGGTTGTGGGTTCCAAAGGTGAGCTCTGGAGGTCTTGAGGCCCAGCTGTGCTGTATGACCATGGGCAAGTCCTTTCCTCTGTCTGTGCTTCAGCTTTTGTCTCTGTGAAATGGGGATAGTGACAATACCTGCTGGATGGGATGACTGAGCAGTGGGTGACTTCACATTGGTAAAGTTCTTGGAGGAGTGCCCAGCACGAAGTGGGCTTGGGCCCCATCAGCTGCTCTGCCCCATTTCAGGCAGAGGCTGCACACCAACTCCCCCACCTCCACCCTGCCCCTGGGTGCCTCTCTCCTCCTCTGTGCTAAGCCTTACATTGTCCTTGCCTCTTGGGAAGGCCAGGCCATGCCGGGCCAGCCCCAGTCTGGAGTCTCATCTGTTTCCCAGCATAGTCAAGGTCCTCGAGGGGCCTCATCTTTTCTTAATGGTTTTTTCTTTCCTCTGGCTGAGATCCCTTCAGAGGTTCTCATCTCTGTCAGGTGAGAAGCCATCAACAAAGGAGTCCAGGCCAGCCTGGAATGGTCTGAGCCTCCTTGGAACCCAGCTTGTGGCTCCTGACCTCTTGGCTCTCCTGCTCCTCCCCTCTGCCCCAGGCATGGGCTGGGGTCTCTGTAACAGCTGGCTTTGCTCAGGATCCACATGGGGATGAGCCGGGGGTCTCACACCAGCCAGGGCCCTGATGTCACCCTGGCCAAGGCTGGCTCCTTGGGCCATTCCTTCATCCAACTCATGCTTGTGTATGACAGGCCCTGTGACGAGCCTGTCACAGGATCCAGTCGTGAGCGAGAAGTTGTCCGTGCCCCCAGGAGCTCACTGCCTAGGAAACAGGACAGCCCCTTGAGGGAAGAACTGTAGGCCTGGGAGGTGACAACTAAATGGAGGGAGTGCAGAAGAGGAGGAAAAGGGACACAGCTTGAGCCAAGGCCTTGAGGCCAGTGGGAGTGTGGGATTTGGCATCAGGGCCGGCAGAACAGCACTGCCACAGAGCAAAGTGGAAGCCTGGAGAAGGAAGTGTGGGATCCTTCCTGAGCTACATGGCTTTTTTCCCAGAGAAGAGGCACCAATCTTGAGACACCCCCCACCCCCATTCTATCTGGGACATTTCTTAGCTTCTTCACCTAGTGTGGCAGAACCAGAGGCAGACGTCTTCCTGGCTTATGCTCAGAAAAGGATGCATCTCAGGTTTTCCTGGGTTCTTGGAGCTAACAGAGACTGTAGAAGCGTAAGTGCGAACCAAGAGAAGATATGGGCTCTGATCCAAAGAAGTATAAAGAGGTATAAAGTGAGCCCTTATGAGTTTGGACCAGCTGGGGGCTAAACATGGTAGCTCTGTTATGCAAGGGCCATTTCAGTGCTGGGGGGCAGCCTCACTCCCCCATTGGGAGCGTGGTTAGAAAGTACAGTCGCAGTTTATGCCCCACATGCCAGGGTCCTTCAGAGCAGGGTCTGCTGAGCCTGCACAGACCACCTGATAGAGCCTTCCCGTGGTCCTCTGTGCTGTGTTCCAACAGCCTATAGGTGCAGAAGTCCTGTTCATTGCACTTATGGGTGCCAAGCACCTCCTGGTGGGTTCCAAGTGGAAGCCTGAGGATCAGTGGTTGGGAACCACACGTGTGCAGGTTTGGTGCATTGCTCAGGCTGCTGTGGAGGAGAGCAGAGGCCTGCCATTTCCTCTAGGGAGGGTTGTGTCCTGCACTGGACTCCTGCTTGCTAGTGGTCATGTCCCCCATGCGGGAAAGGCCTTCCCTTTTAGAGCTGATTAGAGACAGCGTGACTCAGCAGGGTGAACCATGCTCTGGTGAGGGGTCGTCTGGCTGGGGTTGTGGACAGGTCCTCTCTCAGGTGTCACTTTCCTACCAGTACGGCAAGGATGAAAGTACATAGCCCTCAGAGAGTGTTCAAGACCAGATGACACCAGCTATGGTGACCACACAGTAGGTGCTCAATGCATGGGGCCACTCTGCTGCAGCAGTTCAGAGCCCTTCATCTGCCTTCCTTCCAGCGGGAACCCCATCCATTTGTTATTCTCTTGCTGCAGGAGGAGCCCTTCAGCTTCCATCTTCCAGAAACCCTCTTCAACATCTCCAGGTTCCTGCTGCACAGTTTGACCAAGGATACCCCCTTGGGCATCTCTAAAGTGTATCCTCTCTCCCTACTGTCCCACCCCTGCATCTAATAGCCCTGGGTTCTTCGCAGAGCACTTTCCTGGCAGAAACTCCATCTCAGTGGCCCTCAGGGAAGGGAGAGAGAGAGAGAGAGAGAGAGAGAGAGAGAGAGAGAGCTGCCTCCCGCTGCTGTGTGCTGCATAGGAGGCACAGCCAGGCAAGTGAGCAGCCAGTGTCCAGAGAAGATCGGCTTTCAGGGCTCTGGCTGAGCCCACCTTTTTTGGCCAGCACCCTGTCTCAAGCCCTCCCAGAACCCACAGATGAGGGCATAACTGTAACAAGGGAGCCTGGGGCCTTTGCCCTGGAATCTCAGGTACCATCCTCAGGAGGGGGACATTGTCAGCCTAGGTGTGTGGCATGCTGGGCATTGGGCCAGGCACCAGGTGACAAAGCTGCCATCTAGTAGGAGAGGTGACAACTGGCAGGGCCTGGGTCAGTGGGATGTGCATTGTGCTAAGGCAGGACTTTGGTCAGGACAGCAGCCTGGAGGAGGCTACATCCACCCTGCAGGCTGAGGCAGACAGGAGACGGTAGAGAAGATGTTATCAGGAGCACACAGCTATGGAAAAGCAGACAGCCCAGGAAGGCAAGTGTGTGGGAGTCTAAGGCCCCAGAGTGCAGTGGCAGGAGGGAGTGGCCTGAAACCTCCCAGTACATTTGCTTGTCCTAGCTGGCCAAGGACACTGAAGGGCCCCTCCCAGGAGGGCCTGCGAGGCTCCCAGGTGGGACTGGCATCCAGGAAGGGCCCAGGCCTATCACTCACATCTCAGGAAATATCCCAAACCAAGGGGTCCCCTCACTGCCTGAGGGCCCCTGCTACAGCCATGCCTGCTGCCCTCAGCCCCTGCACCCATCGTTCTAGCATGTTCTGTCCAAGCCGGCAGAACAGGATCAAACCCTTGTCCTGAGCTTCCCCTGCACTGTCCTCTAGGCTCTCAGGGATGGCTCCTGACTTGGTGAAGTCAGTGGATAGAGACGAGGAGACAAATGGCTGCACAGGACTGCTGGGGTGCTGGAGTACCCTGGAGAGTGGGAGCCCAAAGGCTTATCAGCCTCAGGCTAGGAGGCTCCGAGGGCCCAGAGAGCAGGGGAGTCTGTGGCTCAAATGTCACCCAAGGGACCCTTCCTTGGTGATGTGCAGGCTGAATGCTGTGTAGTCTGTGGCTTCTGAACCAGTCTGAGGGTGGCTTGCAGGCAGTCTAGGATAGGCCCAGTGAGGCACTTAGTCCCAGGCATCCTAGAGACAGGCTGGCAAGGCAAGGAGAACTGTTCTGGCCTGCCTGGGGTTCAACATGAGCTCTCAGGAGGCCCAGAAAACCTAAACAGGCTTAAATAGTAAACTGCACATTGGAAGATGGGCTCTCTTGTAATTCCAGTGTTTGGAGGCTGAGGCAGAAGAACTATGAATTTGAGACCAGCCTTACACCTCACAGAGAAACAGAGCATGCTCCAGTCTCCTGACTGTGGCCTCATGGGCTATGAGCTATGTCCCAGCATGAGCTCAATTAGAGGGTAAGCAGTGCCAGCTCTGAGTCCCAACCTCTGCTCTCCTTAACTTTGATGCTGGCAGGAACACACTCTTTACCCTGGCCAAGCAGAGCAAGGCCCTGGGTGCCTACAAGCTGGCCCGGCATGCCTATGACAAGCTGCAGGGCCTGCAGATCCCAGCCAGGTTCCAGAAGTCCATTGAGCTGGGCAGCCTAACCATCCGCTCCAAGCCCTTCCATGACAGTGAGGTAAGGACATGGTCCCTCAGGGAGAGGCCCCTCCTTTCCTCCCAGGACATCTCCTGATGGCTTCTTGCCTGGTCTGGATTGTTTGAAAGACAGCCGCTATGCTCTTTGGGGCGCATTGCTCCCTGCCCTGTCCATGCCTTGGCTTACCAATGCCTGCTCTTCCCTCTCTGCTTTGTCTGTTCTCCATTCTATCTGCTGTACTCCAGCCCACAACCTGGCTATTGGCTCTTTGCTGACCCTCTTCCTGTGAGCCCCTGCCCACACCACTCTGGAAGCCTGGTTGGGCTCCACCAGCTCCACCTGCAGCATCCTCAACCCAAGTTTTTCCAGCCTGCTGTCCTCCAGCCCGGCCCACAAGCTCAGAGCAGGGACTGAGTATTCGATCGGCCTGGGCTCCAATCCTAGTCCACCATTTCCTAGCTATGCCTCAGGCTTTCAGAGCCTCCGTTTCCCCCCTCTATCAGGTGGGATACGTGTAATTTGTTCCCCATAGGTGGTGTGAGGCTAACCACAGCACAGGAGCTGTGCTTGGCACAGTGCCCGGTGTCCAGGGAATAGCAGTGGCTGCAGTATTGTCATTCTCGCTAAGAAGCATCCTGCCAAGCCCTGCCTGAGGAGAAGTGTCTGGGGCAGGGCCCTGGTGGCAGGCCTGGGTTATGTCTCTAGTCCTTTGTCCTGCTACTTGTCAGTGTACAGCCCCAGCACGGGGAGGCAGGGGCGCGTGGTGTTCCTGGGGGCCAGGTAAGTCATGCTGCTTCTGCAGGAGCTAGTACCCTTGTGCTACCGCTGTTCCACCAACAACCCGCTGCTGAACAGCCTGGGCAACGTGTGCATCAATTGCCGCCAACCCTTCGTCTTCTCCGCCTCCTCCTACGGTGAGTCTGGCCATGCCTGCCGCGTGATGCAGGGCAGGGCCCCAAAGGTCAGTAAGTGTCACCCTCCCTGACACACAGTTGCTCAGAGCCCACAGAGATAGGATCCAGTGCTGCCAGATCAGGAGCTCCCACACTCAGAACCTGGTGTGGGATTAGTGCAAGGTCCCAACCAGGAGCAGAGGCTGGGAGACTGAGCAGGCTCTCAGGTCCCAGCTCCTTCAGTGGTGACACACAGTCAGAACCCCTTTCCCAGGAGCTGGGTAGAGGCCTCTGTCTTCCCTCAGAGAGCAGCCCACCCACTACCATGGGAAGAGCTACCAAAGGTTCTGCTTTTCCCCCTCTCACACACACAGGGGCAGCCCCACTTGCCTTTGGGAAGCTGCTGGGGCGAGAAGGGCTGCTCACCTGCTGCCTGGTGTGAGCACTTGGCCCCATGAGGCTGACCCCCACCCCCCTCCCTGTGTCTCCAGAGGTGCTGCACCTGGTGGAGTTCTACCTGGAGGAAGGGATCACTGATGAAGAAGCTGTCTCCCTCATTGACCTGGAGGTCCCAAGACACAAGCGGGAGAGCAAGTGGCAGGAGATCTCAAGCAACAGTATCCATGTACTGGGCCTGGACAAAACAGGTCAGAAGGCCAAGGCCCAGCCCAGCCTATGACCCCAGAAAGATTGGAGAGATACCCACAGCAGTAGGGACTGGGGGTCAGACATGGGCAGAGAGCTGGCCAGGGCCTGCAGGCCCAGGAACAGCAAGTGGCACCTGGGTTTTCTGAGCTTCCTTTCTGTGAGGCTTCTCCACCCTGGCTCCTAAAGGCACTGGCCATACTCCTAGCTCTGCGTGACTAAGTGGACATTGTGGTTTGTCTGTATGGGTGATCCCCAACTTTCTAGTCAGGTCACTTTTATATGTAAGTGACAGGAATCTTGATTCAGAGAGGCTGAGCAGAGAAGGGGGGAGTGAATAAGCACCAGAGGGAATCCAGCAAGTCCAGGCACCCAGCCACACTGCCAGAGGCCTCTGATCCTCCCAGCCCTGGTGCCTCTGGGTGGGTTCATCCTCAGGCAGCTCCACACCATCCCCATGACACAGGGACAGCCTGCTGCTTACAGCCATGTCAGAGCAGCCCAGGTAGCATCTCACTGGAACAACTTGGCCATACCCTGCTTGTCCCTGGTGGGGAAGGGTAATTGTCCAGGCCCAGACCCTGCAGTCCAGTGCTGAGCACAGAGTGGCATCCTCTGTGTCACTTCTGTCACCTGGGACCTCATGACCATGGTCTGAGTCAGCAGACCAGGATGCTGAGTTGTCTGCTTCCCTAGCAAACTCCCAAGGGGTTCACTGGTCTAGAACATGTTTAGAGAGGCAGAGGTGAGAGGAAAACCCAGGAAGTTAGTTGCTTGAGAAAGGAGGCAAACTGTGTCTGCTGCTCCAGTTCATTATACATGCCACCAGGTGCTTAGGTCAGGTTGTCACCAGGTCCCGTCCCTGACTCAGTACCAGCAGCCTCTGTTACCCTGGGGCCTTGCCCCCAGTGGCCCCTCCTGCACCCACCTCACACCTGCTCTGCTGCCACCACCTAGCAGGTAGAGGCTCCTAGCCACCTTGAGGCTGCCCTGATCTGGCTGGTTATCTGCACCCCCAGGACTGCTGAGTGTCCCCAGGAATTGCTGGGCCCATTGTCTTCTCCACATGCAGCCACTCCAAGGCTCTGTCCTCATAGTGCTCTTGACCAGCCAACCCCACCCTCGTGAGCCACAGTTTGGCCAGTGTGGGGTCCATAGGGGCAGCAAAGGGACAGCAGGTCCCTCTCTCCTTCCCCAGCCTATTCCAGGACCTATGCCCAGGACCTGGTCCCACTCTCTCTGAGGTCACACCGGCTCCTGCCTGGCCTATGTCCCCACCCTCCACTTGGTGGGCTCTCCCACTCACCCCTCCCGACACCTGCGAGACACGCACAGCCTGGCTGACCCAAGAGCATGGTGGCTGGAGGGTGGCGCCTGCTTTCTGTTCTGCCTTGGGCTCCTTGACCAGGCTTGCAGATTCCCAGACGCTGAGGCTGGATGAGACCATGGACTCCATAGGAGATGAGGACCCGTTCACAGCCAAGCTGAGCTTTGAGGTGAGCCCCAAGGCCAGCCCCCCCCAGCCCCCCACTCTCCAAGGATCCTGGGATCATAACCTATAAACGTGCCACTGTGACTGAGAGGGGCACCTTGCCTATGCCCCTACCCACAGCAAGGGGGCTCGGAGTTCGTGCCTGTGGTGGTGAGCCGGTCAGTGCTGCGCTCCATGAGCCGCCGGGATGTCCTCATCAAGCGCTGGCCTCCACCCCTGCAGTGGCAGTACTTCCGCTCACTGCTGCCTGACGCCTCCATCACTATGTGCCCCTCCTGCTTCCAGGTAGTGGGCCCAACATGCACTCACACATGCTTCCAGCCTCTTCTCTCTGCTGCTCTTCCTTTTCCCAAATGTCCCTTTGGGAGGTCTGCCACCTGGGTGAGGAGCACGAGTGTACTGGCTGTAGCCACAGCTCTGGGCTGGGAGAAGAGAGTGCGTCCTTGGCCCTGCTGCTCACATGAACTCCACCAGCTGTCTGGAGTGGACTCCCTGGCCCCATGTGCTCCGCACTGGCCCTGAAGGTGGGGGGAGAAGGGGTGCATGATGTACCTGTGTACCTTACACAGGAGAAAGGGGCTCAGGTCTCTCTCTCCCCAGCCCCCAGCCCTCAGACCAAAGTGCTGCAAGTCTGCGGTTTGTGACTGTAACTCATGGCTAAGCAGGGCTCAGGGCCAGAGGAGCGCCCAGTGCTGTGGCCTCTCATCGCAGCTGTGTCTCCACAGATGTTCCACTCGGAGGACTACGAGCTGCTGGTGCTGCAGCACGCCTGCTGTCCCTACTGCCGGAGGCCCATCAGCGACCCCAGCCCATGATCAACAACTGTACCTGGCCGCCTTGGGGGAGGCTGTGGGAGGGAAGAGAGCTAAAGGCAGAACGTGCTCCTACCCAGATGAAGTTCGGGTCTCAGGGAGGGGCTTGTAACCACAGCATTCCTATTTATGGCATTTCGTGCCTTGTAAATAGCACCAGGAGATGGGGAAGAGCATGTACACATGTTTTCTAAGAAAAAAAATCTGTTACTTTCAGAAGGGCTCAAGTTGTTCACGGCAGCCTGCTGGAGTCCACAGATCTGTCAGACCGTTAACATGTACGCTTTGCCGACAGATTGCCTCAATAATGACAAATAAAGGGCTACTCGTTCTCATCAGTGTCTGCATTTTAGCAAATCTTCATATTGTCTGCAACTTAATTTCCTTATGCAAAAGTGCACCTGTTTCTAATTTGATCCAAAAGGAACATTGCATTTGCGTGGCTTTTAAAATATAATCTAATCGAAGTGGCAATGTGGGAAGGGCAAGGGAGAGGGTGTTTTTGTTGTTGTTTATTTATTTTGGTTTAATGAGGATCCATCTTGACGAGAGAATAAAATACCTGGCTCTGAAGAAGAGAGGTTGAAATAGAAACCCTTCCCCAGCTTCTGGAGCCCACCCTCCACACTCACCAGGAAGGGTCCCAGCCCCGCAGAGGGTTGCAGCCCTTCCTCTCCCCTGGGCCCTGTCGTGAGGGGGTTCCATTGAGATTCCCAGCTCCTGAGGTCCCTGCCCTTGGGCATCATCAGTGTTGGGCTGTGGACATGGGTAGAAGGTAGTGGGTAGGAAGCCAAAAGGAGAGCTCGTTTCTGGGGATCTTTTTTGCCCAGCTATACCCTGTGGTGCCTCTGTTCTCCCACAGCCCTGTGATGTGGGTTATGGTTTCTAGATTATAGCCAGCCTGGCTGGAAAGCAGGAAGCACTTTCCAGGGGCTCCCCATCCTCAATGGAGAAACCTGGGAGTTAGTCCATTCCTGAGGCCCTGCTCCCTTCCTCCAGCATGCCACTTGCCTGGGGGACAGCACCATGCTTCACATGCAGCCGCCAGAGCAGCTGAACACAGGCAGGAGGAGGGGAGTTGGGCTGTCAGGAACAACATAAAGACCCACCTTGAGGCAGAGCAGGGCAAACTCGCTGACTGAAGGGATGAAGAGCTGAGGCCAGAGAGGGTGGGGGAGGCCGAAGAGGGCGGGGCAGCCCAGGTCACCCAGTGCTGGATCTGGAGTCCATCCCAGCCTCCATCTCTGCCTCCCTCTGCATCTCTGTGGAGATGATGGAGGGAGAAAAGGAGGGAGCCAGACAGTTGTGCCAACAGAACTCTTCCATTGAGCGTCTAATTGCTTACGATCATGCATGCTCTCTCTCCTGCTAAACATTTATTAATGTGTTAGGATTTCCATTAGCGCGTTACTTGAACTGAAATCATTTGCATATGGCTGGGAAAAAGTGGGGTGAGGGAGAAAACAGCTCCAGCTACCCAACAGGCGTCAATCACAGTGACAGATCAGATGGTCCCTGCCTGAGACGCCGGCACGCATCCTCTCAGCCAATAACACAGGAACGAGAGTCCTGCTGCCTCAGAGCAGAGCACCGCAGTCCGTGTCTGAGGCAGCTCCGTTCAGCCCATCACTTGCTGGTGTGCATCACTGTGTTCGACCCTAGTGACCTCCAAGGCTGCTCCTCCCACAGATGGTGGAGCTGAGCCTCAGAGACTCATTCAGCAAACGTGCACACTGAGCCACGGCAGGTTTCACACCCAGGTACAGCCTTTGCATATGAGCGGTGTTCTGTCTCATCTCCACTTTGTCCAGATCTTGGCTTAGTTCATCCCTTTCACTGAGACTCAGTTTCCCCTGTACAAAGGGCCTTCTGCAGCTACAACACAGATTCCAGTCTCAGCCTGCAGCTGTAAGCAGGGACCCATGACAACCCTGCCCCATCCTCCATGTCAACAATGGCACCAAAGCTGGCAGGACAAGGGCATGAGATTCCCATTTAACCTAGAAGGGACAGAGGCCCAGGGTGGGAGCAACACAAAGATCACACCGCGTGGGAGCGGCTTGGCCAGAGGCTTGGCCCTGCTCTGGGGTCTGTCATTGCTGGACCTTCTGTCCTCTCAGGGGGAGGAAGTGAGGTCTCCAAGAGGAGGACAGGCCTCAGCCAGCAGCGTTGGTGGGCCTTGGTTTCCCATCTCTCCCAGCTTGGCTATTGAAGGCACATGTGGGCTGATGTCCCTTTTCCAAGGGTGCTGCTGTGTCTCTTTCCTGGTGCAGTGATGGCAGAGGCCAGCTGGGCAGATAAAAAGCCTCACAAGGAGGCCACCATTGGGCAGGGCTCTTACCCTGGACCAGGCATCCACCCCAAGATTCCCTGGCCCTCCACCCAAACTCCAAAACACCTCCATAGGATGGCCATGTAATGATGTCTCTCCCTGCCTCCCCCAGGCGTCCGGAGGCCAGCCATTCTGAGGGACTCGCCACCCTCCTGGTCCACATCTTGCTCCTCTGGGCTCCCATACCCCGAGACTGGGAGCAAATTCCCAGCTCTTCTGGCTACTGGTTTTCCTTGTCCGCCAACCCTGACCCCTGACACAATGAAGAACTCAACTCAGGTCCTCAGTGCCCAGCCACGGAGGGTATTTGGCCAATTTTAGGGGAGGAGGACGGGAAGGAGAGGCCTCTGACCCCTTCTCTTGTTCCTTGGTACCCTCAGCTCTATCTAAGGCCTCACACAGCCTTGGTGACACAGCTTTGGTGATGCAGCCAGGTGGGCTAAGCCACAGGGATGTCGGAAAGCAGGAGGGGAGTGGGCTGCTGACCCAGCAGCCTTTCCTGCTGAGGCTTAAGAGCTATTAGTGTGCTAAGTCCCTAATCCTCCAAGGGGCCTAGATGGCTGAGGCCATCCTCAAAGGCAGCCACCTAGGGCCTGGCCCACAGTTCCTCTCAGGTCTTCCCCAGCCTACTTGGGGCCATGTGACTTTCAGGTCACCCACACTGGAGCTTGGCACCCTGTACTCTCGGAAGGGAACAAACTCAAGCTGCAGGTCACTCTGGTTCTGCTGAGAGTCCCAGGCTTCTGAGCTACAGAGGCCTAGGGGTGCTCCCCACCGGGCAGGGGTGCTCACTCATTCCACCAGCACTTATCAAGCACCTCCCGCTTTGAGCCACCAGCCCACAGGTGTCATAGCCAGGCCTGACCACCTGGTTCTAGAGAGGAAGGAGCAGCTGTTCAGGAAGAGATAGGCCATGCTGGTGGCAAGGCACACTGGGTAGAAGTGAGTGTGATGGGCCTGTCCTGGTGTGCCGGGGTCAGGCGTCTCTCCCAGGACATAAGTGTAAACCAAGACCTGAGGGAGATGAGGTGAACACCTATCAGCCAATCGCAAGCCCTCCAGCAGCCCAGGGAGCAGGCACTGTCACCATTCCTGGGTCACGGGACAGGGGACGGTGCAGGAAGGGGCCTTGTCAGATGTAAGGGCAGTGTAACAGGGCCAGGGGCCTTGTCAGTTCAGCAGTTCCCCAAGCTGGGCCCAGAAGGAGACGGACAGGGACGGCAGCTCAGCTTCTCCCTAGAGATAGTTGTGGTCCCGAGTTTTCCAAAAGAGGCCCAGATGGGGAAGTGGGACTTACCAGGTCTTTTGATGACTCAGAGACACGGGCTAGAACCCAGCATCCTCCCCTCCCAGTGTGTTGTGTGACTCAGACTTGAGCCTTTCCACCACCCCAGCAAACGGTCCTTTAGTCACTTATGTCATGTTAAGGTCTTTCCTGAGCACTGTCTTTGATGGGGAGGGGAGGGGCTGATAGATCTTCTGAAGCCTCGTTGATGAAATGTGCTGGTCACATGACCTGGGTGGCTGGGCTCAGAGTCTCCAAATGCAATGTAGGTCAGTAGGGAGGGTGCAGCAGATGACTTCAGCTCCCTCTGAGTCGTGTCACTTAAAAACAGTTCTCTGTCATGCTTTACAGACTCCAGAGCCCAGTCACCTCTGAGACGGCCTCTAGTGTTCCACCACCACAGCCAGTGAGGTCAAGATTAAACATTCTCACCGAGAGGGAGCTGGAGATGACCTAGCCCCAACCCCTCACTCAGTCTGCAGGTATTTACCATGCACCGACTGTGTGAAAGGTCCTGCGGGTGCACAGGTGAGCAAAAAGACAGAAATCCCTCTTTTAATGCTGCGAAACTATTCCCAATGTCCCTACTGTGTGCCAGACCCCAGGCTGGCTCTGGGGACGGACACAGGCCACTCCTGCAGGCTCACATTACAGCCTGGGAGTCGAGAACAGAGAATGACCTTCCCAGATGTTCTCAGAGCACGCACACACCCATGGCGACAAGCCAGGTGCTGAGGTGCTACTGAGCTGGGCTGGGGCTGGGGCAGTGCTTTCCCCTCCTCTGACCACCAGGGTGGTGTCAGAATCAAACTGTCCACCTTGACCTCATTAACGTTGGCCTAATCACCAAGCCAAGCGCCTTAAACTAGGAAAGTCACCCCTCTCCCCCTGTCCACGTTCTGTGCTCGCTTTCTCAGCCCTCCTTGTGCCAGGCCCTCCCTGTTAGACCGCAGTACCACTTAGACAAGAGGAGTCTGGCCCAAGGGGACATTTTTCTAAGCAGACAGATCCAGGAGTCCCATGTGGGAAGAGAGACTAGACAAGAGCTTACAGACCCAAGTCTCAGAGACAGGGACAGTTCCCCGGCTAGCTTTCTAAACCAGCCTCAGGGCCTTTGCACTTGCTGTTTCTCTGCCTAGACACCTTTGCCCCACAAACTGGTATGGCTGGCTCCTCCCGTCACTCAGTTCTCTGCTCAAGCTTTACCCTCTCGGGCAGGTCTTCCCTGGGCTGCTCTGGGTAGCGTTCAGTGTTGTTGGGAGCATGTCAGCACCTGGACTTCCCCTGTCGCTGATTCTCATCATTTGTAATGTAACCCCTGCCCACCCGTTCATCACCCATGGAAATGCTGTCTTCTTGTGTCCAGGGTCTTGGTCTTTCTTGTCCCCTGTGTGTCATTGACTGGGATATGGTGGGTGACCTGTGCATGTGCTAGCTGGACAGTGGTCAGGGATTGTCTCACATGCTGGGAACTCCTGGCCCCCACACAAGTCACTGCCGTCTCCCCACTTCAACCTGGGGTATCACCGAGCTCCTTTCACAGAGCTCCTGCAGTGTCCAGCCTACATCTGCCCCTGGTCACCTTCCCCCAGGGCTCCCACTCTTCCCTCCCCGCAGTGCATCCTGAGACCTGCTTTGTGGCCGCATGGTAGATATGTGACCGCACATCCCCAGACAATGCCGTCTGCAGCACAGTTCAACCAGGCCTGCGTCAGGGTCAGCTGTTGGCTTCCTCTTCAGCCTGGCGTCCCTAGAGGCCAGGACCAGCCTGCACTCAGCCTTCACAGGGTCCTGGAACTCCACAGCTGAGGTCTCTGCCCCTTTCCTGTTCTGGTCATCCCTTCCCTCCACTCCATCTCTGGGAGCGTATTTGAATCACCTTTCTGCCCCCGAGGTCTATCAGAGCCTCTGTCCACTGACCTCTGGAGAAAGCTGGGCTCCTCAAGACCCATCACTGGGGCCCCTAGTGGCCCCTAGCAGTCCATATCCTTCCACCTCCCTCAAGTCCTAAGCAACCCCTCCTCAGACCCCACCCACCTACCCACCCGGGAGGCAGCTCCCTTCTCCATGGCCCTGGTGCATCCCTCCCTGGGCCGGAATCTATTTCAGCTCCAGCTAAGTCCTCTTTGGCCTAGCACCTTGCCCGGGTGGGGTCCTGTCCCTCTCCATCTCTGTGTCCCCAGTGACCTGCTGGCAAATGCTTACTGAACGAGTGAGTGAGTGGTTTCCAATGCAGCAGACAGTTGTCGAGCTGCTGGGCTGGGCCAGGCTCTGCCCGCAGGAAGCTCAGATTAGGCCAGATGAGTGAGTGTCGGGCCTGGGCCTGTGTGAGCCATGAGAAGACTTGGAGAGGAAAGGACCAGGCCAGGAAGGGCATGAGGGGGAGAGACTGAGTCCAACCAGAAAGGTTGTGGCCATCTGGGAGCTCATGGTCAAGTTCAGAAAAAGCTGATAACAAGCAGGGCAATGGACATGGGTCCTGAGGTTCCAATCCCAGGCCAAGGCCACAGACTGAGATGGGCAGAAATTCCTGGGGGTGCTTGGGATGGGCAAGGTTAGGCACCCCCTTCCTTTCCCAGGGTCCTACCAAGCACCTCCCCACCCTGACCCTAGCTTCGGCCGGGTGTCACCTTGGCCCCTTCTGCAAGCCACTTAGGCCCCCAGCGGCAGCACTAGGGATTAGTATGATTATGGGCACCCCAATCTTCCCGATGCTGATTCAGCCAGAGGCTGGGGGGAGGTCACTTTATAAGGGCCTGGGGGGGTCAGGGCCAGCCGAAGTCCTGGGTGGCCGAGCTCGCGCCAACGCGCAGCAGAACTCCTCTTGGTCGGATCAGCCCGCGGGGCAGCTGCGAGGGCCACAGCCATGAACGGAACAGAGGGCCCCAACTTCTACGTGCCCTTTTCCAATGCCACGGGTGTGGTGCGCAGCCCCTTCGAGCAGCCGCAGTACTACCTGGCCGAGCCGTGGCAGTTCTCCATGCTGGCCGCCTACATGTTCCTGCTGATCGTGCTGGGTTTCCCCATCAACTTCCTCACGCTCTACGTCACCGTGCAGCACAAGAAGCTGCGCACGCCGCTCAACTACATCCTGCTCAACCTGGCCGTGGCTGACCTCTTCATGGTCTTCGGGGGGTTCACCACCACGCTCTACACCTCCCTGCATGGCTACTTTGTCTTCGGGCCCACAGGATGCAACCTGGAGGGCTTCTTTGCCACCCTGGGCGGTACGAGCTGTGGGACTGGGGGTGGTACAGGATCAGGGGAGCATCAAGGGGGTCTAGGGACTATTCCTGGCTTGGGCATGGTGGCTTAGAGGACTCCTTCCTTCTCCTTCCCTCCTATCAGCATTACCCAAGGCCCTCCTTTATTCAATCAACAATCACTGCTTTGTTGAGGGCTTTGAGTGCTGTGTTTATCTCATTTCAAGTAGTGCTCTTGTGCACTCGATAGTAAGGAACATGGGGTCAAAGCAGTCTGGGGCCTTGCTGAGGTGCAATACAAGGACAGGAGCAGAGTTGGCTTTGGAACCCATGTCTATGTGGCCCCTCAGGTCGTGTTCTGAACACAGAGGCTTCCATTTGACTCATCACAGCTGAGCTGGGTCAGTACCTTCCAGCCTCGGGGAGTGAGATACTCTCTGCCCTCCAGAGGCATCCCCGGCCCAGGCAAGGAGCACGTTCTTGCATTCTTGTCCTCTGTCCGTCTTGGGCTCAGTCCCCAGCATCTGTCTGACTCCTTCCCCAGCCTCTCTCCAGCCTCAGCCACGCATGCAGGGTCTTTGTACTGGGGCCTCATCCCCTCTGGGAGCAGCACCTGTTATAGGGAGGCATTAGACCTGGGTGGTAATCTATAGCTTTGAAGGAGCATGTTTCGGTTTGGTTTGGTTTGGTTTTTGTGGTAGGATCTCACTATATAGCCCAGAGTCCCAGCTCAAATGCTTGATTCTCTTGTCTCTGCCTCCCAAGTGCCAGGATTACCAGTGTGTACCACCACACCTAGCTAAATGTTTGCAAGTATTTGCCAGGCGTGGTATTACATTCCTGTAATCCCAGCTACTTGGAAGATGGGAGCAGGAGGATTGAGAGTTCAAGGCCCTGCCTCAAAAACAAAATGCAAATATTTTCTTTCTCCTGACTAAAAATGGATGGCAGAGCTGCAGGTGCTCATTCAGCAGAGGAGAAAACAGGGGCAGGGAGAGGGCAAGAGATGCCTTTAGGGCTATGGCAGGCAGGGACCAGAGCCTATGTCTCCTGGCTCAAAATCAGGGATGTCTCCCCTGGTCATGGGGGAGATAGGTGTGACAAAGCCAGGGATAGAGCTTGGCGCCAGCCGTGAAGGTGGCTCTGCCTGTCCTGGCCTCTCTCCCTCTCGTGTCTACAGTGGTGTTCTCAGGATACCTCTGAGGTGCTTGTCACTTTCTGTGGGCAGATGTTGGATGCCACATGCAGATGGACCCTTCTTTGCAGGGTTCACCTTCCTCCCAGAGTGTTAGTAGGGTCCCCTTCACTGTCAGACGTATCTGGTTATTCCATGGCTGTTCTTCCCACTGAGCTTTGCAGGTGACAAGCAGGACAAGTGCCTTAAGCCGCACACTTCACTCCTTCCTGAGGCAAAGGAGTTCCCAGCTTTGTGGCTCCAAGGAGTGGTCCCAGAGCGCAGTTACTGTGTTCCCCTTGGGGAGGGAGCAGGAAAGACACCCACCTGTAGGTTTTCACTGCCTCTGTCTGTCCTTCCAGCAAGAAACCCTGCCCATGGCCCCGGGAGGAACACGCTCTTCTGTAAACCTGCCTTGGGCGCCACGTCCAGTCTGAGCCCAACTGCTTTCCTCCCTCCTCTCTCCATGTCCAAGCCCACTGTGTCCCTCAGGCCTTGTCACCTGTCCCCCGTTGAGGGGTGCCCTCTCTTTGGAAGCATGTGAGGCCCAGCAGGTAGAGGCTGACAACCACTGACTGCCTTGCAGGTGAAATCGCCCTGTGGTCCCTGGTGGTCCTGGCCATCGAGCGGTACGTAGTGGTGTGCAAACCCATGAGTAACTTCCGCTTCGGTGAGAACCATGCCATCATGGGTGTGGCCTTCACCTGGGTCATGGCGCTGGCCTGTGCCGCACCCCCACTCGTCGGCTGGTCCAGGTAATGGTGCTGAGCAGAAGGGAGGGGGTTACAGGGTCCTTTGCCAGCCCAGGCAGGACCCAGACCCCACGTAGTCTGGTCCCAGACTCTGACCTATATGGCCCTGCCCCAAAGCCCACCTAGGCAACTCTTCGAGGGCCTGAGCAGGGGTGGGAAAGACCCCAGTGGTGCCATGGGGCTGGTTCCACCTCCTGCATCTGTGTCAAGGAGAATCTCAGATGGCCTTCACCTTGGCCCAGCTCCTAATCCTCAACTAAGCCCAGGCCCAAGTCCAATCCGCTTTGGTCCCACACCCTGTAGGCAGCTCGCTCTGACCTTGGGCTCAGCACCTGGGGAGGCCGAGCCTTCCTACATGGATGGTGACATTGTGGCCCCTGACAACAACTGGGCCCCATCCAGCCTTCAGGCCATAGTCTGTAAATGTGACTAGGATGGGTAGGCGGTGGGGACTATGGTTTGGACAGCTGGACAGGTGACTCTGCCTTCCCATCCCTCAGTTTCTGGGAAATTCCGGTTCTCTTTTCACTTCTCTCCTCTCTCCATGCCCCTGGGGTCCATTTCTTGGCCCTTGCTGAATTCCAGCCCATCCCCTCCTCTGGCCTCTTTCCCCATCCTGCCCAGTGTATCCTCCATTGGCATAGATTACAGGCACTCTGGGTTTTCCAAGGTCAGTCACGGTCCTCAGAAGTCATGAATCAATGCCTGGGCTTCACTTTCAGAAGCTGCACCAGGTCCCTCAGGTCCATCTTTGGCCTAGAAAATGCTCATTTGTGCAAACTGCTGTGCTTACAGAGCAGGCATTTCTCCTCTACCTTGTCACCCTGGGCCAGGGGAGGGCAGCTGACCTGATGGAAAAGGACTTGGTGGTTGGGGTGGCAGGAATGCTGAGGGATGGCACGGTGGGGGGAGACTGGGTGGTCTCATCTAACCATTGGCTGTCAAGCAACAGTAACAAGGCTGCTTCCTGAGGCCCATGGGAGCCATTGTCTCTGTGGTTCTGACTTACAGCCACCCAGCTCAGCAGATGCCTTCTTACCTGTCTTAAGGGAGTGAAATGGAGGCTGAGAGGGGCTCGCACACGGCAGTGCATTTTCGTCCTTGGAGCCCCAGGTGCCTCACAGTTGGGGTCTCCCTTACCCACCGCCTGCCATCCCTGTGCTGTCCTCAGATACATCCCCGAGGGCATGCAGTGCTCGTGTGGGATTGACTACTACACGCTCAAGCCAGAGGTCAACAATGAGTCCTTTGTCATCTACATGTTCGTGGTCCACTTCACCATCCCCCTGATGGTCATCTTCTTCTGCTATGGGCAGCTGGTCTTCACAGTCAAGGAGGTACAGGCGGGGGCAGTCCCTAGGAACTGGGGGTCTCTCCCATGCAGCACAGCCCCTTGCTCGTGGTGTGGCCAGTGATGGGTGCTGGGGACAGGTACAGACATGTGCCCTATGTCCCTGCAGGCAGCTGCCCAGCAGCAGGAGTCGGCCACCACCCAGAAGGCAGAGAAAGAAGTGACCCGTATGGTCATCATCATGGTGATTGCTTTCCTGATCTGCTGGCTGCCCTATGCTAGTGTGGCCATGTATATCTTCACCCACCAGGGCTCCAACTTCGGCCCCATCTTCATGACCCTCCCGGCATTCTTTGCCAAGAGCGCCTCCATCTACAACCCCGTCATCTACATCATGATGAACAAGCAGGTGCCTGCTATGGGATGGGAGGTCCAGGGCCCCACTGCAAGCACTACTGCCAAGAACAAGTGACGTCCTGGGGCCGGAGAGTGGGTTTCTAGCAGGAGTGGGAGTGTGGGGCAAATGCAGAGTCCCGGGTCCCACCCAGAGCAGCTGAATCTGAACCTCAGAGCAGGCCCAGGAATGTGCATTTCTTTTCTTTCTTTCTTTTCTTTTGTGGCACTGGGGCTTGAACTCAGGGCCTTCTCCTTGAGCCACTCCACCAGTCCTTTTTTGGTGAAGGGTTTTTTCAAGACAGGTTCTTGTGAACTATTTGTCCAGGCTGGCTTCCAACAGCAATCCTCCTGATCTCTGCCTCCTTTGTAGTTAGGATTACAGGCGTGAGCCACTGAGGCCCAGCAGGAATGTGCATTTCTACCAAGCCCTCCAGTGACCCTGGAGCCCCTCAAGTGCAAGAAGCCTACATTAAAAAGTCACACAGTTCCAAGCTGTGTGACTGCTCCCAGTCTCCATAGGCTCAACAAAAAGCTAAAAAGGCTGTTCTGAGGGGTATCTCAGGTGAAGTTAAATAGTGTATAGAGTGACCTTGATACACACAGGACACCACAGAATGTCATTGATGACAAAGTCCCTTTGCATTGGGTCCCTGGGACTGGGATAACAAGTGCTTAGCAAGTTCCCTCTCCAGAGCCAGATTAGAGAGGGTGGAGGCTGTGAGGCACTGAGGCAGGGCAGAGATGGGGTCCGAATCTATCCCCTGTCACCTGGCCATGCAGTGAGGTCCACACTGTGGGGTACACTGCCCCTGACTTGTGCCCCTTGCCTTCCAGTTCCGGACCTGCATGGTCACCACCCTGTGCTGCGGCAAGAACCTACTGGGTGACGATGAGGCCTCCGCCACCGCCTCCAAGACTGAGACCAGCCAGGTGGCCCCGGCCTAAGTCCTGCCAAGGACTCTGTGGCCAACTGTAGGAGTCTCCCATCCCCACATCCACCCCAGCATAGCCCCCACCAGGAGTGGCGCCTGTTGGTTCGAGGTCACACAGGCTCCCTGAGTGCATTCGTGTTTAAAGAACTAATGAGAAAAATGAGGCCCCCCCAATTCATCGGGGACGGCCTGAGAAGGGATGTCCACCAAGACCCCAGATCTGGAGCCCCCCAGTTCCCAGGGGCCGGTAGGACCTGTTCCCCTCTCCCCCAACTTGTCTCTCAGGAATGTGAGAACTCTTGCTCTCTGGAAAAGTGTCCCAGCTTAGGGCTAAGTGTCTAGCACAGAACGGGACACACAGTAGGTGCTTAATAAATGCTAGATGGATGAAGGAAGGAATGGATGAAGGAATGAGTGGAGGAGCGAATGAGGGATGGGTGGGCAGGGGGAAAGTGACTGTCCCCCACCCAGGTGGCACCTGCTTGGCAGGTGTGACTCACATTTGATGATGTCCTTGACCAGTTATTATTCCTTCCCTGGCCTCACTTTCTTCCCCCATAAAATGGAAAGAAATCCCATTCCCTGGCCCTGACAGCCCAAGGCTGCTGCAAAAACCCAGTGAAATTGTGTGTGTGTGTGTGTGTGTGTGTGTGTGTGTGTGTGTGCGCACATGAACACTTTGTACACAGTAAGGGCTGTACAGATGTTAGTTAACATTCTGACTATCAAGTAATAGAATTAACTAATTCTCATGATTGTCTCTGCTTGGCAGTGACCATTTTGGGATTAGGCAAAGCCCAAGCATTCAGACAGTTGAGGTTTCACATAGCTTCAGCAGGCTTCTAGGCCAGACAGGGTTGGGTCTGGGCTTTGGGGAGTGGCAGTGACAGGAGTGCAGAGTGCAGTCATCAGATCTGGGAAAACAACGTCAGGGCCCCAGCGTCTCAGGCCCAGGCCTGGGGTCTCACCTCCAGTGTGGAACCCCAAGTCTAGTGCCTCCCCATTCCAATGTGGCCTGTGAAGACGCAGGCCTTTCTCCTGGCTTTTGAAAACCACCCACTCTTGCACCCCAGCTCCTGGGTGGCAGCATCTCTAGGCCACTATGGGGTTCTAGAGCCCATGCTAACCTGCTCATACTCAATGAAGAGCTGAGTCCCTGATATCAAAGAGCTTAGCAACAGTGGGAGAGGTGGGCAGTGATGCTGATGGCCTCACTTTCCAGCTCCCTTGCCAGATGTGCCCCTGTCTTCAGCTGCTGCTAGTCTGCTCTTCATCCTGGAGAGTCTTTACTCTGAAGGAGTCGGAAGTCTGGGGTATCAGACTTAAGCTGCCTCAGTTCAAGCTCCTCCTTCTCCATGAAACCCCAGCTCTGCCTGCAGACCAAGGCAAAGAGAGGCATTAAAAGCTCAGCTCCCACAGGTGGTATTGGTGGTCTTCATTGGCTGTTCTTTGCCCACAGGATGAAGTGAAGCTAAGCAGTTCCCCCTGATCAATGGCCAGGGATGTCTGATTGCCAGTGGGCGGTGACGTGCAGCTGAGCTCCTTGTAGGGCAGTGGGAGCGGGAACAGTCCTAAGAATGGAAAAAAATCCATCTTGGGTGTCGTAGAAACCCAGGCAACCTCTGGCACCACAAGCAAGTTTTGTGACCTCTCTAAACTGACTTACCTGCAAAAGGGGAGCTTAAATCTGACCTTGAAATAACTAGATGATGCATAAGTGGACATCCTACCTCCTGGCACACTGCAGACAGATACTTTGGAATTACTGGGCCTCAGCTGACAGCTGGGTTACCAGAGACCCCCACCCCCAAGGGGAGTGGGATGGAGCTGTAGCTTCTGGGAGTGAGCTCATCCTCCAAGGTGGGAGCCAGAGATGGAGGCTCCTCAGTGCTGGGCTGGGCTTGGCTTGGGCAGGTGACTGTGGGGATCTGATCACTGCCTTCTTTGCTGTCTCCCCAGATGATGTCAGTCAGGGTTACTTTGGTGGCAAGTGATAGGAAACCCAATTCAGTTGGGCTGAAGCAAAAGAGAGACATAATTGGCTCACATAAAGAAAAAATCCAGCTTCAGGACAGCTGGATGCAGGGCTTGGGTGACGTGATTAGCTCTGTCTCTCCCCTTCTGGTCTGGGTTGGCTTCATTTGCAGGATGATGATTCCCCAGTGGTGGCTGAAATGGCCACCACTTCAGTCCCTGCAAAAGGGACTTCTCTTTTAGTCCCTTAGTACAAGTAGGAGTTCCAGTAGGGCTCTCATTGGCCACATGCAGGACTTGGGTTACCCCCGAACCAATCACAATGCTTAAGATGGAAATTCATCCTCTGACTGGCCAAGTCTGGGTTCACAGGTCTATCCCTAAACCAATAACCATGTTTAAGATGGGGAGTCATCCTCTGATTGGCCAGGCCTGGGTCACCTGATCATCTCTAAACCAATCACCCATGCCTGTGATGGGGATTCATCTTCTGATTGGCCAGGCCTGGGTCACCTAATCACCCCTAAACTAATCAGCATGCCTAAGATAGGGATTCATCCTCTGATTGGCCAGGCTGGGTCATACCCTCACCTCACCCATAACTACCAAGAGAGAGTCTTCACTTAAGCCAAGAGCTCTGAGAGTCGGGAGAGATAGGGCCCCCAAAAGAAAGCAGGGGAGGGCAGGAGGCCAGGGAGTGGGGAGGACAAAACCACAACCAGCCCAGGGGAATGGAGGGACTCTATCCAAGCCAGGTCTCCCTCCTACCAGGCTTGAGAGAGAAGATTCCTATGGACAGCTACAGGTCTTGCTCTTCATTTTACATCCTGCACTGGACGGGGGCATTGGCATTTCAGGTGCCCAACTGTCCTGCCTTGGCACTCCCCACCCCAGTCCACTTATTCTGAGGAGTGATATGTTTGCCTTGGCCTCTGTGCAGGGAAAATGTTCCTCTAAGACCAGAACCTTCTCTGGCTTCCTACTGGAGAGGGCAGTTGATTTGACAGGCTCTGGCCAGTGCCACCTATAAGGGGACCAGCTGCTGATGTCAGTCTTGGGGCAGGGCTCCCCACCTGCTCACCAGGCTCCAGGCAGCTAAAAGATTCTGCAGCACCAGCAGTATACAATCCATTCAGCCAAATCTAAGGAAGCCAGTCCCAGGCCAGAATGTGCTGAGGACTCAGAGATAGACCCAAGGGAGTGGGTCTTTGGGTTTTGATCTGGCCAGCCTTGGGTCACATTGTTCTGTCACCCCAGTAGAGAAACATATGCCTTGAGGTGACCACCCCCAAGACACTGTATGGCCTTCCCAGCTACATGATCTCAGAAAAGTCCTTGAGCTGCTCTAGGCTGCTTTCAGCTGAAAAGGAAGAAACATGTCAATTGGTCAAATTTTCTAGAGCTCAATGGGATGGTTGATACAAAGGGTGCTGTGTACGGCAGGTGCTCAGAACACACGTGTTTCCTCCCTGGAGGCGTGAACCAGGTTCAACAGAAGGGAGAGAGGCATGTCAAGAGATTAATATAATAGGGAGGGTCCAAAGAAAGGGGAAACAAGTGCTGACTGCCCCCCAATATTCAAACTCCTGTCCTTTGCCTTCCACTAGTAAGATACTGCTAAGTTCTGGCTGGATGTGCCCCAGCTTCCCTTGCACCTGTGGTGACACATGAAGTGACAACTCTGAGTTGCGCATTTCAGAGAATGGAAGTGCCTTCCACTCTTCCTCTCTTCTTTGCTTCTCGCAGGCTGGAATGTAGTCACGATAACCGGAGCTACCACAGCCATATTGGATCATGAAATAGAATCTGAGGGCAGGGAATGGCAAAGCATGAAAAGAACAAGAGCTCGGTTCTCCCAGCTGCTTTCCCAGCCCTGGACAACTTAGCGAGTTTCATGAAGAAATGGTTTCATGGGTTCCTGGTTAAGCTGATGTTATTTTGGAGTCACGGCTGTTTTGTTAACTCACACACACGGCTCCCAGGTTGCAGCCCAGGGTCTGAACTTGGAAGATCTAAGTGCAGATCCGCTCAGAACTTGAGCCTTGTCATGCACAAAGGAAACAGTGAGGACAAAACATGCTCACGGATATTGAACACGGAAGCTGTTACTGTTTCTTTGGACCCTGCCTTTGATACACTTATCAACCCAAAGCCAGGTCGACTTAAATAAATGTCACAGTGTGCTCATGGCCCAGGGGCTGGAGTTATACAAAGCTGTAACTGCTTCACTAAGTTCTCCACAAAGATCTCCAGAGTTGTAAGCAGGCCCACAGGGAGGAGGACCCAGCCTGTAATGAAGTTTTCAGCGGGAGTCAGACTCCGCCCGGGCCTGGGTGCAGAAGTGGGGAGGACCACTTCTTCTTGCACTTGCCAGCAAGTCAATCGATCGTGTCATTTCCCTGTAAAAGGCAAACCTTGAGAGGAATTTTTAGATCACGCAGTGCATTTTAGAACATCCCTCCTCTGAATGCAAACCTCGATCCTGGCACAGCCCGGGAGCAGGGTTTCAGCTAACGCTCGTGGGAATGTTTACATCGCGGGAGCTGAGAGTCTCTGTGTTTCTCAGTTCTTGGAACTGCCCCACAATCTGATCAGAACTGCTGCCCCGTTTGTACCAGACTCAGTTGGCCTCTTTGCCTTGCCACTGCTCTCGCAGCGGATTATAGGCCTCCCTCCATGCCCCCAAGCCAGGCTCTGGCCCTGGGATTTCCATGGCAGTGCAGCAATAAGTATTAAACACCGACTGTGTGCACAGCAACAAGTATTATGTACCTACTGAGTGCAGGTATCACTCTAGGCACCACGGTACCACCAGGAACAAGACAGACCCATCCTGTCCCATCCTGGAGCTCAAGGGCTAGGGATAGACAAGGCAGAGCTGGAATTAGAGTGCTGGGGACTCCCAGGGAGCTAGTGCAGGGGTTGGTGACACTCTAGCCTTCTAGGAACCAGGGAAGTCTTCCCTGAGGGTGTTGTCTACACCAAGAACAAAGGTTGAGTGGGAAATATTCCAGAGAAGTTAGGTGCAGTCAGTGAGGCCTTCTAGGCCAAGTGCATCTGTCAGCTTGTGCTGTGTGACAAACAGTCCTCAGAACTCATGTTTAAAACAACAAATTACACATTGTTGGTCACAACTGTAGATTTAGCCAGTGGTTCTGCTGATCTGAATCAAGCTCAAATGATGGCCACTGAGCTCATGCAACCATCTGTGGTCAACTGGAGGGTTGACTGGGGACCAGCTGTTGGGCTGGCTGCTGGCTGGGTGACGGGGTAACTGGGCTATGGGCCTCTTGGCATCCTGCAGCTAGCTTGGGGATGTTCCTGTGGCAATGAAGACCAATGCAGCCTCACTTCCACTACAGTCTATCAGTCAAAGCAAGACACAAGGCCAACTCAGATCGAAGGACCTGCAAGTGGCTGTAAAGTTACATTGCAAATGGGCCTGGGTAGAGTAGGGATGAAAAGTTAGCCCCCCTTTTTACATTAGTTTGACATGGAGCACAAAGGACAAGGCCCAGATGGCAGCACAGCCCACTCCAATAGCCACACTGTGGGTCTGTTGTTTAGCTATTAGAGCTGGGAACTGAACCCAGGGTCTTGTGAATGCTCTGCAGCTAAGCCACACCTCCAGTCCTCACAGCATGAATGATGTATGGAGTTCAAGGGCAAAAGAGCCACTATAAGCCACACGGAAGAGTTTAATTCTCACCCAAAAGCAGTAGGGAGCCGTGGAAGGTGCTAGGCAGGGGAGTGAGGTCTGATTTCACCGTAGAACACTCTGAGAGGTACAGTTTCCCTCATTTCAGACGTCCAGTGATGGAGAATCCTCTGGGAAAACTTCAGAAAATAAAGGTACTACATGCAAAGAGAAAAATGCAAGTTTATGCCAAACCCGTCCCTTTCAAATCTTGTAGTTTCTTCAAAGGTAAGTACTGCTATTCCATTGATATGAATCCTTTCAGTACATCTTTACACACACACACCAACTTTGATTGTCTTCTAAGAAGTACAGTGAGTTCTACAGTTATGGTTTGGCTCATCATTTCCCCAGCTGTATACTATTCCACCACAAGAATGGGCCACAGCTGAGTTAGCCTCTTTCCATTTAACGGGCTTTTAAGCTGTTCTGACTTTCTGTTGATGTTTCAGCGACTGTCCTTACATACCAGTGTGTTTCCCCCAGATTCTCTCCAGCATGGAATGGGTGGGCTGTGGAACAAGTCCATCTTTAGTTGGACTTCCTCCAAAGGTGGCTGTCAATTGGCTGCTGGGTATTTCCACATGCTCTCAACAATCAGTATCAATAGATACTTAAACACTCATCATTCCGCCAGGTGTGAAATATATAGCCTCCTCCTGGATTTAATCCACCTTATCACTTTAGTTCTGCATTTTGTTTTTGAGACTGGGTCTTGCTGTGTAGTCCAGGCCGGTCTTAAACTTGCAATCCTCCTGTCTCAGCCTCCAGCGTGCTGGGATTACAGGGCTGTGCCACCAGGCCTGGCCACTGTCTCATCTTAAATGGCTGTGGGGTATCTTTTACAGCGAGGGAGTAATATAATCAGGACCGGTGTGATTTTTGTGGAAGTTCCTTCTGATTCCTGTATGTTCCAAATCAGTTGCTGGACTCCTGGGAACAGGAAGTAGTCTGGACCCTGCACTTCTTGCCAACCCTCCCACGCTGTCAGTCTGACAGGACGGGTGGGATTTTACACTCCTGTCAGTGTCAAGGAAGTTGAGTGGATACTTCCCTGCTGGCCTTTCTGGTAACTGGTGGGATTGTATTCTTTACCCATTTCCCCAGCAGACACTATCCTTATTTATAAAAACTTTTGCTAAGAAATTTTATTTCAAAATTGCTTTCATGCCATGATTCTTAAAAAAAACAAAAACAAAAACAAAAAACCCAAACATGCCAAAGAGGAACTGGACTCCAAGGGTCTTGTAGACCCCCCAGTGCCCACCCTGGGGCAGCTGCTCTGAGCAGCTGGTCGATCCCAACTTCTTGAGATATTGAGGTCAGTGGTGGCCTGGGAACAGGGGCAGAGACTGGACCTGCCCACTTGGTGGGATTTGGGGCTTTTGTGGCTGCAGTTCACCATCAGTGCCTCCAGTCCAGGTGGGCAGAGGGCACGGGAGGATCCAGACATCCTCACCCTTGTCATTTTGCCCAAGGGCTGAGACCCAGGGAAGCCAAGCGCTACAGCTAAAGTCAGGTGGAGTATGGTACTGGGGGTTCTGTGCAGAGGATAGGGTCACGTGCTCTGCTTCCCCGGCCCAATCAGCAGCCAGAGCACCCCGGCCGCGGATGCTGATTGGATGGTGGGCTGAAGGAAGGTATATATAAGGTGAGCTGGCGCGCTGCACCCTTATGTCTGCGGACGAGGGCCTGCAGCTGCCTGTGCCATGGCTCCAGGAAGCGTCTCCAGTGTCACCTCCTCCTCATCCACCGTCACAGCTGGCTCCTCTGCGTCCTCTGAGTCTGAAAAGCCAGGTGAGTATGGGGCAGTGGGCTTCCTGGTTCCTGCTGCATCCCTGGGCATTGTAGGCCCTCCTCCCCACTCCCTCCCAGCCTGGCCCCAGCACCCACCTAGACGCTGTTCAGTTCACCTGTCCGTTTGGTGGATCAGTTTGCCATGCCAAGGCTGGACGGGGGGTGGGGGGGCTGGGTCAGCCAGTGTAGGCCATGAAAAACCAGTGGTGGCTTCCAGCTGGAGCCTGTCCTGCCCTACCCTGAGCCCAGCTGCAGGGCATCTCGCTGGAGGGGTGGAGCAGGGAGCTCTGATGAAGGCTGGGTATCCCAGTCTTCAATCAACAAACCAGGCCACACATGAGGGTGTCTGAGGCAAGCTGGCCCAGCTCATTCCCTTGTGGAGCCCTCAGTTTGAACAGAAGCCTATTTGGTAGTAGCCACATGTGCTATAATGGTGGCTGCCCGCTCACACCGGGAGGTCAGCGAAGTCCTCTTCAGGTGGTCCGTTCTTCTGCTGAAGGCAATGAGGAGCCATGGAAGGCTCCAAGCAGGAAGGTGGGTATGGGGCTGGAGAGGAGAAGCTGGAATGCTGGAGAGATGTGAGAGAAGCGAGATGTAGGGTAGATGTGGCTGGGGGTGGGGGGAACAGGATGGCCCTGCTTCCTGTGTGAGTGTCTGGGTGCATGTGGGAGATGGAGGTGGCTTTGCAGGCAGGAGTTGTGTTTTGAACATCCTGGTGAACTGCTGCATGAGCAGGTGCAGGAGGAGACAGGCCTGGAGACACCTTGGGGTGGCTTCTGGGGCTGAGGCAAGGTTTGGGGGAAGCTGCTGTCTGAGATCAGGCGGGAGGACTCCCAGGAGACCCTGGACCCTGCAGCAGAGAAGGCTCGGGCACTTCTGAGGCTCTGTTTCCACCACATGCATGGGGGTGGGGGGCCTGAGCCAGGAGAGCACCTCTCAGCTGTGGTCCCGCAGTGAAGACTCTGAGCAGGCTGCAGGGGTTGAATTGGGTTAGGTATCATCAGTTTGCCTCTAGATACAGTTTCACGGGGTTTCTCCTTCTGCCTACAGTTTTCGGTTTTCTTTTGCTGGGTGTGGTGGTATACACCTACCCCAGCCTCAGGAGACTGAGACAGGAGGATCATGAGTTCCAGGCCAGCCTGGGCTACATAGCGAGACCCTTTCTCAAAACTACAAAAAAATTGAAATATTGTCATTCCTTTTATCCTTTATATTTTGCAAATTGCTCAGATATGAGCATTTCCCAGCAATCATCATGTTAAGTCGTGTTTCACGTTTAGGTTTCACACCTTTTGACTGACAGCTTCCCCTGCTGCTCCAACTCCTGTGGGCAATGATTAAAAAATAACAGCCCATTGAGAGAATTTACATGCATTACAACTCACCCACTTCACATCTGCGATGAGTTTTAGTATGCTCATACATGTATCCCTCTCCACAACTGTAGAAAAAATTCACTTCCTCAAAAAGAACCTCTCCACCCCGAAACTCCCCCCAGAACCACTAATCTTTCTGCAGGTATGGATTTGCCTGTTCTGCACATCGCACAGGAGTAGAATCGCGCATTACATGGCTTTTTGTGACTGGCTCCTTTCACTTAGTATGTTTTCAGGGTGTCTTCATGTTGCCATACATAGCAGTGCTTCACTTTTTTTGGCTGAGTAATATTCCATTCCATGTAGATGTCGCATTTTGTTTTTCTTGTCTGTGATCATCTGTGGGCATTTAGGTTGTTTCCGCTTTGGGGCTGTTAGGAATAATACTGCTATAAACATTCATGGAAAAGTTGTCCCCCACCACCTGGGGGGTGCTGGGGATGGAGCCCAGAGCCTTGTACACGCTGAGTATGCTCTCTACCACTGAGCTACACCCTCGTCTCCTCATGAACAAATTTTCGTGTGCTTAACGTGTTTTCATTTCTCTTGGTCACCTATGTAGGGGTGGAATTCTTTCATAAGTTTTTATTATGAAAACTCCCGAACAGATACAGAAACAGACCACTGAGTTGATATGCGCCCCTCTCCCTGTACCCATCAGCCAGCTTCACCAGCCGCCAACTCACAGCTCTTCTTAATCTGCAGGGTTATTTCAGAGCAAAGGCCAGACTTCTCACCTGTCAATAGTTCAGTATTGATTTGCAACAGATAAGGATGCTCGGAAAAGTAATTTCGGGGCTGGGGGTGCAGCTCAGTGGCAGAGCGCTTGCCTAGCATGCAAGAAGACCTGGGTCCCCTAGCACTGCAAATGAACAACCACAAATAGTTAGCACACGGGATCCCGTGCCATTCTTGATATCGTTCAGTATGTCCTTTTGGCATCCACGTTTATCCAGTTGCCTCCGGCCCGAGCTGAAGTGTTGAAATCTTGCCCTGAGTCTGAGCAGGGACCCCTGCTGTGTTTGGCTGAGGGGTCTCCATGTGCCTTTAGCCTGCAGGGTGCCCTCTCACCTTTCCCCCTTGGTGGTTCACATGTAGAAGAAACCAAATCAGGCAGTGTTCTCTGGGCAGCCCTCGTAGTCTGGTGTCTCCTGTAGCTGCCTCTCAGACGCCCCCACCCAGGACATCAGTAACTGAACGTGGCAAGTGACCCTGTCTAGGTTTGTTTTTTCAAGTGACTATTTGATTCTTAAGAGACTCCATGAGCTCCAACAGGGACAGAGACCAAAGGAAGGGGACTCCCAGGCCAGTGGTTGCCCTGTATGTGCTATGCTCAGCCCTAGCACACGTCGGTCCTTAGGTGGGGTGGGGGGTGCCCCGGGTGACTTCCTGCTGTCCGTTCCACAGGCCTGAGTCGCCACGGGGTTGTCGTGGGCCGCCGGAAGCCATCCATGCTGCACATGGTGCTGGAGGCTCTGCAGGCTGGGGAGCAGCGCCGGGGCACGTCGGTGGTGGCCATCAAACTCTACATCCTGCATAAGTACCCAACGGTGGACGTCAGCCGCTTCAAGTACATGCTGAAGCAGGCCTTGGACACAGGCCTGCGCAGGGGCCTCCTCACCAGGCCCGCCAACTCCAAGGCCAAGGGTGCCACCGGCAGCTTCAAAGTGAGCCTCAGGAGAGAAGGGGTGTGGGAGGACGTTAAGCCCGGCTCGCTTCTCCCTCAGTCTTTGTATGGGCTGCTGCCCAGCCTGGCCCGCCTCTCCCGTGCTCTCTTGCCCAGCGAGCGTCTCTAATAGAGATGGCCTTTCTGGACTCCTGCCTGCCCCAGTCACCCTGATGTATCTGGCTTTGTCCTGTTGGGGTGTAGAGACCAGGGACTGAACTCACTCGTGGTTCCAGGCACCCCCACTGCAGCCATGAGATGTGCTCCCCGGTCTCTCTGGCAAGTGCTGCCCCCTCCCCTAGCATCACTTTGTCCCCTTAGTCCCATCCCGGTAATGAGGCTTTGAGCAGGGACCTGTCCAGGCTCCCCCAGAGCTAAGAAGAGACTGGAGACAAAAGTGAGCCCCAGCTTCATGTCTGCCATTGGCCACCAAGAAAACCTGAGGGGCCCAGGGTCTAGGTCATGGCACTGAGCAGTTGTGCCCATAGTGGCTGTGGGATTAGTCCTGACTGACTGTGTGTCAGGCCCTGTGGTCACTGTGTGACCCATTGCAGGGAACAATGAGGCAGGTGGGTTTGGGATGCATGCAGGCTTGTGGGTGGTGGTGGTTTCTGGTCTTGGTGGGTGATGGGTGCAGCGGGAGCCAGGGGGTTGTAGCAGTCAGGGCAGGGACCACCTGCTTGCCAGGAGCCCCTGTGTTTTCTAACACCCCCAACCCCTGAAGCCCCCGTGAAGATGAGAAGCTCGTAGGGTTGGAGTCTTACAGTCACCTGAAGAACCCGTCTGTCATCAGACTATGTGTCACAGGGCATCAAGGGGAGGGGGCCCAAGGAGGGTGAAAGGAATGACGTAGGTGGTGACTGGGAGACAGGGGTGGAATGTGAGGGTGCTCGGGAGACCCATGATGGGTGCTCCAGCATGGGTGGAGGTGGGGTCAGAGTTAGGAGGAAGGTGGCCTTGTGTCTCTCACCTGCCACCTTCTTGGCCCTGTCATTTGGAGTAAGGCTCCCAGAGGCCTACATGGTGTGTAGAAGCATGACACACCCAGAGCTGCTCTCCTTCCTCCCCTGCTGCCTCAGCTCATCCCCAAGCACAAGAGGAAGAGCCAGCCCAGGAAAGCACTCCCCCTGACAGCTGCCAGGAGAGCACAGGGCAAGGGCCCCGCCAACCAGAGCGAAGGGGAGAAGGCCACCGAGAAGTGGGGAGAGGCCGGGAAGATTCCTCCCAGACCAGGAGCTACCAGAGAGAAGGCCCCTAAAAGAGGCAGTGAGGCTGTGGATGTCGGGGCAAAACCAGACAAGGCCACCCGGGCCCCTTCCAGCACCAATGGGCTCAGCAGCAAGATAAGGGTCAAAGGCACGGGGAGAAGACAAGGTGGGTGTTTGAATGCGGTGGCAGGGGGACCAGGAATACAGGTTCCCAGCAGCCCCTGGGGCGGGATAGAGGCCTGGATCCAGGGAAGGGTTTCCTTCTAGAGGAAATGTGCCCTCAGTGCTTGGCCTGGCCTTGGAGAGGCAGAGAGATCATGATAGCTGCTAGAGGGAAGCAGAGGGGACCAGGATCTGCTATCCTGGAGGCAGGGAGCAGGGAAGGCTTCCCTTCCTTGAGGAGGTGTTGTAGCCCCCACCTGTGCAAAGGCCAAGATGCATCAAGAAGGTGGAACTGCTGTATTTCTGTCTGCAATGGGGAGAAGGGGAACCCTGAGGGCAATGAGGCGCAAGGGTCAGAATTATTTAAGTGGATCCTAGCACCATGTGGTATACTAAAGACCAGAGGCTAATGGCACAGACAGTTTTAAGGCAGGGGGTCTGCTTGTGCCTTGTGCAGAGGAAGCAGGCTGCGCCCCCATGGTCTGGGGAAGGTCCTCTTCCCAATGGGCTGAGAGTAGAGCTGGCTTGCCCAGGTCACATGGCCTGTCAACATCAGCGTGAGGACATGGAACCCAGAAGAGGGGCTCGGGGGGCTGTGTTGCCTCCCCTCATGAGCCCTCCATCTTCCAGGCGTTGCAGAGACCCACAGGAAAACTAAGGCTGAGGGCCAGAGCTCAAAACCCACAGCTAACAAGGTAGGTACCCATGTGAGCTCCAGGTCTGGCATCCCACCCTGATCAGGCAGCACTGCGGCCCAGTCCCTGTGGAGTCACCAGTAGTAGGGACGGTGACATTTCTCCCTACTCAAACACTTTTTCTGGAGGGGTCTCCATCCCCTGCTACAGACAAGGGATGCTGGCCAGGACAGAGGAGGCTCCTGTCCCCAGCTGTCCAGAGGTGGGACTCCAACTCTGCCCAGTGGGCTCTGAGCTGTGTGCCCAGCTCTGTCTATTTTCCTGTAGGTCCGGAATGGTGCTGCCCCCACCAAACAGAAGATAGCGGCCAGGGCACCCACAGGGACAGTTGCCCTGGGGACTGGGGAGAAGCCGAAAAGCAAGGCAGCTGCTCCTTCCCAGGGAGGGCCCAAGGTGCAGTCCACACAAGCAGCCAGGAAGAGGGAGTCCACCAAAGAATCTTCGTTCAAGGGCTCGTCATCCAAGGTGTCCAGCAAAAAGGCAGAGGCCAGGAGCTAGGGCTGGGATGGCGAGAGATGGCGGAGCTAGGGCTGGGATGGCGAGAGATGGCGGATTCGTTGAGCTTTTATTCTCCGCCAGGCCATTCCTCTATTTAATTGTAACTTATTTATCAATAAAGAGTGTTCTGTTTCCTCACATTGAGATGGTGGATGCTGAGGTTCAAAGATTGGCCATTTGCTCCCTCATAAACATCCACTGAGCACCTGCTGTTTCCTTGGCTACTGCTGGGGACCAGATGAGAGCTGCCTCTGTCCTGGAGGAGATCGGTTCATCACATGAGGGGCCAGAGTGTGGACAAGCAGATCACAGGAGCACAGGTCTGGATGTGCCCCATCCTGTGGGACTTCTGATGTGGAGGTGGAGTAGCAGCTGCCACACAGATGAGAGAAGGGTCTTGCAGATGGAGGGCCCCTCCAGGGCTGGGTTGGAAGGCATGGTTTGTGAGCAGACTGGGCGGGGAGTGAGACGGGAGGGCCTGCAGCAGCAGACGTGCACTTTCTCTTGGCAGGGGGAAGCTAGAGAGGGCTATAGGGAGGGAGCACCTGTGTGTGTGTGTGTGTGAGAGAGTGAGAGTGTGAGATCTGGGTGCCAGTGAGTGTGCACTCTGCAGACAAGGCAGGGGCAGGGTCTCCAGAAGCATGGAAGCTGGCTGAGAGTCTAGATAGGGTAGTGAAGGCCTCTGAGAAGACACCTATGTCTGGCAGGAAACAGCATTTCAGCAAGAGAAAGGGCAAAGGCCTGTATCTGACACCTCTCCAGGATGCCACTGTGGCTACAGCACTGAGAGGACAGGCATGGGGGATGGGGTCTGCACTGCCTGAATACCACCTGTGACACTCTTCCATGAGAGGCGGAGTCTGTCCCCCTTAAATCTGAGCTCTACCATTTCATAACCTGAACAGTAGCAATGCCAGGACAGTAAGCCCCCCCCGCCCACCTTAAGAAACCAGCAGCTTTTACTTCCTGTGCATTGTCTTTTGATACTTAGTCTTGGAAATTTACCACCATGCCCAAGCTGCCTGCAGGAACCAAGGCACCAGTGTCCCTTGCAGCTGAGCTCCCAATCACTGCCACATGAGTATGCCAGCTCAGCATTAGGAACAGAGGAGTCACCTTGCCCACCCCTGACCAAGTGGCAGACTGCTGAGCAGAGCGAGTGCTGGCTGTTCCCAGCCTCCTGCCAGTAGCCTGATGGGCTGCAGGTGATCAAGGGCGGCATCAGGAGAAGGGATAAGCACTGTGAGTTTATCATTGTAAGGAACCATCAGCCAGCAGGCAGGAGTGACTCAAAGGCGGCTGTCAAGGGGGCTAGGGCCATTGCCCAGGTGAGGGAGGAGAGCAGCTGTGGGGGGGCTTAGACATACACAATGAGTTCTGGAGGGATCTCCTGGGTAGTGCAGATGAGGTCTGTTAGTGGACCGGATGGAAAAAGGGGTCAAGGGGGAGACCCGTGATTTGAGGTCTTTGATGGCGTGGTGGCTGTTTCCTGAGGTAAGGACTCCGCACAGGCCAGGGGCTGTGAGGTGCTAGGGAGGGCATTGATGCATTTGAAGGTATCAAAGGCAGATGGACAGGTCTTGGGAAGGAGCAGCCAGGGCACTAAGGTTAACTGAGGCTGCCCAGCTGGCCATCAGGCCTCTTTTCTTCCTGCAGCTGCTCTGTGGTCCCAGCTTTGCCCCCCTGGAGTCTCATGGAGGGCTATGTCTAGCTCTAGTGATGGGCTAGCCCCCCTGGGCTGCCTGTAATGTGGCTTAGCCCCCAAGGGGCACTGACAGCAGATGGTGGCTGGCACTTCCTGCAGAGGGACTGCTGCTGCTCGTTTGTGGCTAGACTTAGGGCTGGGGACATAGCACTGGGCACCTCGCCTCCACCAGCTGAGTACTGGCCATGATGTCAGGGTGGAAGGGTCCAGCATCCTTGAGCCCTTGGGCGAGACACTGCCTTACCTGTAATGGCGTCTCCCCTTCTGGAAGCTTGGCCGGAGCCTCTCGCCCTCCTAGGGTCTCCCTTGTGCCCACGGCTGTCATGGGCAGACTTGCTTTTACATTTCAACAAGGAGCTGCATGTTAATCAAACGGTATGCCAGGCTGTGGAATATTTAATGACATAGAAAGATGTTCCTGACATATTGCCGCACGAGGGGGAAGTTGGTTGTGAAATGATGTGTGTACTTGATCCCGATTGTCACCCCCGGCCTCTCAGGCACACAACTTGTTCCAGCCTTGCTGTGTCTGCCACAGGACCCTGGGAGCACAAGGGCAGCTTTTATTTTTCCTATGCCTTTGTATGCTTATTGCATTTCTCTGGGAACCGTATGTGTTCATTCTGGAATCACACCTCCCCCTCACAGAAAAAAACCATCAAATATGCCAATAACGGGAACTAGAAAATCTGCTTAATAAGAAGGAATCAATGCTCAGAATAGAACATTTGAAAGATAGACTCTCTCCACACCAAAGCTGTTTTTGAAGCAAAAATGGTTTACTACTTACTTCTCGCCTCACTTTTCTATTAACTCTAAAACTGGCATTTGTGGGATCTTGTTTCTATTTGAATTTTTGGTTCAAGGTCTTACTGTTGATAAGCATGGTGGGAGAGGTCTTTTTCTTCCTTAGGGGATAGACTTGCATGGCGTGGAGGGGTAAGCTTCTCCCCCTCAGGTCCGCAGCTGTGGAGCGGTCTGGAGGGGCTGTTAGCCTGTGTTCCAGGTCCCATGGACTATAAAGGCATGAGGAGCAGAGTCCAGGCTGCCTGCTGACTGGAGAAACTGGCTGCTCCCTTATCTGAAACGTGGGGTTCTTGACACACAATTCCCCATATGGGTGAGGAATGCTGGGCCAAGCCCACGAATGTCAGCTCCTTTTCTCAAGTGGTCACTTTTGGCCTCCTCACATTGTGGGGACTGGTATGGAGACTGGCCTGGAGGAAGAATGGAGAGAGGAATGCAGGACCACACTACCTGGTCTCTGGCTGTGTGACTTTGGGATCACACAACAAGCTCAGAGGCTTGTTATGAAATAAGCAGGTGGGCTGGGGATGCAGCTTGGTGGCAGTGTGTGCTTAGTGTGTACGAGGCCCTGGGTTCTAGTCCAACCCCACCACCAAGGAAAGGGGGTGGGCTGGGACCAGGGCTCAATGGGAGTTGGGTAGCACATAGCAGCAGTGCACTCTTCCTGGCAGGGGGGGGGGTCCCCTCGGGGCCCAAGGGGATGGCAGCTCTGGCCAGGCCCCTGCAAGCAGGCAGTCTGTTCCACCTCATTCAATCCTGGTAGCCAAATCTTCACCTCTCAGATGACAGCTGAGGCTGTAAAATGGGTATGAATGGCCTCATCTCCCCCTTGGCCAGCTGAGGACAAAGGTTGAAGCCCACAGTAGGTTTTCCTGTCAGATTTTTATTATAAAGAAGGTTCCAGAGCGTCCCAGCCCTCCCTCCAGCCCAGCTCCCGTGGATCCAGCCAGTCCCAGCATGACCAAGCCTGCAGCAAGGAGGCCCATGGGCCACTGGCCAGGCCTGCCTGTCCTCTGGAACAGTCATTTCCAGTGTTGCATTGGGAGCCACTGGGGACCCTTCTCGGGTCCTCTGCACAAGCAGCAGCTATTCACAGTTGGTGCGTGGTAAGTTTTTTAATATATAAAAGCTTTAAAAAAAAAAACAAAAACAAAAAAGTGGTGCTATCTTTAGAAATACTTCCAGAAAGATCAAGTAGCCCAGCTACAGCCTTGGTGCATCCCAACCTCTCTCTCTTCCCTGGGGACCAGGAACCCCCAGCCCTGCCCCCTCCCTCTACTTCTCTCCACAGGCAGTGGGCACCGCCCACGCTGCCAATAGCTGCTGAAGCGACAAAAATCTGATCCCACTTGGAACTGTCTGTGGCCAGGGACCCCTTGGGGTGAGGGAACACGAAGACAACGTTTTTTGGTGGTTGAAACGGAAGCCCATGGAGGGCTCCCCTCCGCCAGGTTGGATGAGGTAGTGTTTCTAGGCGGCGGCCTCTTCTCTCCAATGCGTGCTGGGCTGCCTGGCGGAGCTGGCTCTGGGCAGCTGCTAGTGCAGAGCAAGCAGGTGGACGGGGCTGCCTTTCCAAGGCCTGGGGCAGGCGCTGGAGAGACAGTGGTGACCTAGAGCCAGGGGCTCCACGCCTGGCTCTGAGAGTCCCCACGTCCTCCTCCCTCCCATCCTGAGCCACCTCGGGCTCAGATGGCTTCCACCTGAGAGAGGGGTGGGGGAGAGGAAAATAGGGTGGAAGCCCAGGCATCCACTTCCTGTGGCATCAGCTCTGACAGGCCCTTCCCTGTGCTCAGGCCTCACTGTAACACTCGTAGATATTGTTCTCCATCAGGGCCACCACCTGCTCGAACTTGTGCTGCAGCTGTGTCCTTCGGGCTGTGGGGTTGGCCTCCAGGGCAGCCATGATCTGGGGAGGCAGTGGATCGGCTTAGATCCTGGGAACACTCACTGGCCAGGAGCCAGAAGTGCCAATGCCAAAGGTGAGCCCTGCCGCGCTTCTTCCTGAGCAGGGGGCAGGGGCTGGGGGACTCACCTGTGGGCGGTATCTCTTGGCATATTTATAGATCTCTGCCATGGCCACCTTGGTGTTGAACTCATTCTGGTACTTCTACAAGGAAGCCCGAGAGGAGGAAGGGCCAATAGCACCGAGGTCCACCAGGACCTGGTCAGGCCGGCTACTTACGCAGGACCTATCTCCTGCAGCTGGCTTCCTGGACCCCAAGTCCCAATCTCCTCTCACCTTGGGGGACATTCTGCCCCACCCCCTGCTGATGAAGTTGTAGGGGAACCCAGGCCGCCCTGAAACGTTGGGCCTCTTGCTCTGTACTGTTGTGGCAGTGACCTAAGAGGCCCAGTCTTGGCCACCCCTTGGGGACTAGGACACCAACCCCAGCACCTACCCGTGACTCCTCGGCCAGGTGGGCGTTCATCTCCTGCTCGCTGAGCGGTGTCATGTCTTGGATCTGTCTGTAGTAGCGTTGCACGATCTTACGGTACTCGGGGATCTCCTTTGCGTATAGCAGCTTGTTGGTAGGCGAGTCCTGGGCAGAGGGAATGACACACTGGCGGGTACTGGCCGCCTGGGGTCCATTCGGGCAGTCCTCATCCTTACTGCCATGTAAGTGGTCCCTCTGAGCTTGTGGACCAGGGGTTCCTCCCCCGCACTGCCTCTTGCCTAAGAGTCCCTGCCGTTTCTTGGGGTGGTCAGGATGGTGACCAGCAGGGAACCTCCTAAGAGGAAAAGCGTGTGGGCTTTGTGCCAATGCTCTGCCACGTGCAGCCTGTTATGTCCTTATTAGGGTGATGGGTCTTGGTGGCTAAGCTTTCTGGAAGCCCGATGGCTGGCTGGGGAATACTCCCTCCCAAGGAGTGCTGAGTGCGAGAAAAATAAGGCATTTCCTCTTCCTCGCAGTCTGCCTCTGAGAAGTGTGGGCTAAATGCAGAGCTGCACCTCCCTCCCCAGTCCTGCAGTGACCTCCTGCGGGCTCACGGTCTTCCATAGTTCTCTCCTCCCTGCCCATGCGTGTCCCTTTGCCTGTCTTCCCTTCTTTGCCCTAAGCAGGTGCCTGCAGGTCTCCCTCCTACTGGTGTTGGAGCTCCTGGCGCCTGTTCTGCTACCCCCTTCTCTGGCTCTTCAGGGGCTGCCACTCATATTCACTGATGTTTACCCCGGCCTCCCCACACCCAGGCTCTGGCTGGGGCCCAGCACACCTGAAGCAGGTATAGATGGCTACAGTGCCACAGCTTCTGGGTGTGTTCTCTTATTTCTGACCCCATTCCTGCCATGTCTTCCACATCTGGGCTCTCTTGGCCCACTTTCAGCACCCCCTATGGCCCTAGCAGGCCCCTTGCTGCCAACCTTGCCCAGCTGCAGGTCAGAGATGGAACAGGCATCAATGAAGGCCTGTGCGATGACTGAGAGGCAGGCATCGATGTGGTCTGTCTTCTCAATGTCGAAGACGAACTGGGGATTTTTCAGGATGTTCACCCAGAAGCGGAGGGGAAGGCTGTGGGATAGAGGTGACAAGGGCTGTGTAAGCTCAGCAGAGGGCAGGGGGAGGCAGATAGCCCTTAAGAACAGTACTAGTACTGACTCAGCCCCACAGACCATACGGCCTAGTCTAGGACAGAGCCTCTGGGCTCCTGGCTTACCCCTCCCTGGCCAGCTGAGGGCCTGGTTTCTCACTGAAGCAGGCTGAGCAGCCAGTTGAGCTAGCCTCCCTCCCTGGCGTTCCCAGGAGCCTACAGCTGGGCCTGGTTATCATTAAAAGCCCCCACCCTGTCTGCCTGCCTGAGGCGGCTCCTCCAGCCTTGCACGCAGCAGAAAGTCTCCTGTGGCAGAGAAAGAGCAGGGCTGTGTCCTGTGCCCTGTCCTTGGGAGGCAAGAGAAGGCTGGTGACAGGCCCCAGCCCAGGGCCATCCAGTGATGTGGCAACCTAGGCTTTATGGACGGACCCCAGAGTTCTGAGGAGCACCTGCAGTTGCTCAGAAACTGCTCAAACAGGCATTCTTCTTTCAACATCTCCTCCTGATGAGGGTGTGACCCCCGGAAGCTAAGCCAAGTCTCCAAGGAGGGCTATGAAGTGAACGTGGGCTGCAGAGCAGGCAGGGTTGAGCTTGGTTGTGCCATCCCCAGGGCTGCGGGGATCCCGTTGGGAATGGTGTTGAATGGAGCCATGGAGATGGAGCTATCTGCTAGAGGGAGGGTTTTGGGGAGCACTTCTCGTTCATTCTTACACTTAAGGCAGGGCTACTTTGAGTTTCCTAGTTTTATAGCAGGGCAAACTGAAGCACAGAGAGCTGAGGCCTCTCACCCAAGATCATGTAACTGAGAAATGGCAGAGTAGGAAGTAAAGCCAGGCTCTGCCTCCCCACGCTCTGGCTAACCTACCTGTTTGTCTTCCAGATGTGCAACGTGTCAGGGTCTGAGATTCCCCTCTTCTCTGCCTGCTCCTCCAGGAAGTCAAAGAAGTACTTGACAGCCAGCGGGGGCTTATCCTCCCGGATGCTCAGGATGGCTTTGAACAGGTCATCCAGAAACTTCTGCAGCGTACCCTGCAGGGAGTATGTGGTCACTGTCAGTCAGGCTGCCAGGGCCATGTGACTTGGGGCCATGGCTGACCCCACTGAGTGCTGGCTAGGGATGGTGCCCCATGCATAGAGAGGAACAGAGGCTGGGCACACCTTGGTGGACAGCAGACGGGTCAGGTAGATCTCAGGCAGCACTTTCTTGCGGTGGCTCTGCCGGTGGGACTTCTTGGGCTCTGCCAGCTCGTCCGTGGGTAGCACCTGGGAGGCCAGGCAGGAGTCAGTGCCTGAGCCATCCTTGACCTCCTATGGAAGTCTGTACTGTATCCAGGGCCCCTGGCTGTGCCCATGCTTCTCGCACAGAAGTCTGTGGCTCTTGCCTGATTCTGGGCCCATCCCTGCTCTCTCATCCTGGCCTTTCCCAGGGCCTGGGAGCACTTTCCCGGAGCCTCAGGGCGGCAGAAAGCCAAGGCCACACCCAGTAAGGGGCTGGCTCCCCAGGGTCCAAGGGCAGGCACTCACCAAATGGAAATACTTCTCTGTGTCCAAGTCTTTCACTGCAAGAGGGGAAAAAAACCAACAAAAAACCATAAACAAGAGAGAAGAAGGAAGAGAGAATGAGACAAGAAGGAAGAGAGAATGAGACAGAGAGAGCAGAAATAGACATACAGTCAGAGATTCAGGAAGACCCCACAAGTGGGGCAGAGGCCAACACACTGTCCTCACCCCTCCCAACCCCATACCACACAGGCATCTAGGACAGAGCCAGGACCTGAGCTCAACCTCAGGAAAGGACCCAGAGCCTCTCCAGGCGGGCAGCTGCACAGCTAAGCCTGGGGTGTCCGAGGGTAGGGAGGCAGGACCACAGCCCAGAGCCCCGCTAGGCATACCAGCCCCCGTTCGACCTGGCAGCTGTCCCCAGGACATCACCTGGAGGAGGCATGGCCTGAGCAGAAGCAGCTAGGTGGCCCCACTATGAAGTCCACATTCAGGCCCTGCCCTGGTGAACCCATTTCCCCACTGGGGCTGTTCAGAGAGGCTCTGGAGGGAAGGACCCCGTTGTCTAGCCACCCTCCCAAGATGCCACAGTGCTACCTCTGCCTAGCGTGTTGTCCTTCTTGTCCGTGAGACTCAGGGCCAGCGAGGCCCCTTCAGGGATCTAACAGAAGGGAGAGGCCAGGTCCCAGGTCAGAGGTTGAAGAGGTGCTGGGGCGTGGTGGGGCTGGGCAGAGCTGGGGACTGTACCTTGTAGTGGGCCAGTGTGTTCAGTTTCTTGCGGCCATCCTCCACCACTGAGGTGTCATCCAGGTCCCGCAGGATGTAGCTCTGCGTGCTGGAGGCGAACCACTCTGTGGGGAAAGGGGCAGGCTGTTGGGACCCGGGCGGCATGAGAGGCCTCGCGCACTGCCTTTCTGAGCCTCTTTCCTCATCTGTTCTGTGGGGAGGGGAGAGGGAATGGCATGCAGAGTAGGGCTCTGGAAGGCCTTCACCCTCGAGGTGTTAGCAGTGGACTATGAGAAGGTACCGAATGGGAGAGGACCACACACCTTCCAGGCCCCCACTGTCCTCAGGATCCACCCTCCCAGGTGATAAAGCACCTGCCCAGACTCCTGCCTGGCAGCCCAGCCCACTCAAAGCTCTCTGCTCTGTACAACCTGTCTGTTTACCATAACATTCCAGAGCTTAGGGTAGGCCTGTCATTTGAAGAACAAGCAGCTCCCACTTGGCCTGACCCAGACTCCTTTCATCCTTTAAAACCCACCCCCAAGCCCTTCCTTCAGGAAACCTTTCTTGAACGCTTTTTGCTTCTTAACACCACAGGACCTGTTTCCCACAGAATAGATGGTCCTCAGTCTGACCATCTCCGTGCCCCCAAGGCCACCGCCCATGCGAAGGGAAAGGAGGTGGAAGCAGCCAGACACTGCACTGCGCCCGCCCTGCCCACCGAGGTCGACGTCCTCCGCCCGCGGCCACTGTGAATAGGGCACGTTCTTGCAGAAGGCCTCGAGGATCTTCTCCTTCACCTGCGTCAGCGTGTCGGTGTCCATGGCCCGCACGCTCAGCGAGTCCATGCCGCAGCCCTGGAAGGACACGTTCAGGTTCTGCACGAGAGAGGGCAGGGGGGTGGGGAAGTCAGGGAGTTGCCCAGGGAGACGGCCCCGCCCATTGCCTGCCCACGCCCCCGTTGGCCACGCCCTCCGCAACGCACCCGGGGCTTGGCCTCGATGTTCTCCCGCAGCAGCCACTCCTCGTTGAGCGTGTAACGGGCTTTGCCAGTGATGGCGTCGATGGAGCCCTTGTTGATCTGTTGCTTGATGGCGCACAGCAGCAGGAAGAACGGCTCCCCCACCGTCTCCTATGGGAGTCAGGCATCAGCTGTCACGGCCAAGGCCACCCCTCACAGCTCCCCAGCCCTGCACTGCCTTCAGTGTCCCCTCCTCCAGGCACCTCCATGGCAGCCTGCCTCACCCTCCTGTGGGATGCTGGTGCCACACTCCATCCAGGGAGTGTCTATTAACAGAATGCCTTCAGTGCATTGTGCTCACACCCCTTCCAGGGACCAGCTAGCCTCATTGTCCTGCTGACAATACTGATGCTCAGAGAGGGTGAGTAACCTGCCCAGTCACCCAGCTGGGGCAAGGGTGGAGCTGGACTTTAACCCCCAAAGTGGCTAGTTCCCAAGCCTGCGAGGGGCTCTTTCCATCAAGATGGAGCCTTCCAGTGTGAGGTGGAACCAGAACACAGAAGCAACTGTAACTAATCCAGATCTCAGCCTGATACCTGCAATCTCACACCAAACCAGGGCTCTTACTCCAGCCCCTGCCAGCCATACCCTTGGGTTTCACCAACCCCACCCAGTGTCACAGCCTTGGTGATTTTCATGACAGGGTAAGTGATTCTGCTGGTCCGTTTACTGTAACAGTGAAGTAAAAATGGTGAGTAGATTTGAAGAAAAATTATGAGCGTAATAGTGTCAGGAGGCTTGGCAAAGACATCAAGGCTGTCTGCTGGCCTTGTCCCGTCAGTTTTCCAGGCCTTGCTATGGGAGTCACCAATGCCTGGCTGGGGCCAAGTGAGTGTGGCCTCTGAGGGCCCAGATATCCCACTGGTCTCTTCCTAGGTCCCCAATTTTCTCCTACTCCCTGTCCCCTCCAGGAGGATCATAGGCCATAGGCAGGGTCCCCTTTGCCAGAAAGAAACCAAGGCCTAGAGAGGACAATGGCTTTCCCAGAGTCATAAAGTCACTATACCAAAGTCCAGACTCAAACCCAGGACACTTAAGTCCCTGGGTCTGGGCTCGAACAAGGCTTTTCCTTTATCATGGGTTCTTGAGGCCTGATGCCTTCAGCCCCATGAGGCAGCTAGAAGGCGGGATAGGACCTGGGCCTGATGAACTCCATGCTGTAGCAAAGTTCTAATGTGGGTGCCCTTAGCAGAATGTAGGAATCCTCTCATCCCACTTTTGTTCAGACTGGACCAGCACTGTCCCCCATCATTTCCCCTGAGTCCCGTGGGGTCACCTGCACCAGGAATCTGCCTTGAACTCCCAAGCATCCTGTAGCCTCTGCTCTATGACATTTCTTGCTCTGTACTTCAGTTGCCACACCTCTCCCTGGCACCGTGAGGCCCTCAAGGATCCTGCTGGGATGTGATTTACCTTCCAAAGACACCCAGGGCGGGGAGAGGGCAGATGACTAAGAAAAAATATTGCAGGTCAAGGCCCCCATCACAGCCTCTGTTCCATCCCAGGTGCTGTGTGTCCTGCAGTGGGCCTCAGTGTCTGAGCTGTGGGGAGATTATGAGAGGCCTACGAGAACTTGCCACAAGCACAGTTGTGCTCAGTGTTCTGCGCAAGCTGAGTTTGGCACAGCCCCAGCTGCAGAAAAGAGCGAGAAGGCAAAATGCAGCACATCCGCTTTTCCTAAGTTGTTTAGACTTGCTGAGGAAGAACTGAGAGGTTTTCTGGATTGGTGGGCTGCTTGTAAGAATAACGCCGCTGGCTGTTCGTCTGCAAGTCTGAGCACCGAGACTTTAAAGAACAAAAGAAAAGAAGCAACGAGGCTGTTGTGCTTCTCCATCTGAGCACCCCAGCACACCTGGCCCCAACTTTATGCATGTTTGTCTATCCTTTGTCCTTTCTGCATTGCCAGTCGCCCCAGTTAGGTCAGGAGGACCAGAGCTCTCGGGACAGCTCGTGAGACCCAGGCTCACCCGCAGGCAGCTATACATGCAGATGGACATCCAGTTGGTGAGCATCTTCTCCACCACGGACTCAGTGCGTCGTAGCATAAGCTTGGGGTTCTTGGCGGCCGAGGCGTCAATGAGGTCCACCAGCAGCTCCTTCATGATGCTCGTGTAGAACTCCAGCTTACCGTGCAGCGCGATGGTGAGCAGGGAGGCCAGGCTGCATCTGTGAGTGCAGGGCCATCAGCGAGGCCCACTGCCCAGGTAACAGGGCCACGTACACACATCTGGCCTGGGCCTCAGTGTCGGTCACCAATCCCTCCCCAGCCCTGCAGCCTGACCTGTCACGCACTGCAAAGTCCTTCTGCTGCTCCAGCGCGTGGACAAAAACGATGAGGAAGTGCTTGTTGCTGAGCAGTGAGGAGAACAGGCTGATGCCCTCCTCCATGCTGGGCCTGCGGTCCTCGGGGACCTGTGGAGGCACCTGGGGGTGAGTGTCCAGAGGGACCGGGCCAGCACTCAGTGCACCCCAATGGCTGCCTGGTGCCCCCCTGGGACCAAACCCTTGCTCCCTTACATAGCACAAAGCCCCTTGGGTGGCACTCACCTTCCACTCCCCCAGTAGTGGGTGAGTCTCCTGTGCGGGGGAGCTGTGAGTCTGGGAGGGCAGCACGTAGCGTTCTTCATACAGGGAGGAGCACTGCAGAGGCAGAGCGGCCCCTCAGCGCCTGGCAGCCCCCACTGCTGCACAAGGGTTGCTCAACACACCCCACCCAGGTCAGCCAGGGGCCCCCACGAGCCCAGGTGTAGTAGTGTAAGAGCACACAAGGCTGAGGAAGAATCAAAGGCGGCTTGGTATGTAGTGGGGGAAACTGAGGCAGGGGCTGCCAATCCTGAGGCTGCAAGAGCTACTGCAGGCTTTCACGAATAATTAGTCATGCATGGGCCTCCTTAGGCTGCTACATAGGAAGGATGAAGACAGACCAAAAGAAAGGGCAGCAGCCAACATCATAAATGCCCAGATCAGTCAGGGAAGGTGGGGCCTGGAGGAGCCCCTTAGTATGGGGAGAAGCAGGTCCCGCACAGCAGGAGGAGAGTGGGTGCCAGCTGGCTTCCACGTGGACGGTTAAGCATCAAGTGAGCAGAGAAGGGAAAGTTGGGGGGAGAAACTCGGTCCCCTCCCTTAGTAGGGCAGGGGGGCAGGACTGCGGTGCGGGTTCGAGGGTGGCCGTGGGCTGACCTTAGGGAAGAAGGTTCTGGTCACGAAGTGCTTATACTCCAGGAAGGGGATGCCCTGGCTGCGGTTGAGCTCCTTTGTCAGGTCTGTCATGTCCGTCTGCAGCTCAGCAAAACCTGGCAGGCGGGTGGGCGGCTGTGAGTGGGTCAAGCTCGTCCTCACACAAGAGAGGCAGGGCCCAGCCCCAGCAGTCCACTACCTTTGCGGATTTCCTCTCGGATCTGAGACTCCATCTCCTCCATCTGCAGCAGTGTCTTCTGCCAGTAGCGCTCGGCACGGCGGCTCTTGGTGCAGAAGACGAACAGGGCTGTGGGCAGCAGAGAGCCAGGTCAGGTCTCCAAAGCCCTTCAGAAAGCACCTGCTCGCACCTGCTGTATGCAAGTCCTGGGCTTCCATGGGAAGGAGGACGATGGACACCCTTTATCCTACATCCTCGTAGTCCCAGCTTCTATAGGGCATGAAGACTAATGCTTGGTCCTTTGTTAGAAGAAATGTGTGTGTATAAAATAGCGGTCAGCATAGGTTTTTCTCTGGGTGGAGGAATTTGGGGTGATTTGTTTTCTTCCTGTTCTTCATTCTTCTTATAGTACTAAGGCATTTCTTGTTAATTAAGAAACTATTAAAAACAGTATACTAATACCTTTTTGAGACATGGGTGGGAATATGATGGTAGCCTGCTTGGGTGTGTTTCCTTCCAGTTTTCCAACCACCTAGGGTGCTAATGCATGTTTTCCCCTACAAATTTTAACATTGGATATAGTTGGGTTTTTTTTAACAGCCTTATTGAGCTATGAAGTACCCGGTGTCTAGTCCATCCGTGCACAGAGCAGGTGAGTATATCTGCTTACGGTGCAGTCAGCAGTACTGTTTAATCTTAGAACACTTGCACTGGCTCTGGACACCTGTGCAGTTGCTCCCTCCCCCAGGACCCACCATCTGCTTCCTGCCTCTGTGTATTTGGACATTTCCTATAAAAGGAATCGGCTAACACATGGCCTTGTCTGCCGCCTTTCATTTACTGTAATGTTTTCAAGACCCGTCGAGGTTGCAGCATGTATCAGTACTTTCTTCCTTTTAATGGCTGGATAATATTCCATTGTTAGGGGTTACTTATCCATTTATCACTTAATGGCCGTTTGGGTTGTTTTGACCTCTTGTCTGTGATAAACAATGTTACTATAAACATTTGTGTTCAAATTTTTGTGTGGATACATATTTTTATTTCTCTTGGGCAGACACTCAGGAGTGCATTGCTGGGCCATATGGTACTCTATTTTTAAATTTTTGAGGAACCGCCAAACTGTTTTTCAAAGCAAGCACACCTTCACTCCCCCCACCCCGCCAGTAGTGCATAAGGTTCCACTTTCTCTGTTATGTTACTTTTGTAACTGAATTTTAGCATTCAGTACCTGCAGTAGCTCCCTACTGATTGGAAAACAAGTTTCCAAATTCCTCCACCTGGCATTCAGGGCCAGTGGCCTGGGCCAGCAGATCCCGACATCTCCCACCCTCTGCTCACTTGTACAGCAGCTGGGCACGCTGCTCCCCGCCTCCGGGTGCCTCGTCATACCTCCCCCCAGTGCCTTCTCTGCTAACCTGGGAGGAGCTAGGGGCCACCCTCCTGAGGGCGGGCTCCTTACCAACCACGGACAGCAGCAACAGGACGCTGCAGATGACGATGGACACCACAATGGCGGTCTCGCTGCCCCCCAGCTGCAAGGTGGCGATGGTCTGGTTGAAGTTCCCCACCTGGATCTGGGCAGAGGTGGGGAAAGGAATCAGGCTGTGGTTTTCCTCAGTGCTGTCTGTGGGGCCTTGGGTCTCATGCCTAACACGTGGTAAGCACGTTCACCTCCTGGGGACACTGACAGTGCACCGAGTTGAGACCAGGAGTGGGCAAGGGCAGGACTGGACTGGGGTGTGGGAAGAAGGGGGCTCTTCCAGCCATAGCCATCCCAGGAGAATGCAAGCCGGGACAGTGTGGCTAAGACCCCATGTTCTGGACCTTCTTTCCATCTCCGTGACTCTACGTAGTGACCACACTACGGGTGGGACAACAAGTAGGACAGTGGAAACGTCTATGGCTTCTCTCAATCCAGCCTGGTCAGGGCCCAGACCTTGAGCAGATCACTAAGTTCTTGGGCCTCAGTTTCCCCAACTATCAAGTGGGGGTGTGAAGCTCTATGCTTCACTAGCCTAAGCTATTGAACATAAAAACACTGTGTGATGGCCACATGGCTGGATGAGGGGCTAGGCCCAGCCTGCCTCCAGTAGTCCCCACCCACTCACTGTGATGGGCAGCTGTCCCTCAGCAGTGCCCAGGGACTCGTTGACCGAGCAGTGGATGACTCTGTCGGAGACAATCTGGATGTCACAGGCTACCTGGCCGATCTTGACACGGTACTCGCGGCTCTCAAGGCCCAGGCTGTCCTGCTCCTTCTGTGGATGCAGAGTTAGGGCTCACTGGGGTGCAGACAGAGCCGGGGCTCATGCCCTGGTCATCCGCCTGCCATGGCCCTGGGCTCACATGGATGACGAGGGTGAGTGGCTCTCCAGGGTGGTGCTTGATCCATTTCTCCCTCTTGGCCGTGGAGAACTGCGGGTTGGGGAGGTAGTCTAGGCGGAAGCGGCCGCCCCGCTGTGCCTCGGCGGGGTCCAGGAGTTCCTCAGTCACTGCCACCTCGTCTGCATAGGCCCGCCCATTGATGAAGAAGTCCACAGGTGCCGAGGCATTGCTCAGGGCCCCAGGGGATGGGCAGGTGATAAGAGTAGAGTTGAGAACTTTGCAGAGCTAGTCCAGGATGGCCACGGCCAGGGTGGAGGATGGACAGACAGACATGGAGAAATGGGGGTATGGGGGAAGTTGAGGTTAAAAGAGACACAGACACAATGGGAGGAGGCCTGGTCAGTCAGGGCTGCTGGCTGCTCCTGGACCCACCCCACATTTTGGCCCCCAGTTCCCTCACCGTGGGCTCTCGGCCGATGTGGTGCACTGACATGGATACATTCTGCACCATGTGGAAACGCTCACCCGCCACTGTGATGGTCCTGCCACCACTGGAAGAATAGCAAGACAGGTCAGCCCACCTGTGGCCCTACGCAGTGAGGCCCAGCACAGAGGGCGGGGAGGGGGGGTGCGGTCTCACCTGACAGGGCTGCGGATGGGGCTGATGGCTGTGATCACAGGATTCTGCATGTACCAGAAGGTGAGGTTGCCAGGCACGCAGCCACGGTGCTCAAAGCGCACACACACAGGCACAGGGGCTGGGAGGGCACCTCCGGGCACCGTGCATGTGATGCTGGTGTCTGTGCGCCTGTGGGGACATTGTGCATGGTCAGCAGTCCTCTCTGATCACCCAGTGCAGTGTCCATCCTTGTCTCTGCCCCTCAGATAGAAATGCATGGCCAACTTCTGATTCACACGCCACAGCATCACTGGCCTCCCCCTCTGCTTCCTTTCTGCCATGCTTCCTAGTCCCACCTGTTCCTCCTCTCAACTCCCACCTGCTGGCCTTACAGTCCTGACTTTCGTAATCCTGACCCCACTGGATATTCTGTCACCTGCGGCTGCAGCTGTTTTTCCCTCGAGGGCTGTGCCGAGTTAATTATGGCATTCCCTAGCAATGCCTGCCCATGGGTCCTGGTACACCACAGGTGCCTAATAAAGACAGGTGCTTCTCCATGAGCCTCTGGACCACCCCTCTGCCCCTGGCCACACCTCTGGGCCAGCAGGAGGATCTGAGTAGGTATAACTGCCATTTTCAGTAGTCACTTATAAAGCACCTGCTGTATGCCAGGCACAGAGCACTTCCCGCAGCTCTTCTGACCAGAAGAGGAGACCGAGGTCAGAGAAGGGACAAAGCTAGTGAGGCCCAGGTAAGGCTAGGCACCAGGAAAAGTCCCCCATCTCCAGGGGAACTTGGGGCTTACAGGAGCTCCGTGCAGGGGTCTGTGTTGTTCACCAGGACTTGCAGCTGAGAGCCCACGTGGAGGTCACTTCCATGGATGGTAATCCTGGTGCCCCCTGCCTTGGGGCCCATAGCAGGCTCCAGGGAGTGAACGGTAGGCAGCTGAGGGAAGAGGGTGGGCAGTCAGGCCCTGGGCAGCCCTGAGGGGTGACAGAGCAAGTGTTCATACAGAAGACGGGGCCCTTACCACGTAGGAAAAGCGCTCCTGCGACTGGCCCTCCTTGGAGGCATTCACCGTCACCACATCTGAGAACGACCCTGGGGCGGGTCCCGTGATGCACACAATCCTGCAGGAGGGAGGAGGCCCTGGTCAGAGGTGAGATAAAAGTGATTCTGTACCAGCCCCTGGTCTCCTGCCCACAGTTGGCTGGCACTCAGCTCGGGGATGTGCTACACCATTGCCCGGGTGGGAACAGTGTACGGTTCTGCCAGCAGGTAACCCGAGGGTCCCCGGAGGTGGCCAGGCCCAGGGATTTCCCTGTTCCATGTGTTTCCATGTTCTGTATCTCTAAGATAAGCTGATGGGACAGTCTCTGATCATGGGAGCAGCTGCTGGGCTGACTGCCTGGTGCCCTTATCTGCCAGCCTGGCTCGGGCAGGGCCTCTCAAGCGGAAGACCAGCTCACTCTCAGCCCACAAGCATTTCCTATAGTCCAACAGGGACCAGCAGCTCCACACCCACATCCTCACACCCCAGCAGGAGCCCCCAAACATTCTAAGTGGCAAATCATTTCATCAGAGCAAGGTTTAGTGGCAGGGGGCTGGGCTGGGGAGCATGGAGGGATTCCTGGAAGAGGGGGCATGGAGCTGGAAGGGCAGAAAAGAAACAGGTGGGATGCACAGTGGGGAGGACGTGGGATAGCAGGGTGCCAGGGCAGGGAGGGGGAGGACTAAGCTGAGGCTGCGATGCTAGGCAGGGTGGGGACCCAGGCACTGCCTGTCACTCACTCCTCTGACACTGTGTATCTGTCAGCCAGGGCTCACAGGCCACAGTGCCAATCCACACGCCATGGGTCACGTCGCTGAGCCGCCGGCCTAAGTTTCTGCCTCGGATGGTCAGCAGGGTCCCTCCGTCCAAGGGGCCACTCAGTGGCTCAATCTGCCAGGGGACAGAGAGGGCAAGCAGGGTTCTGAGGCTGAGACACCAGCAGGCCTGCACCTCCCGTTATCATGTGCACCCAGGGGAGTGCACCCAGACTCTCTGCTGAAAGGAGGATGGGCTGGGGCTGTGGGTCACTTGGCAGGTAACTGGGCTGCCCACGAGGATCTGCGCGTGCATTATAGAGCCTACGTGGATCTGGCAATGCCACTTTAGGTATCTCTTGGGGGAAACCAAGGTCAGCTCCCAGTGGCCATGTCAGACCACAGTATCCTGCATCCTAGCCAGCAGCTGATTGGGCCAGTGCTAGACACCACAGTGGCTCCCGGAGGTGGGCTGTTGGCTTGTGCACGTGGTGTGAGCTAGTTTGTGAGCCCAAGGACTAGGCCACGAGGGGGACACAGGTACAGGTGGAAGCTATGCCCTCGTGGGCCGTGTTTACCGTGCGGATCTCAGGGGCGGGGCAGGTGCCAGGTGGTGGCTGCAGAGGTCCCCGCAGGCGACAGCTGTCACTCCACATGCACAGATGACCCAGGTCTTCACGGCCCAGGCACTGGGAACAGTCAGGGCTGCCCATGGCACAGTTATAGACTTCAACTGGAGAGATACAGGCAGCACGGGTCAGCGTGAGATGGGGCTGGCACTGAGGTCAGCATCTGGTGAGGTTCCCAGCTCCTTCTCCTGACCCTGGGCCCGTGCCAGCCTCAGTGAAGCCACAGCCTCACAAGCTTCCCTCCCTCAGGGGACTCTGCCCGGCCAGAGCTCTTAACCAGCCCCATTTTACAGGTAAGAGGCTCAGAGAGGAGAAGCCACCTGCCTAAGTTCACATCCACGCCACGGGCTCAGGGATGCCAGAGGATGGCTGAGCAGGGTGGGTTCTGAGGCACCAAGGCCCCACAAACCCTCAGAGGCCTGAGGAGGTCTCATTGGCTTGGGTGTGTGAGACAGTTTTGGGGCCTCCTTTCAGCCTTTGAGGTGGGGTGTGGAAGTCTCTTGTGCCCCAGGAATGCCTGAGATCCCCCATGAACAGAAAGACCTGTGGGGAGGTGGTTCAATACATATGAAACCCAATAATGGTTCCAGCCACTGCTTAGGGGAGCACTACCTGTCCCAGACACTGTTCTCCAGGCTTTGTGAGCGGAGGCTCACTGAATTCTCACCAAGTGGATGGGAGTGAGGGGAGGCTCAGAAAGGGCAAGTGAGGGGCCTAAAGCTGCACAGCTACTGTCAGGCAGGTGCCCAGGGGCATGGAGTCTGGCATAGCAGCAGGGCTAAATGTGAGTCTGAAGGAGTTTTGGGGGATGACAGGGTAGGACATCTGGAACTTTGTGGTGAGTGCTGTCTCCCAAGGCTGAGTCCCCTCTGGTCGCATGGGTGGGCAGGGGTGCCCACCTGTCATAGGGTCAGGGCTGTCCAGGAATCGGGATGGCTGCCCTTTTAGCTGGAGGCTGAGTGGAAACACCTGGCTCTTCTGAGTCGTGTGCAGCTGCAAAAGGAGGTAAGGAGAGTGAGGGGCAGGGCAGTGTCTGGCTCTGCTGGGGGAGGGGGTGTCACAGAGACAGATGAGGACAGGGCTTCTGGGGACCAAGGCAGAGAGGTAGGTAAGATGGGGGCTCAGGTAGCATCTGAGCCTACGCAGGCCTCCCCACCCCCAGCAGGACCACTTACCACTACTTGGCTGCAGCGTACAACTGATTCATTCAGCCACACGGCCTCAAAGCCCTCCTCCAGCCCAAAGCTGCACTCCAGTGCAGCACCCTGAGGGACACAGGGACACAGAGGGCTCAGAGAGCTACACCAGCTTCTGTTCCCTCCACTTCCATTAGGACATCACTGTCTGCTGCTCTGAAAGGTGGGCTTGCATGGCCAGGCCTTTGCCTGGGCTGTCCAAGTCCCCACAACCCTCTTCCTGGTCATCCTGCCTAGAGTGTTGGAGACACTCAGAAGTCAAGAACACCAGGACTCCAGTCCTACACTCTCCACGACACTAAAAAACCAGGGGACTTTGACTCAGCTGAAAAGGACCCGGCTCCCAGGGAGGCATCACCTGCTCTCTGAACTTCACGTCTTCCACCTCTACCTTACAGGGCCAGCCCCAGACACCGCCTCCCTAGGGTAGCTGGGTCTCCCTTCTGCCACCAGCAAGACTAAGCACAGCCTCCTGATTCCAATGTCTCTCCAAAACTCCTCTCAGACAGAGCTCAGGCGCCACACTCGATCCTGCACTCAGCCACATTTCAGGGTGCACTTGTCTCGCACTGGGGGCTCTGGGAAGCCTGAGCCCCACCCCGAGGGTGGAGTGCCCCCTTCTCCCTTCACCTTGGTTGTCCACACTTGTCTCGCCAGCCCCCTGGAGCTCAGCCCTGGCCTCTCATACACCACCAAGAGCAGCAAAACTCAAGGTTTTATTTCTCATAGCCTGGGTTCAAATCCCACCTTTACTTCCTAGATGTGTGACCCTATGCTTTTGCTCCTCTCTGAGCCCTAGATTTTTCTTTTTTTTTTTTTGGCAGTATTGGAGTTTGAACTCAGGGCTTCACACTTGCTAGGCAGGCGCTCTATCACTTGAGCACTCTACCAGTCCTTTTTTGTGTGCTGATTACTTTTGAGATAGGGTTTCTCGAACTATTTACCCTGATACCTCCATCCTCAAGATCTCTGCCTCCAAGTAGCTGGTATTACTGGCTGAGCCTTGGTTCTCTTAACTGTCCAATGGGGTGAGATTCCCTAGCTTGTAGGGTTGCTGGGGAAACTAAGATCCTGTGTTTTAGTGGTTTGAATACTACAGGTGCCTAATGCATTTGCTTTGACTGGTATGCAGGAGGTGCCCAGTGAATGTTGAATGACTAAGCAGGGCTCAATTCCCAGTCTCGTCTTGCTCTCTCAACAGCTGCATCACTTAATATTTGCTGAGTAAACAAGCTCACCAGGTTTCATGCACAGTAGGACAAGCTGCCAGCCAACCATGGGGCAGGACTTCCTGTTTTTATCCCTGTCACTGGCACATGTGACACCGCGAAAAGAAAGCAGGCCAACCTCCCCTGCTTCTGGGGTCCCATCCCAGAAGCTGTTGCAGGAAAGTGGTGGCTGATGGGACCAAATACCCTTCTACCCCTGCTGTGCTGAGTGGAGTTGGGTCCCTTCTCTGAGGCCACAGCCACCTTGGGACAGCAGATCCCAATTTGCCCTAGGGCTGCTCAAGGTGGACGCTCAGCACACAAGGCAGCTGCAGAGCCCAGGTCCCATCCTCAGGCCTGCTCTGGTGGGTTGTTCTAGAAAGGGGGGATATGAGACAGGACAGGAGAGCAAAGAGTCCTGAGCCTGGTCACAGCAGACCAGCAGTTACACAGCTGGGAAGAATCAGCCAGGACCAAATCAGGGCTTGGACCTCCCCACCCTAGGCCCCTGTGCCCAGGGATGCAGAGCTGCCCTTCCCACCCAACAGGCCCCTGCTGCTCTGCTCTGTCCCATGCAGGGAGGGGCTTTGGGGTGGAAGGGGGCCCCACCCTCGCCCTCATGAGACTTCCTGATGCATCCCAGATGCCTGGCACGTGGCTCCCACGTGTGACAGCCGTCACGGGCCTCAGCTCCCCGTGGAAGTGACAGATGGTGCATCTTGGGAGCTGGGGGGTGGGGTTGGCACCCTTCCAGGACTCAGCAACACTTCCCCCCAGATGCCCTCCCAGGAGGGTCCCGGAGGGTCTGCATCCCCTCCCCCAGTGCAGATGAGGCAGTTGAAATCAAGCATGGGAGTCCACGGCTGCACAGCCTGATGTTACTACCTCCCAGGCCCGCTTTCCCTCAGGACATGGGAGCCAGGGACAAAACTTCTCCGGCCATCCTCCAGGAAGATGTGGGAACCACAACCTGGCCAGTGTGCTCCACCAGTGCAGCTGTGCCCAGGGTCACAAGGCAGTCGGGGCAGGCAGGGTGGACCTCTTTCCTGTGGGCTGCAGCACCAGACTAGAGGCTGAGCCCACTCTGCCAGGGGAGCCCTAGGGGTGGGGCACCTGAGGCTGGCCAGGATCTCCCTCAGCAGCTGCTGGCCGCCTGCTGTCTCCATTGGCCTGGCCTGTCCTCCACTTCCTTTTCCCCCAGTCCCATGTAGCCAAAGCTTTTCCCAAACAGAACCCAGAGGCTCAGGGGAAGAAATGCAGAGCATATGGGCGCCGAAGTGTTGGCTGGGCCAGAGCAGAGGCCGCCACTGGGGACACAGGGACAGTCAGTGGCCTATACGGTCCCTGCCCTCCCCAACACACCCCAGCCAGGCCTCTACTTACATGGAAGGCAGCAGCACTGGTAAGTGGCACCAGGATGTCCTGGGAGCCACCCGTGGGCATGGGTGCCAGAGTCACAGGCAGGATCTGGGGGCAGTCCTGGGGACTCTGCAGACAAAGCACAGGAAGGGGTCACCTGGACATTTTTGAGATGTCTCCACAGTCCTGCCTACCTGGGAGCACTAAAATCCTGCCTATGTTGCCTCACCTGATCTTCACGCCAGTCCCAGGGCAGGCTTCAGCAGCCCTGCTTTACAGATGGGGAAACTAAGGTACAGAGCGACTAAGCAACCAGCCCAGTGGTGGAGCCCACTGTGGAGGCTGAGTCAGCTGGCTCCTCTGTCCCTTGGCCACACCTTTGCCTACTGTGCAATGAAGGGCTGTGCCCGACTCCCCGTCCCATTGCTAGGGGCTCAGGGCCCAGCTCGGGAGATGCTGTCCCCAGGCTTCTGGGGTGTCCATACCTCACTGGCCAGAAGCCCCCTCCGTGGTCTCTCTGAAGAGGAGTCCTTAACTCCAGGGCCCTGAGAACCGCGTTCTGCTCCCACATTCCCTGAGGATCTACCCTGCTAGGACATGAGCCAAGGACCCTGGAACAGCTGCCCCCACGCGGAGGAGCACAGTGACCTAGCAGTTCAAGGAGTCTCTCCTCTACCCATGCCTGACGGAGGTGGGAGAGAGAATTAAGGTTAAGGTCAGGCCAGGAGGTGGGGATGAGCCTCTATCTACCTGAGGTCACCCAGCTGGTCCTTGCCCCTGGGGGAGTCATCCTTGGGTCCTCCCTCCCTCCCTTTCTTTTCCTTTTCTTTCCTTCCCCCTCTTTCATTTATGGCACTGGAGATGAAATCCAAGGCCTCTCGCACACCGGGCGTGTGCTCTTACCACTGAGTCCTACTCGTTGTGCTGACACAGAGAATACTTTGACGGCAGGAGGTAGCCGATTCTCCTCAGGAACCCCAGCACAAAGCCAGACCTCAGGGGTGACCAATGTCACAACAGTAAGGACAACTGAAACTGACAGCTCAGATGCCCTTGCTATGAGCCACGGCCATCCTGGGCACTTAGCCACCCTCCTTGTGAGGCAGGTACCACCATCAAACTCATTTGGCAGAAAAGGAAACCGAGGCACTGGAGCAATGCAGCTGGCCCACAGTGAGTGGAGTAGCACAAGATGGCTTGAGGTGCCCAGGCCATTTGCTAACTGACCACAGAACCAGTATGGTGACTTTTCCTGGGGACAATGCCTGCTGCACACCACAGGGGCTTGTGTTGAAGGAGCAGGGCAGCCAGGCCCAGAAAGGCCTCCTGAGCTGATCACAGGGGCCAGCGGACCCCACGAGCACACATCCCTCTCTGAGCCTCTACATCTTACCTACACCACGGGGGTTTTTAAGGCAGTCTCTGAACAGACCAACTCCAGGTCCTCGGCAGAGCCTGGGCTGCCCTCCTCTGCTGACTCGTATGTAAGGCCTGGGAATTTCAGAAAATGGAGCCCATGTTTCCAGTCAGATGAGGCCTACTCTGGGCTGGCCAAGGCCCAGCACCTCTGTCCTCCGCTCCACCCCTCCGGTGGCAAGGTGGCCAAGAGCAGGGCCAGGGCTGAAGGGTGGGCAGGAGGAGCTATTCTCAGGGGGCCCCACAATGAAGATGCGGAGCCATCCCTGAGGGCCCCCGCACCCTGTATCTGATTGTAACCCCTGGTCATGCATACCCATTCTACAGAGTGGCACCAAGGCTGAGTCTTGACACCTCTGCCCTGCTTCGGGGTCTCCACCAGAGTTTACAGGCCTCTACGGGGCCAGCAGCCATGTCTGTTGCAGGCTTAAGACCTGCCCCCCTCTCCAATCTGCCTCCAAGTCCAGCTTAGCCTTTAGGGAACCTCCCTCACAGGCCTGGGGTTTGGGGCATGAACCCTGTTCTCAACTGCAGGAAGGGGAAGGAGCTCAGGCCCACTCTGGCAGCCTCGGATGGTTCAAGAGCTGCATGTGAGCCAGCACAGCAGTGAGACTCAATGCTCGACAGAACCAAAGACATCAGTACAGTTTCCTGGGGCTGGCAGGAGGGGGACCAGGAGCCCGCCTGAGCTGCCAACGCTACCTTGGCACCAAGAGCAGGGCCTGTCTGAGCACGGCGTCCTCCCAGAGGAACCTATACCGCCACTATTGGAAGTGCTGGACCCAGCTGTTTGTGAAGGTGTTCCCAGCCCCCACTGGCACGAGCCAATTCATTCTGTGAGCCTGAAGAGGGGTTTGGGCAGGATTTTCCTGCAAAGAACCTGGGCCTCCTTTTCCTATCTCTACCCAAGCCATTAAGGCCACAGACAGGGCCAGGGGCTTCTCCCCTTTGCCAGAACATGAGATAGACCAGGCAGCAGGATCAACAGCCATGGCTGGCTGTACTCAGGGCAGGTGAACAGGCAGAGGAGAGGGGACCTAAGTGTGATCAACCTGGCTGTGGGCCCAGTGTGTGCCAGGTAGCCGAGAGCCTCGCCTCAGCTCAATGGGTGCCCAGGGATCCCACATAGGCCACCAGGAAGCTGGGAGACTTGGCATCCGGTTCAGTGGAGCACTAATGGGTCCTGCAGCCAGACCTGGTGCCTCCAGCCCACAACCCCTGACTTCTCCCACCTCCTACCAAACCTCTGTCCGCATGGCTCCTAATACCAGGACATCTAGGGCCCATGCCATCAGAGGCCACCTTGATCCTGCCCTCAGGGCTTCATGTCACAGGGTCTTGTCAAAGCCACCCCTGGAGGCCGTGTCAGCCCTGGGGCACTGGGAGTGAAGGGCACGTCCACTTTCCTCACCATCTTCCCATCTCCTGCGGCCTCAAATGGCCTGTACCTCTCTGCCTTTCTGGTGATCATAGGGGACAATGAATGTGTCAGAACATGTAGCCTCCATCATTACCCCTCCCCTTCTGGGGCACCCTCCAGCTCCTGAGGGGTCCTGGTGCATATGCAGACCCTCTGCCCGCTGTCTGCCCAGGAGGCCTGGCGCCTCTACAGCTAACTGGCACTTAATTAAGTGCCAGATCAAGCATCAGTTCAGAGCCTCGCACAGGCCTAGGGCAGAGGCTGCCTCTTCTCCTGCAGATTACAGTAATCCTCTAAGACAGCCGGCTCTGCGCTCTGCCCCGCACTCTGCCTTACTCCTGCCCAAGAACTGCAGCCCTGGGGGATGGCAGACTAGCACCACCTCAAAACACCTCTCAGCTAGTGAGCTCCTACGCAGCTGTCAAGATCCAACACACCAGGCCCCTCTCAAAAGAAGTCTTCCACGGCCCACCACGAAGAGAGTCGCCCTGAGCTCCTTAGGAGCGTGGTGAGCCTTTTATTGAGTACCTGCTGTGTGTGGAATATGGAGGTGGTGTCTTACAGGGGTAATTCCAGGTCTTCATCCCAGCCCTGGAGGTAGGCTCCATTTTACAGACTGGGAAACAGGCACAGAAAGGTTCAGTAGCTTGCCTAGGATCACACAGCCGCAAGTGAGAGCTGAGGCTCTTGACTTATGATGGAGAAGGCAGAACTATAGCTAACTGGGTTCTTCTGGGTGCTTAGACTCAGGTGTGCAGGCAGTCAGTAAGTGCCGGATGGGTCCTGGGTCCTCCTGTCCTTCTGCCCCCTCAAGGTTAGCACATAGGACACAGGCTGCCTGTGACCAATGCCTCACACTGACATCTGTTCAGTCTCTGCTGTGTGCACAGCTCTGAGTTGAGGCTGGAAAGAGGAGACTCAATCCAGATGTGGCTCCCCAACAATGCAGCCAGAGTCCTGGCTGGGCCCAGGCTATGCAAATCCTGGCGCCTGGGGCCAAGGCTTGGAACCTCCCCTGTGGTTTGGCCACAGGCCTGCTAGGCCTCTCCCAGCACAGGACACCCACACTCTCACGCCCCTCTCAGTTAAGCGTGGCTGCTTCTGCTCAGAGCAGGCCTAGGGGATCAGGCCCAGGTACCGAGACCCATGGAGTCCAGGCTCCTTCCTTCCTGCTGGGTCAGCACCTGCCCTACAGAAAGAGTGGGGAGAGTTCCCCAGCCTTGCCAACTGCCTGGGACCTGTGCCCAGAGTGGGCCCAGTAACCTCCGTCTGCAGGGCACCAGAGGTCATGCAGGGAAGCTCTTCCTCAGTGCTGCCATCTGCAAAGTGGGTGGGGCAATCCTTCCCCAGAAAGGCATCCAACAGATGCTGGGGACCCAGGACTCTGCACCTCACTCAGCATGGCATCCACCTGGCTGCATCTACCCCACAACCCTGGGAACCCCATCTGCCTCCCATGCAGATGGGGGCTGCAGTTTTGAGTATGTATGGGGGTGGAATCGAACCCAGGACCTGGCACGCGCTAGGTAGGCGCTTTGCTGCACCCAGTCTGCCCTGTGGATGTGAATCCCCTGCAGGTGAGCTCATCCGGCCACTAGCCAGGTATAGAGATCCCCGTATTTCCTCCTGCACCCCCATGTCAAAGGTTAAATCCAGCCAAGGTGACATGGCACAGGGAGGATCTGGGAGCACATCTTGCTGAGACAGGTTACCTCCCTGCCCAGGGAGAGCCACTGGGTCCCCTCTGACCACGGGGAAACTGAGGCAGGCACCTTTCCACCTGTTGTGGGTCTTTAGAAAAGAGACCATGCCAGAGGGATTCGGATTCAAGGCTCAAGACTGGTACCTCCCACAAGGATGACCCTAAGTGAGTCACCTCCAAAGGCTTCAGGCACAAATCACCCTGGAATGCTAAGGGAGCTGAACTTACAAAGGGAGATGAAAACAAACAGCTGCCCAGAGGGCAATGGAGCTCAAAGTAGAAGACCATAACTTCCCTAGAACATCATCTTTAAGAACTGATCTTCAGGGAGGAATGAAGGATGTGCCCTGGCCAGGCAAATGCAAAGGAGAAACAGGGAGCAATGGGCATACCCACCAGGAGGGATCGCAAAACCTGTGGGATGAGCCCCACATAGATGAAAACTCCAGTGTCTGGATGTGAAAACACTCTCAACAGATTAAATACTTTTTTTTTTAAAGGGACTGGAGGTGTGGCTCAAGCAGTACAGCACCTGCTTTGCAAGCATGAGCCCTGAGTTCAAACCCCAGTCCCACCCCCCCAAAAAATAAAAATAGAACAGCAAAGGGCACCCCCAGGCTGCCTTACCGTGGGGTTTGGCAAGGCCTCACACCGAGACTGGTTGGAGACACAGCTATGCTGCTGGGCACACCAGAAACAGGGCCACGGCGCTGACAGGCAGCTGGTGCAGCTGAAAGATGAGGACCCCTCAGACTCCCACCCCTCGGCTTGTCCTCCCCTAGAAACTGGGGCCCCAAAGGCCAGTGCGAGCGCAGGGGAATGTCCTGCTCATCCCCAGAGCTGCCTGGGAGGGGCATTTATCAGGCAGTGAGCTCCCTGCTGAAGGGGTATGCAAGGAGAAATACGGGACCTTCAGGAGGAAGGTGGGATCAGGGTTCTCCCTCTGTACCCCAGTGCTGGCAGTAGGCCTGGGGGGGGTGGGATACCTCAATAAAGGAGCCAGCCAGGGTCCCATCTGAGGTGTTTTTTTCCGCCAAGGGCCTGGACTTCCCTGGGGTCCATTCTTCCTCCTGCCCTCCCCCCAAGGTGGCCTCCACCACACTCACGCTGCGTGGGGGTACACCTGTCCAATGCGGCTGCAGTCATAGATGGTGAAGTTGGCTGAGACAATGTTGTGTCCATTGACCCTCACGGCCATCTCCACGGTCACATGGTCTAGAGTGGATCAGGGGAGCCATGGAGGGGGCACGGGGTCTCCTCTGACATCCGAGGCTGTGATGTCAGTACCCCAGCAACCCCAGGCCTACAGCCTGCCACTCAGCCCTCAGCTGGCCTCTGAGAGCCTCGCCCCCCTATGCCACGGCCCCAGTGCTCACCCTGGTGGGGAGGGAAAGGCGGGAACTGGTCCTGGGGCAGGAGGTTGCAATAGGCAATCTGGTGATCGTAGGCTGGGCCTGGAACACGGGCCACAGTTCGGATGTCATTCCCGTAGTCACAGGCCATCTCCATGCTGCTGAGACTAGGCAGGCTGCCCGAGATCTGCAGGATCATGCCCTGGGGACGAGGGGCCCTCAGTTCCAGGACCCAGGCTGTCCCCTCGCAGCCCCACCCCACTCAAGGACTGAGCACCAAGCCGTGTCCTGCCTGAGCGTCCCCGGGTTAGGGTGGGGGGAAGGACAGGACAGGATTCCCTAGAAAGGGACTCAAGACCAGACAGCTGCACCCCACATGTACCTCCCTGGGCCTCAGTTTCCCCATCTGAAACACACCATCTCAGAGGAGTCAAGAAGTTCTCCATATTCTGGGCCCCGTGACCTCCTTATTCCTAAAACTCTCCTGAACCCTCAAATGCATTTGCACCTCAGGGCCTTTGCACTACAGTTCCCGCTGCCAGGACTGCTCTTCTCCAGGTACCTGCCTTGGCTCCTCTCCTTCCTGTCCTTGCCCAAGCGTCACTTTAGCAGGGAGCAGCCCTCTCCAAAGCCCAGAGCTGATCTAAAACGCCAGCTTCATCCCTCCTCACTCCCCACCCCTTTTCTGTTCCGTATTCTTTTTCTTCACAGCATCCTGATCACCTCAATGCTATCTGACTTACTCTCCATATCCCTCAAGCATGCCAGGTCCACCAGGGCCAGGGCTCTGTCTGTACACTGATGCAACCCCAGAGCTAGAATATGTGTTCGGTAACATGTGACTGACTGAATAAGTGAGTGAATCTATCTCAAGCTGCTAGGAGGACAACAAGAGGGCAGGACCCTGTGGTGTGTGATTTCGGGGGGACAGAGGGAGTGGGCTGGGCCATCAGAACCCACCAGGGTGGTAAGTGACACCCCCATCCTTGGGGAACTCACTGAGGACAGGGCTGGCCCCCTGCCTTTGCAGGGGGCTGGCACAACTCTGCCATCACAGCGGGCTCAGCCTGGGAGCCTGGCCCCTGCACCATAGTGCGGTTCACCGGCTTCTGGGAAAAAGAGATGACAGCCTGGTACTTGGTGACCCCTTGTCCCCCACCAGGGAGAGAAAGGAGAGGTCTTTTACTCTCCATCCCCAGCACCCAAACTCTGGGCACTGGGAACATTCGAGCTGTTTACATTCCAGCACTAGCTACTGGTGTACACGCTTTGCCCTTCTGGGCCCATTTCCTCTCTGTAAAACGTGCCATGACCAGCCTCGGGTCCCAGATTGCATGCTCCGGAAAGTGGCTGTCACTGCTTCCCGCCCTGGACACACCCGTGTGGGCGTGCACACTCACCGTGTACTCCTGGCGCACGTCAATCTCGGCGGGCAGAACGGCCATGGAGGGGCAGCGGCTGGGGCCCTCACTGGCACTGGTCCAGAAATGTGGCTGACTGGAGTTGGCACAGTCCTGCTGCAGGGTGCACCTGAGGGTCGGCAAGGTCAGGTCCCGTGCCACCCTACTGCCACCCTCCCTCCCAGCCACCACCGTCACCTTCGGGACCTCACCGTGTCTCCAGCGCACACCAACCACAGTAGGCATCAGCTGCACCCACGCAGTCCCGGCAGGTGGAGTGCACTTCGCACGCTGCAACCTTCACACGGGCCATCTGCAGGCACAGGCAGGGCACCGCTGAGCCAGCCTGCCGGCCCTTCCCAGAGGGCTGGCTGGCCTGTCAGCATGGCCCGAGCCATGGGAGGCTGGGGAAACTGAGGCTGGAGGCTCTAGTGGGGGCACCCAGGACATAAGGCTTCCTTCCCCACAGCGTGGAGGCTGGGAAGTGGTGGTCATGCAGTGAGCAGATAAACCCAAGGGGGAAGGGAGCAGCAAGTGCAAGGCCTGGTGCTGGGCTTGCTCTGGCCTTACCTGGTGGGAAGTCATCAGATAAAGGTAGCCAGAGTCTGCTGGGTCGAACTGCATGACATGGTGCACAGGTTCCCCATAGGCCACGGTCAGCACGCACCTGCTCACCACCTGCATGCTCTCGTTCAAGTTAATCTGCAGGGCAACGGCTGTCAGGCTGACACCAGGAGATAGGTGCCAGGGAGCAGAGGCCACGCACCAGCAAGAGCTGACCCAGGTGTGAGGTCCTGGGCCCCCCTCCTGCCCAGGCTCTCTCAGGGAAACCACAGGCACGGCAAGGAGGGAAAGCCAGCCTCCTCTCCAAGAACCTCCTCCCTGCTCTTCTCCAACACCTCCAGGTGGACAGGTGCAGACTGTACAGTTTCCAGAACTTTCTGGAGGAGACTGTTTAACATCACCACTAATAGCAGGGACTCGAGTTTGAATTCTGGTTTGACATCATAGGCTGCAGAAATGCACAACTGTACACATCAAGTCCCCTCTCTGAGCTTCTTCCCTGGGCTAGTAAGGCTGGTGTTCCACAGGACTGAGGATAGCACAGAATGAGAAGACGCTGGGCCAGCCCTGGGGTAGCTGCTGAGCTACACCTCTCATTCCTCCCCTCCCATTTCACAGATGAGGAAACTGAAGCCCAGAGAGGCGCAGGGGCTTGGCAAGAGCTGTAAAAGAAGGATGTCTCAGGGTCACAGTGGAAACCCAGGCCTGTCTGACCCCAGAATCCAAGGCTGAGGCTGGGGAGTGTGGATGGGGACCAAGGTCCAAGGAGGAAGAGACCAGGACTCCTGGGGCCTGGAGGCTTCTCTGGCTGAGGCCCCTCTGCATATCCCCTGAGGACTGAGTGGGCCGGGGAGCCCACAACTCACCCAATCAATGTAAGCCCTCCCAGGTCTCCACAGGCTTGGTCCCAGCTGCTGAGATGTCTCTGTTCAGGAGGCTTCTAACAGAGCCTGGCAGGGGCTTGGTCAGAGCCCCACCCCACCCCCACCCCCAGGCATCCAGTGTTCATTTCTACTCCTTCAAATGTTTATTGAGCACACAGAGTGCTCTGAGGATTGAGATCTGAGTCCCAAGCAGGGTGGTGGCAGAGATACCACACTGCACAAGGTGGAGGGTGACTGTCCCAGGCTGACGTGAGGAGTGGGCTTGGGCCAGATGAACTCTAGTATGTGTGAGGAGGCCCTGAGTTCAATCCCCAGCACCCACAAAAACATTAAAAAGTAAGTGAGGAGATGCCACTTCTGCTGTGTGGGTTTGGGACAGTGGTGCCCCTTGGTGCATCTCAGTGTCCTCATCTGTGAATTGGCATCGTGGCCCTGCCTCCCTCACAAGGGTGGGGGTGGGAACTAAGTGGGATAATGCTGTGATATGCCCTTCGAAGCAGCTCCTTGGAAGGGGGTACGGGGGCTCTGATCACAGTTCTGCATGGCAGTGCTCATTCTGCCTCCACAGATGGAGACAGAGGCCCAGAGGGAAGAAACAACTGTGTCCCCAGGTCACAGAGTGGGGACAGCAGACCAGGCCCCACTGACTACTTCATTCACTACTGAGGACCCCCACCAGGGCTCCAAAAGCCAGTCCTGAGGGGCTCTGCCCCCCTATCCCGCTGTGTGTCTGCAGAGCAGCTGAGGGGAATTGGATTGTCAGCTCTGAGTCAATTAGGCCGGGGCCTGGCATGCTGAAGGAGCTGGGCCTGACATCTGACTCTCCACAGAGAGCATTGAGAGATGGCCGGTGGGAGGGCCCCCTTAGTGGGGAAGCAGGGTTCAATCCTTTCCTTCCCAGCCCCAGGACTCTTAGGGTCCGTGGCCCCAGCATCGTTAATCCAGGCCACTCACCCCGAGGAGGTGGCCAGCAGGGCTGGGGAGGAAATAGGACTGAGGATCCTAATTTGCCAGACAGTGGCCTTATCCCATTGCAGCCCCATGGCAGCTTATAGCCCTTCACAGAGTGGGAAACTGAGGCCCAGAGGAAGAATCTGCATGACCAGAACCTAACAGCCAGCAAGAGGCAGAGCCCAGAGACCTGACGCAGGTCTGCCGGCCGCAGAGCCAACCACACTGAGGAGAGGCCTCGTCAAGCCTGCCTTTCCCTCCTCATGCCCGGCCAGTCAGTGCTCTGACCACTGTGGGAAAAGCAGACTTGGCCAAGGCTGACTTGCTGTGTAGACAGGAGCAAAGGAAGGCTAACACCACTCAGCATGACCTCCATGGCCTCCCCCACCACGCCTACCTTGAGGAGCCTCCCGTTGGCAGTGCCCAGGAAGACCGCTGTGTAGTTGTTGGCACTGGCCACAGCCACGGCTGTGAGGCCCGGGGCCCGGAACACGGGTGAGGCCTTCAGAGGCTGCAGGATGGACAGTGGGTGCTGCAGGTGGGCGGCACCGCAGTCCAGCTGCTCCGGCTGCAGCTGGAGAGAAAGAGCAGCTCAGATCTCAGCTCTGGAACCTTCTTCAGCTCCCAACCCTGCCAGCAGGACGGCCTCTCGGGCCTCAGCATGGAGCACTCAAGTCTTGCTCCTGCTTGACACCTCCAGCTCCGGGCTGAGGCCCAACACAAGCAGGGCCCTGTCCCTGCTCCAGGTATGCCCTGACCTCCACTCAGGTCACAGGCCACGCCAAGGAGATGACAAGTAAGTAAGGCTCACGAGAACTGGACAGTGGCGTCACGTGATGCTGGCAGGACGTGCTGGCGAGGGACAAGGGTGGTTTGACTTTTAAGAGGCCAGGGGCGGCACAGTGGCACACACCTGTGGTCCCAGCCACTTGGGACACTGAGGCAGGAGAATCGCCTGACTCTGCGAGACCTACACACTCCTAGCCAGCCACAGCTAGGCAGGGCAAAGGAGTCCATATAAAATTACCAAGGCAATGCGTGCCTCAACTTACCTGCTGACACCAAGAGGTGTCTCTCCAGCTTTGACCATGTCCTGTAGCCCTCCCTGGCTCTGTGCTCCACACTACCCTGGGCTCTCCTCCCACCAAGCCCCTAACCCATAGCTCCAGCAGCTGGAAAGGCAACTCCGGCTTAAACCCTCTGAGACCTGAGGCCCTGCCTCCCTGGCAGTCCACACCTGCCCATGTTACAGGGAGACAAACCGAGACTAGTGTGTCCCAATGGCATAGGGCTGCATCTACCTCAGCCCACTGTCACCGCTCCTTCCCTGCCTTTTCCTGTCTTGCTAGTGCTTCCAAAGGTTCCTTCTGCTATTGCACAAAAATACAAGACAGGCTTCCAGAAAGTGAGAAGACAACTGTGCAAACCCACAGAGGCAGCTCAAGTTCAAGGGAGGAGGGAGTGAGGGGACGCAGGCCCAGGCTCACGTGTCCAGGTGACACGTTGCCCAGGAGAGCAGCCCAGCCTAGGGACACCGGAAGTCCATACCAAAAATGAGAAAGTTGCACGATGTTGGGGGACATTTTGGTAAAATGAAATAAACATAAGGACAGGCCAAATTTACTGGCCCTGACCCTGTGCTGGAAGGGTACAACATTTCCCTGGGTCCTGGTGGCCCTATGAAGTCCGTTTCACAGATGGGAAAACTGAGACTGGGATGAGAAGCTTGCCAGCCCCCCAGAGGCTTGGAGCAGGGACTCGGGAGGCGTCCCCAGAATGGAGGGTCAGAAACATCGTCGGTGCAGCTCCACAGAGATTGCTTTTGGTCACTGCCTGTGCATCCTGCAGGCCTGAGCCACTGACAACATGCCATGCAAGGTGCACAAAGCTCAGCTAATTTTCAAAAGAAAACAAATAGTGGTCCTTCTGTCTGTCCTCAGCAAACGCACACTGGGGCAGCAGGCTTCCAGGCTGGAGCTGGTACCCTGTGTCCCTGGGGACGGCAAACTCCAAGCCCACTGGTGGGATGGGGCTGGGGTGCCCTGGGCCAAAACCCATACATGAATGGTGTCGGCGGAGGCTGTGGATGGATGTATGCCTCAGTTTCCTAACTGCAAAACAGGCATGTGTACAGCACATCCCCTGTGGGGCCACGATGAGATCCTCAGCATCGGCAGAGGCCGCGGGGACAAGTGAGCAGACACTTGAACCTCACGGTGACTGCAGTACTGTTTCTGTAAAATGGAATTTGAGGCCACGGGCATGGCTCAGCGGTGGAGTTCACGCTCAGCAGGCACAAAGCCTGGGGTTCTCTGTGCCCCACACACCCAAAAAAAAAATAATAAAGTAAGGATTTGGGGCAGAGCACACCTACCTCCAGAATTTGTGATCTGGGCTCCCTCAGAGTGCCTCAGACAGCCGTCCTCTCACTTAGGCAGCCCCCCAAACCCTCATTCTCTGGTCCTCCCTTGCCCCTGGCATGGCCCACCTCCAAACACAGCTGCCAAATGAGCCTTTTAAGCATGCCGGAACATTGATTCCGGGACACCTGGAACCAATCCTGAAACCAAATCCTCCCTCAGCCCATGACCTTGACTCCATCCCTTGCACCTCCTCAGCCCACTCCAGCCACACTAGCCCCATTTCTGTTCCTCAGGCATCACAAGCTGGGTTCTCCCTCAGGGCCTTTGCCCTTGCTGTTCCCTCCGCCTGGACACCACCCCAGCTTCTCACACAGCAGCCCCTCCCATCCATGGGGACACATTCCAAGACCCCCAGAGGACGTCTGAGAGGATGTCTGAAGCCACAGAGTACCCAACTCTACAGATACTGTGTTTTATCCTGTATGAATGCACCTACCATAGTTTTTAAAAACAAATTAGCCACAGTAAGATTAACTAAAAATTAGACAGTAAACTATTAGCTACAAATAAAACAAGCCAAGATTACATGCCTGTAATCCCAACTACTCAGGAGGCAGAGACGGAAAGAACACGACTCAAGGACAGCCTGGGCAAAGTTATCAAGAACCGTCTCAAAGTCAGAAAGGCTGGGGGTGTGGCTCGAGTGGCAGAGCACAGGCACAAGCCCTTGGGTTCAATCCCAGTAACACAAAAATAAACAAGGAATGTTTACTGAAAAGATGTGAGCATGGTCTCACACCATCTTAACTCAAGTGGACATTTGACAACCTCAGCACTCCACTCTTTTTCCTTACGTCAAGAACTTCTACCTGTGGCTTCTCTGCAATGTCTGAATTGCCAGCACCAATACTCTTGGACTATGGGGACGTGATTAAGTGCAATAATGGTGACTTGAACACAGCCGATCTGATACAGACACAGTGGATCTGATAACCAAGACGATAATCAGGCGGGTAGCTTATATGGCGTGGATACACTGGACCGAGGAGCAACTCACCACCCAGGCGGGGATGGAGTGGGACGGTACAGGATTTCATCACGAGAACAGTGAGCAATTTAAAACTTACGAATTGTTTATTTCTGGAATTTTCCATTTAATATTCTTGGACTTCAGCTGACCAAGGGTAACTGAAACCATGGAAGGCAAAACCACAGATAAGGGGGGAGGGGAAGACTACCCCAGAGCTGGCTCCTTCTCCTTCAGCTTCCTGCCCTAACTTGCCTGACTTGGTGCTGTGTGCGTCCAGGTTGGGGACAGCGTCCCGCAGCCCAGGGAAGAGGAAAGGTGGGGTCCACCAGTGCTTGGTGCTACAGGACTGCACTTTCCGTGAGATACAACTTTTCTCCACTGAATAGGGATGACTAGAGTCATTAAATACCAAGCTGTTTTTAAATTAAAATTGCAAAGGGGGGTGAGCTCTGGGAGGGAGATCTGGGGGCCCTGGATGGTGATGCTGCCTTTGGGGTTTTTTGCTGAGCCTACCTCCACCACCACGGGGCCCCCGTCCAGCCTGAGTGGGGGTCCTGGGAAAAGCCAGATCAGACATCCCAGCCTGGGGTGATTTGTGGGCCACAGCAGCAGCAGCGGGAGGAGGGGACAGGCTGGGACCCGGCTCTTTCCCGCCCCGCCCGCCCGAACGTTCACAAGCCATTAATTCTGTGCCGAAGGAATTTTCTGAAAAGCCTTTCCCCCAACTTTTTTTTTTCTTATCCTAAAAATAAAATCTAAAAAAAAAAAAAAATTTAAAGGAGAAGTGAGCCATCAGCTGCCGAGTGATCTGTGCTCTGAGGGGAAGCGGTAGCCGGCTGCAGGAGAGCCATCTGCCCCTCCCAGGCACTTGGGAAATGTCCCCACTCCCAGCAAGGGCTGTAGGCCTGGGAAGGGGACCGGGGCTCAGAGGCCCAAAAGCATCCTGACTGTAAACCCAGCTGAGCTCGGTGTCCAGGACAGTAAGCACCACAGCCTGACACCCCACACAATCCCTCCCAGGTGGCCCTAGCCATCCTGCAGGCTGTTCAGACACAAAGTCAGGGAGGGGACAGGAGGAGGCCACCATGTCATCCAGCAGCCCAGCCCCTCCACTCCTCAAGGGCAGCTCTGTCCACACACAGCTGTCATCCTGAGGGGCAGCCCTGGCTCCCACTGTTCCCAGGACCCAGCTGTGCTCCAGCCTGGTACTCTGGGCCTTTGTGACTCCGCGCCTGCCAACCGCTCAGGCCTCTGGTGTCAGTTCTGACTTCTGCCCACACCCTGCTCCAGCCACACCAGTCCCCCCCAACACCCCACAGTTTCCTAAACATGTGCACACTTTCCTGCCAGGTCCTGCACCTTCCCGACACCTCAGTCCCTGTCTTGCCCCGTGCTGTTCTCTTTCCAGGTGTGCTTACACCTGGCAGCTAGCTAGCTTTGGTTCCTCCAAGAACCTCAGTTTACCCCTCTCTAGAATGGTCTTAGCGCTTTTCTGAGAGCAGGCTGGGCCCTCCCCCTCAGGCTGGTCACTTCCTGGGGCCAAGCTCAGCTCTGCCCACTCAACCATTAAAACCCTGACATATCGATTTGACCACCAGCTATAACTGTGCTCTTCTGCTCTTCCCAGGAAGCCAGCTGGAGGGGGAGTGGCAGGAGCCCTGGCCTTGCATCTTGCCCGCAGTCCCTCTGCAGGTGGCCCTCAGTGGAGGACAAGGGAGCACTGCAGCCACTGTGGCAGGTTAGAGGGGCCATGGTTCCATCCCAGCCCTGGCCATGGGGCTCTGGGGTGGAGGAGAGGGCGTTTTCCTGCCCAGAGGTTCTGACCATTATGACTGGCCTCCTGAGAAAGTCAGGTGTCCTCACTGGGGAGCTGAATCTGCACAACTGCTTTGGGGTACCCAGAAAACTATGGGTCAGCAGCCTGGGGCCCTGAATGCCTTCAAAGCTGCTACCTCCTCCCCTCCGACCGCCACAGCAGCCAAAGGGAGATATTTCCTAGAGCTTTGTTTTTTTTGGTGGTACTGGGTTTGAACTCAGGGCCTCATATTTGCAAGGCAGCAGCTCTACCACGTGAACCACTCCACCATCCCTGTTTCATGCTGAGTATTTTCAGGATGGGGTCTCATGAACTATTTGCCCAGGCTGGCTTCAAATCACATTCCTCTTGATCTCTGCCTCTGA